TGGAAGTAGATCATATGACACGCAGTCATTACTGCTCTTTATTTATTTACCCTGACACACACACATAAATTCCACCATGGCATGTCACCCCGCAGAGTTCATTTCCTCATACGCAAACCCCTGTAGCCTTCAAACCAGGCAAATGACTATCCAAACACACATTACGCTTTTCCTGGAGTGTGTCACACATAAACTCACATCTCTGAACGCTCATTACTTATCGTCCACTCCCCCCCTTTTTTTCCTTTTTCCTGTCCGTGAATCCAGACTCTTGGCTCGTCTTCTCATGTCATCTCAGGGTGTGTAAGCCCCCCAGACCATATGGACTAAATGTAAGGGGGGGGCTTAGTGGACCTCCAGCCAACCCCCCTCGGAGGGCCTGCTGTGTGAGGGGAGTTCAGGGCCGCCTTGTTGCCTTTTTCAGCTGCTTGAAAACTTCTGATCCAGAGAATTAAAAAAAAATCTATTGTCTTTCGTAGACTCATCTTTTCCACTTTTTTTCCTCTAATGGTTGAGATTTCATCAAAAGTTCTAATACATCTTGGGAATACTAATTCATTCTGCGCCTCAGTTTAACATTAGCTCATTGTTCAAATTTTATTCTAGTGTGATCTGTTGATTTCCAGAAAACCAGGATGGACATATGGCTCTATTTTTTTTTTCACTGATGACTCTCAGCCTCTCTCTCTCTCTCTCTCTCTCTTCCTCCTCTTCTTCCTCTTCATCACATTCTCCCATGTGCACATGTCTGTGTTCATGTCTCAGCTTACGTGTCTTTGTCTGAGTGTGTGTGTGTGTGTGTTGTTTTAGCAATATCTACTCTGTGGACCATATGGTACAACACTGCCTGCTGGGCAAAGATAAATCCCGCATGCAAAGGCAGCAGAGACACCATTACACACACACACACACACACACACTCAGACAGACTCACAAGCTGCACACAATTAGCACAACCTCGGTATTATGTACGAGTGTTGTGCATTGTAATTAGTCTGCACCTTCACGGCTGCTGTTGTATAACAGCGATACCCAACAGGCCTGCGTTGTGTTCATCTGTCAGTCTCTCTGTTCCCCTTACACTTCTATCCCTCTTCCTCCTCCTCCTCCTCGTCCTCCTCCTCCTCCTCCTCCTTTCTGGGCTCATTTGCTTTCTACCTGCCTGCCTATACTTGTCTACATCTTTGAGCTTTCCATCTTTTTCCAGAGCAAACTTGCCCCCAGCCTACCTGAGTCACCAAGCCTTTCTGAAGCCCTAACGTAGAAGTCAGCTCACATCTTCTTCCCACACATTCAACTACCCATATGTACAGCAGTTTGTCTACCTGCTTGGCTGTGCTCAGAGAGCTTTATATCTTAACTCTGGTTTTCTTTTTTTTCCTTCTCCAACTCTGAGCCTGTATATTTCCCTCACACTGGTATCCTTGCATGACTCTATTTCTAAGATATATATGTAATAGGGTTTGATGGTGGCTCTCAAAGCACAGCAAAGAACATAAACCAACCATCTTTAGATCTTCATTTGTCAACCACTTGCTGAGTCAGACGAAAAAATGAAGCAAAACACAGAAGTGCATAAAATATGCAGTTCCTCGATTGTCCACTTGTGGCTGGCTCCATGAGCTTATGAAAAAACCATAGACTGTATATACTACGGACAACTTGGTTCCACCCTCCGCCAGTATACAGATTTGAAGCCAAAAAGCTCTCGGTAATTTCTCCACTTCCTGAAACCAACATTGCGCAGTAGCATTGTATGCATTCGGCAGGAGAGTCGCTGTGATGACATTCGGCTCAAACAGCATATCCTGCGGATGAGCTACGCGATCTTCGTACGCCCATAGGCTGTATCAAGTGTCAATCATAGAAAACATGAATCCCCTAATAACTTAAAAACGGAGCTGCACAGAAAAAAGAGGACTTGAGCACAACCCAGTCTTACAGTAACTACATGTCGACATCTCAATCAGGGGGGAATTTGGATCTAGTCAGAGAAAGCAGGACCTGGCACAAAGCAGAGGGGTCTTGGCTTACCCTAAATACATTCACAAACCAACACAAAAATAATAATTTAAAGAAGTTTTATTGATTAAAAAATGAGATATGAACAAGTAAGTTAACATTGAACCAAAAATAACCAATAAGATGATGAAACTGAAACTGATATTTCTGCTCACATTAGGCTCTCAGTCTTATACTGACTGATTTGATATGATGTATAATCAGGTTGTCCCTATTGCCTCATTATTTTAGATTTAATTATTGATGTCTTGGGGTTTTGCCCCCTAAGAAATTAGTATTAAACAGCACCAGGAAATAAGGAAAAGGCAAGGTAACAAAACGTTAAAACTTTGATCAAAAATGGTTTCAACTTCTACACCACATTGATTTATTACGCAAAACTATGCAGGAGGTAAATTTAATCATGACTCATCTTTCTTAAATTTTACTACGGCCAAGAGTTATGAAAAAAATTGCATAATAGGGGCTTGACTGATTTAATTGAGTGGTGGTTTTGTAGCCAACAACCAAGATTCATTCGGCTCGCCTTGACGCGATCCCTTTGCCTTTTCTAGATGAAGTCAGCATTTCCATTATAGTCATGGATGGATTCAGTATGTCTCAGCAGAAACTAATAGGTGACATCAGTGAGACTATGTCCATGTTTTATAAATTTAATGGTGTTTAAGGTGTGTTTCAGTTCACAGGTTTGCCAAACTTCTGTGGGAGTAAAAAGGGAAATAATTATAATCCAAAATCTGCATCTAAAGAAACAATCAGCATAGTTTTTTGTTTTTTTTTACAAACAAATTCCTTCATTCAACTTTGACCTACAGTACCAACTTTTGGTTTAATCTCTGATAATCTGGCTAAACCCTTGGCTTGTTTACAATCCATCTAATTGGGTTATTTCTTTTTGTGTTAATCTGACTTTAGCGATTTCCCTTTGTTTCACAATCTACTTTCCTGAAAACTCGGGTGTAGAAACTGTCCGAAACGATCTTTAACAGGATGAAAATGAGATCTTAATGGTGTCAAACTGTAACTGTCCTGATAAGCAGTGTCATGTCCTCTTAGAGAAAAATTGTGCTGCAATAGTTTGAAAAAGCAAACGATAAAGATGTGTTGACGATAAGCTCAAATATGCAAACATTTCCAGCATTCATCCCTTAATCTGATATGCTGTGTTCGATTCTGTGAGTCTGTCTCGCTCTGTGTGTGTTTTATACCTGTGTGGACTTGCAGCAGAGCCAGACTGCACAAAAAAAGGAAGGTCAGTGGAATCAAAGTACTCCAAATCTCCCACGCTTCTCCTCTTTGTCAGGCTCTCTCTCTCTCAGATTAGACAGATCACGTAGAAACCATTTACCTCTGTGTCTCTGAACACTGCTGTAAACAATGAAACGCAGTGTTTCCTTTAGAAATGTGGGGGGAGACAGATTGTAAACCCCTCTGGCACAAATCCTCCAACCCCCCTCTGCATCTTTTGCCACAGTGTCTGCTGACTGTCGAGGGTGGTAACACATGGATGAGGGCACAGCTGGAAGAGAAATGGAAAGGGATGTACAAAGAGAGGGGCGGAGAGGGAGATAGGACAGCGTGGAGCTGGTTAACTAGGAGTGTTTTTTGATGTTTTTTTCAGCAAGTTGAACAGTTACACACAGACAAGAAGTGAGAGACTGACACGCGCAGAGGGAGGTTAAGGATAAAGAGACGGGCGCCGGAACAAAAGCAACGGCATTTTATATGAAACAGAATTTCAGAGGTAGCCTGCTAGCTTAGTCGCCATGACAACAAGACACTTAAACCAGTATTTAATTGGCGCTGTCTGCACTTGTCTGTTGTATCTCCATCCACTCCCTCAGTGTGTACAGTATATAATTACACTGTGATTTGTGGATATCATGTACCAGTATAAGCCTTGTCTATGATATACATTATTATGTTTGATTTGCAAGAGGATACTTTGATATGGCTCAGCTGAGGATGACAACTACATCATATGAGGCTTAAAATTTTGGATTAAATGAAACATAACTAACAGGAAAGTGCAAACCTCAGGATACTGTTCATAATGCCGTGAATATATTACTTTACTACTTTAACTACAGTCCTCTTGAAAAGTTGGGGGAAAAAACAGAGGTGAAGCTCATATATTTGTTTTTGTGTCATCTCTACTTTAAAGCTCCTGTGGGGGAGTTTTTTGATATTCATGAAATGCACTAAAATTCATATTTATGCCTTTTTCACTATGCACAAAAGCAAAATATGCCATTAGCAACAAGACTGAGGACTTTTATATTGTAATTTTTATGCCTGAATCTGGTGCAAGGGGGTAGGTGTCAGTGGACCCGCTGAAGAGACAGCACCCTTTATGCATATTCCGGTTTATAGGTTCATAAAAGAGATCCATTAGACCCTTGTTAGTATGCGATTTATTGTCAGAAGACACTACTTAAAGGTGGGGTAGGCAGGATCTGAGGAAATGCCAGTTTTTGGGAGAAATCTTGAATGTAAACTCTACCTCTACCAACCAGTTTTCCCCTCAGGTTTAAAATGATAAAAAATCCTAAAACAGGAGGCTAGAAGTGTTCTGGTATGGTTGCTGTCCCTGTAGAATTATCTAATCACATATTATATATATTACTAAATTCCCCTCACAGAATAAATAAAGTATTCTGGTTCAGAGAAACAGTCTATATGTCAGGAAAAGCAGCCAGAACACAGTGACACGGCTCTGACAGGTGTTAGTATTTGATTTAAAACAGGTATTTGCAAGCAAGAACAACTAAAAATCTGTTCTAGATTAAGAATTTCAAATCTGGGCAACAAACTGCTGGATACTGTTTTCTCAATCAGTGTTCAGATTTCCCAACTTCCTGGAATCGATCTGAGATGATTACTTTGGCCTCCTTTCATCAAACAAACATTTTTTAAAGTTGTTTTCTTCTTCTTTTGCAGACAGACCTAGGAAAGGCTTTTATCAAAACAGTTTGGGGTTTTTTTTTGTATTAGCAGTACCTACAATTCTCTGGCCACTTCATTAGGTACACCTGTTGAACTTCCTTTTCACCGCCAATCCCGTGGCAGCAACCCAAAGCATTAAGGTGTGTAGACATGAACAAGACAATCTGAAAAGGGGACATCAGAGAAGTGGTATGGTTGTTGTTGCCAGTTGCCACACAACTATCTCTAAAACCCCAACACTAGAATCTGTGTAAGGACAGGCACATGCATGAGGAATTCATTTTATTTTCATGATTGCCTCAATTAATCCTCATTAAACAGCAAATTTGATTCTATTGAAATATTCTCTCTGCAGGCAGCTGTCTGTGTAAACTAAAAAAAAACCCTTGTAAATGAATTTGCATGAGCGCCACAAGTGATATAAAAAATCCAAGCAATCGAAAAAAGGTTTTGCTATAGTTCGTATTTCATGTCCGGACTTGCTTGTGGAGTAGCTGCTGAGATGCGCAAGTTTGCCCCAGGCTTTGTGTGCAAAATTCAAGCCCGTCAAGCTCCCATCAGAAGAGTGTTTTTAGCTTTGACATTTCACTTCAAACGCGTCTAGCTTTCAGCCTCTGTCTACGCAGTGTTTCTACAGGTTTCACCATGGTTATTGGCTGTAAAAGCCGTTCATAAGTATGCAAATTCAAGAAAAAAAAAATATTAAGAAGAGTGAGAATTAAAGCAAGAAGAGGTGGTGGTAATGTTGCTGGCAAAAGGCAATTTACTGTTTCTCAAGGTGCAGAGCTCTGAATGTGTCTCTCAGGCTCCCCACGGGTTATTTGTCTATTTTCAGAGAACTGTAGGCGGTAAAAAGCACAAATTCAAGCCAGGACAGGATGGAGATGTTCTCTGAAGAATGTAACAGCTGCAGTCACAGAGAAGGCGATGCATGAGGAAAGGATGATTAACAGATGAGTGGTTGTAAGTCGAGGCATATATGGGGAAATAAAGGATTACATAGAAGCAGATAACAAATAGCTGTCTAAGTGTTGCCTGGGTAAACGGATAATACAACTGCAAGCCTCAGAAAATAGATTTTTGTCACCTTGAAACACAAGATTTTTTTCTAGTTTAGTGCGAGCTTTTGTCCAAACATGATGATGATTTCAATGCCAAGTCTCACAGCTCCATTGTTAACGTTTATCACCCTCAAAAAGCAAACGCAAGAGAAGCTACATGATGGCTGCAAGCTTACAGCTATCAAACTCCCATCGATCAAGTCTGCTGCAATGTGTCTGTATGTTTTCGTAAAACTCTGATCAATAATTTGCAGTCTCTTTCCTTTTTTCCTCTCGTCTCCAAGGTGGAAATGTTTTTTTTTTTCTTTCTCCCTTCAAGTTGAAACATTCACACACACCAACTCCCACAGGCCTGACTCCCACAGTCAACAGAAGTTTCTTTTTCAAATATTTGACGAAAAAACAGGGTGGATTTTGCAGTTTTTGTCTCTCTTTTTCACGTTCAAGCCGAGACAAGCGGCACCCTAAACAACAGATACTAACATTTGATGTAACAGGAGTTAAGGAGAGAAAATCATTGATCAAAAACATACAGTAAATGTTTTGATGTAAAAACACACAGACTCAGCTGTGCATTCCTGCGAGGTGAATTCATTCCTCGTGCCTCCTGAGGCTAACACGCACTCATACTCTCTCTCTCTCTCTCTCTCCCTCACTGGTGAGCATTGTGGCTGTGCCTCAGCCTGCAGTTGATAAGATAGGGTTGGGTTGCACAGCTTGCAGGCAGATACTATTGTGGCCGTTGACAGGAAACTGAAACAGGGTGGGATGGTGCTGCTCCAAATCTACATGCCTGTTTGTGTGCATGTGAGTGAGTGAGTGTGTGAGTGAGAGAGAGTGCTGTGTGTCTGAACATTTGCCCTCTCCCCTTCTGTCAAACACCGGCCAAATGGTTTCCCCCAAATTCACCATAATGCCTCAATGAATGCCTCTACTCACTCGAGGTCTCAGTAGGCTTTTGTGCTCTGTGTGAATGAGTGTCTTCCTCTAAAAAGGAGGAAAAAAAAAATAAAAGTATTAGTGAGAGAGAGGAGCCATACTGTAGGTCAGTCTGCATTCTGCCTTTTGGCCACCAGACGGGACAGTGGGGCGACTGTACTCGCTGGCACTATTGTGTTCATATGAATGAAGGCCCTGTCAGAGACCCACAGACACACTGACCCGGCTCTGTTTTCTATCCAAGTCAGTGGGATCAAGTGCGGCGCTGTTGATTATTTATGTAGAAGGCACATGAGACTTCCAAAAAACTGTTTGAGATCCTAGGCGGGTGCATACATGAAAATAAAAAACTCCTAACCCTAACCCTAAAAAAATTCTAACAAAAGGTTTCTCAGCTGTTTTCTATAGTATTAGATGTCCTTAATAACATACTAAAAGTTTACCAAAGTTTGACCACTAAAAAGTTGTCATTTTCAAGATGGCAAGTGAATAGGGTAAAATTTTTACCTACCAGATATCACCATGAAACTTCCCAAGTTTATAAACTACATTAAGACAAACATTTTTTTGTATTACAAGTTTTGTCAAATGTTATGTATGAATATGTAAATTAGGCAATATCTAATTAAATATGCACTAATTTGCATACATTTCCAAAACCAAAAACTGAACAATAGATAAAGCCCCACACAGACTTACTCATTCTTCTCCTCTTCTATGCTGGGATGAACAATAGAGGCCTCTATTTTTGTTCAGAAAAGTCCATTTGGAGTCATTTAGTACAAAAAAAATTGGAAAAGTGTCAAAAGTTTTAAGGTTTGGGTCATGGTTATGGGGTAAGGGTTAGAGTTACGGGGTTAGGTTTAGGATTAGGGTTATGGACTTGGGTTTGAAATCAATGTCCAGGATCTTTTTAAGAGGAAGTTTTAGACCATTTGGAGTCATTAATACAAAAAATGAGGAAAAATGTAAAAAAAATTTGAAGTTAGGGTTAGGATTAAGGGGGTAGGGTTAAAATTAGGGTTAGGATTAAGAGGTTAGGGTTAGAATCACTGTCCATGACCTTAGTAGGAGCACGTTACAGACCATTTGGAGTCAATTGGTACAAAAAATTTGGAAAAATGTCAAAAAAAATTTCAAGTGTTGGGGTTATGTTTGGGTATTGAGGTTAGGGTTAGGGTTAGTGCAGTAGTTGGGCATTTATGACTGCAGCCTTAGGTCCAAATCATAGCTGAAAGTTGCGATTTATCTGAAGTTATGCTCAGTTTGAAACTCCTTCTTTGACTGCTCTGTAAAGTCAGACTAGTCAGCCAATTCAAGGTTATACAAGAGAGAATAAATAATAGTCACAAAACGCAATGTCAGTGCTTTTTGTTAACAGGATGATTGGCCAAATTCTGCCCTGGTTCCCGTTCTGTGAAAATAAAGTTATTCTCTCCAAGTATGTCTGTGATTATGCTTCCGCAATAGGACGGTCTGGACTACAGACTAGAGGGTTTTTATGTTCGCTTTCAACAACAAAATTCTCTAAAAACTTGGAGTGCAGAAGTTTTGATCTATTCTGTGGTGTTTTCACAAAACAAAAAATATGGAGTCAGAGGATAGTTGTTGGAGGAGCTGAGTTAGCTTATGTAAGCGAGAGTGCAGCTTGTGGTCTGATAAACGATCGCCACATGAAGGACCGCAAAGAGCCATAGCAAGTGTTAATCTAGTTCGTTGCCTTTATCCCCATTTCCACACGGACAACAAAAAGGAGAATGACTGATCTTTTGGTGTCCGTGTTGCCGTTGCCTGGCAACAGTTTTCCCACTCAGTTACCACTTTAAGGCCAAGCTACCTGTGAACGGCTTCACAACTTCGTGAGGTCCATTTGAAGGCAGCATTAGTCAGGTTTGGTGGATGTGGTATAAATCGGATGTTACAGATATAACTGGATAAGTTTGTGTTCACTTGGAGTAAATATTGATCAGTCTTTTTAATAGGAGTAGAAAATGCTTCTTAAAGTAGTCATCTTAAACTGCAGATAATAAACTGTACATTGATCAAAAATGAACCCAACCATTACGGCATTTGTATTAGAAAAGTGTGACCATGATGACAAGGCTCACTGATTCACTATATTGTCATTTTAACCCAAACCACATTGTCTTCCTTAACTTAACCACATTGTTTTAATCTTAATCAAAGTGTTGTCATATCAAAATACTGATTTATTTTTCTACAGTGATGTCTAATAGACAGAGAAATAATGTCACAAAGCATTTTTCTATGTGTCACTCTCACAAGAGGATGGTCAAACATCACATTTTGTACTTTATATATTGATGACTGTGAGACGAGGTTTCCCTGATAACCACTACAATGTCCCGCAGTGACTACAACAATGTGAAACATCCGAGTGTTTGACATACCGAGGGAAAGATTTGGAAATCCACCCAGGATATAAGGTTGGATGTTATTCCAAATATCCCACAAATTTCTTGCAAAACATCCCGCCACAACTATGAGGATACTACAGAAAAAATAGGCCCCACCTATAACCCAATATTATTGCACGCCAACCAAATCACACACTAAGGGAAATTAGATATTTCATGCGTGTCTGAGTAAAGTTTTTCCACTCTCTTTCTCCTCTCCACATGAGCAAACCAAAGAAGCATTAGATAATACAAAGCACGAAGAATTGAATCCATTATATCTACATTCCAGGGGCACCAGCAGGTATAATGAACCCTGCAGTCGGCTTTACATGCAGCTTTCTAATTCAGTTTGGGTGCCACAGTGAAGAGCTCCATTAGCGTGTGAGGGTCACAGTCAAACAGCTCGTCTGGGAGAGGAGGCTCTCTTCCAATGTGCCATCTTTACAGACAGAGAGATGGAGAGCGAGAGCGAAAGAGAGAGAGAAAGCAGAGGTTAGCAGAGTGTGGAAAGATGACTCACAGTGTGTAGGTGCAGGAAAAATAGATTACTCTGGACCCTCAGGCTTTTTACTTTATCTTGTATTGAAAACAGTGTAAGAAAGATATAAAATACAGATAAAATAGGCTGTTGCTCCAAGCAATGTGATTCTTATCTATCTATCTATCTATCTATCTATCTATCTATCTATCTATCTATCTATCTATCTATCTATCTATCTATCACCTTCATCACTCCTTTTATTCTTTCTTTTCTCCCTTCTCATATTCCAACCTTACTTCCTCACTTGTTTTTTGACCCTTTCCTCCGTCCTTCCTTCCTCCGTCCTTCCTGTCACTCACTCCTACAGTCTCCACATTCTTCCTTCCTCACTTCCTCTTCCCTCCTCCTTCCCTTCCCTCCCAAATACTTCTTACATTCCCTATAACTTCACTTCCTTTTTCTTTTCCCATATCCTTTCAACCTTCCTTGCTTTTTACCTTCCTTATAGCCTCCATCTCTCACTTTATTCTTAGTTGCTGTCTATACCTTCCTCATTTTTTCTAACCTTTCCTCCATCCCTCTTTCCTCACTTCCTTCAGTCCCTTTCTTTTCCTTTCATTCCACCAGCCCTTTCCACATTCCTTTCCTGCCTGTATTCTTGTGTCCTCCTCTTTTGTCCTTGTTTACCTCATTTTTTCGTTTTTGCTGTCTTTCCTCCCTCCATTATCTTTCCTTCCTTTTTCCATCCCCTAGTTACTTCCTTCCCTCTGTGTTTACAAATCAGGTGTCAGCCAGCAGCCTTTAAATTGTCCCAGGATGAAGAGCAAGCTTCTGCGTAAATGAAATATGTGTGGTCATGGTAATTATCTGAGCATCTTGAAAAATAGTCTGGCTATGAGAAGTTTGATTTCAGTCATACCTAGGTGATTTTTTGTTGTTGTCTTGTTTTGTAAACGTTCGGACTGAAAGTTCCACATGGGTGTTATAAATTATGCTAACCTGAGAATCCACCATATCATACTACATGAAAGCATAAATTTGTGGCTCTTAAAGGGTAAGTCAGCCATTTTACACCTAAAGATCCATGAACTCATCACAGGAAATAATAACCTGTTAAAACAGTCAAATAATGAATCTTGAAATATTCCTGTCATTGTGTACCTTTGTTTTTACTTTAACGCCGCAGTTTTGGCTTTCTGGCGTCAACGAAAATGACGTCACTGATTAAGATGCTTTATCCCCCCACCCCTTTAATCTACTTTTATAATAGTTTAAACTGGTCAGGTGCCATTGCAGACGCTTGTGGACTCTTGCTTTTAACAGATATGAGCTCATTCACTTCATCGATGAGCTCATGCTGCGGTCTTCTCCCAAATTTTTTTAATCTCCTCAAACCGTTTCTCGCCATGACTTAAATTTTTCCCCAATCACCCTCCCATTTAGTCACACTGCAGCGAATGACAAACATTTATCAGTGATGCCAGTATGCCCAGATGATATCACTGCTTCTATGGAGGCGAGCCATCTGAAATCATTTACTATGGATGTTTGCAGCACCCTGCAGACTTTGATTATGTGTCTATGACTTCATACCACTGCCTCGGTCTCTGAGTGTCAGTGCATGCCGCGGGCTACGGGAGATCACATTCAGAGAGGGACGGAGAGAATATTTCCACCACACTGCTTTCATAATGTGTCACAAGTGCTGGGAAGAATTTACATGGTGTTGACGGTCATGCGTCTCCTCCAGCTGTTGTTTGTCGCCATTTTTTGACACAAGGTTCAATATGACAAGACATGTTTGAACTTCTACAACATGGAAACATAAACCCTTACAGATATACAAGAGGGGGGAAAAGATCTTGAATTGACAGTTAAAGAAAATCCTACAGGTCTGAGGATGAAAAACCAGCTCAACAACAGGGACAGGAATTTAGCCTGAGAGGAAACTCTGTGAACAGATGAGAGAGAGAAAAAAAAATGAGATACTGCCAGATTTGTCAGCGGCAGACGTGGCATGTTGGGCAGAACTGTCACTCAGCAGTATTCTGGGCCGCTCAGGAACGGCGGATCTACGGCAAGCCGAGGAGGAGTGTGGGAGGGAAGAGTGACAGGAGAGGGAGCGGAGGGATGTGTTGTGTTTTATGACTGAGTGACAGGACAGTGAGGTGTGCTAGATCGCTGTGTATTTAAGTGATTTATAAGGACAGTTGCCGAGCGTGTTGTGCGAGGATGATGGTTTCGAGTGGGTGCTGTTGCAGGCATAATAAGAACAAGTTTTCACGTTCCTTTGGAGCACACACTCTTCTTCTTCTTGCAGCCAGCATTTTGTGTATTCAGATTGGCCTCATAGCATGTGTCCATTATTATCAGCATCTATTGACTCACAACCTTGTCACCAAGCAAAAAGGACAGAAAAAAAGGGGAAAAAAGGATGCTCTGGCCTGGGAGGAAACTAGGCTGGAAGAGGACTGAAATAGCCTTTGGCGCAGTATGACTAAGACTTTAATTGCAGAGGGACAGAGATGTGGCCCTCCATTGTGTGTGCGTGTGTGTGTATACAATGTGTAGCTGTTTCCTTGTTTATCTTGAATACAAAGATATTGCTTATCGTGCAGTTTGGAGAAAATTAGTTTCATTTCTGAGTGTTCCCGGATTTACCTGTCAGCTGGTCAGGAGTGTTTGTGTGTGTGTGTGTGTGTGTGTGTGTGTGTTTGTGTGCTTTGCATCCATTTGCACTCTGTGAGAAAATTAAACAGTGCGTTTTGTAGTTTCTTTTCTCTCAGGGTGAATTGCTGTCATCCTCTCCAACCAAACAAACACGCACACTCACACACTTTACAACACACTTCCACTGTTGTAACCTCAGTCTCCTTTCACACTTTCTCTCCTGCAAATAAACATTTCCGGATGTGATTGATACCACAGGGGCATCTCTTCTTCGCCCCTCTTTGCTCTTAAGATGTGTCCCTTTTATTTGCTTTGCGTCTACTCCTGCATGAGGTTTTCTTCCACCAGATGACTCAAAGTGACGCTCCAGGGCGACTGCAGCATATTTTTTTTTATCGCAGTACTTGTGTGTCTATGAAGTGACACAGGGAGGTGTGAACTTTGGGACTTGTTTCTTGTCTGTTGCAAACCCCAAAGGTAAGCAGTTATCTCAAATTACAACCAAACATATTGCTAATGAATCTCAGGATGGCAAAGTGTTTAAACGTTTACTCCAAACACACTCCTATTTTAGAAAGCAATGACAGCACTTCTTCTAGTTTGTCTTCACCAGCAGGCATTTAAGATCTCCACAGTTTTACTTTTATTATCTGAAACTTTATTTCTTCTAAAGTCAATTAAAGATATCCTTAAATCCTTACAAGGTGTGTGTGTGTGTTTTAATGTTCAACAGCTTAACTGGCTAGCATTACAGATGTCAGGAAAAATGATGCCATTGTTCTTATTCATGTCATTTTTCAAATTAAAGCAACTATAAGGAGTTTTTTTACATCTATGAAATGGACTCAATTTTACATTAATGCTTTTTCATGACATCCTAGAGTGAACATGACCATCAGTGACATGATCGAGGATTTTTACAGCTTAGATTTCGATGCCTGAAAACCAGTGCAAGGGAGTACGGTTTGCCAAGCAACTAATGAAGTTTCTACATAAACTATTCACATCAAGTGATACCTTTGACAGCTACAAGTCACCAGGGTGAGATTTAATGTCAGAGGACATCGTCATTTAGGATACTGCATCTACTGTATCATTCTTACAAGTAAATGATGTCACTTTGTATATCGGGCTTTAATTTATCATGTGACATATAGTCAAAAGGCCATTGGATACAAGTACAGGTATTTCCCATGAGACTTTTCTTTGTAACTTTCTTGGAAAGCGCAGCCAAGCCAAGTTGGGGATTGGTATAAAAGACATCCGTCTAAGATAAAGTAGTTCAGCAACTTGTAAATAATGCTGCGTTCCAGTTGTACTCGCAAGTCAGATCAAGCAAGTTGATCATCACCAACCCCGACTTCACAACAACATCATAATCCAAAATGGCAGCGCAGAGCATCAACAGTAAAGAGTAACAGCAAAAGCTCTCATAATGTATTATTTATTAGCACTATATGTTGTACTGCCCAATGTCAAACTGTGAACTTGGTGCTATAGTGTTTGTAAGAGTAAAATACTGTGTTATGCATTGTTTACAACTGGTATAGCTAACAACAACTAACAACAGCTGACAACAGCTAACAACAACTAGCAACTGCTAACAACAGCTGACAACCGCTAACAACAGCTGACAATTGTAAACAAGAACTAACAACGGCTAACAGTAGGCCTCCATCTTGATTTTCCAACTTGTTTACTGGAATGCCGTCAACTCTGGTGTAACGTCATTCCAAGCTCCAACATCTGACTTCCGAGATAACTGGATCGCAACATAAGCACACATAAAAAAAATACGAAACCGTAAAACTGATTCGATTCCATCTGTTTTCTGTTAAGAAAAGGTTGTTGAAAATAACCTCATAGCCATAGAGAAACAGGAAATGTGGGGAACAGGAGGTTCAGGGAGACATGCAGCAAAGGGCCATGGCTGGAACCACCAGGACAAGAACTGCAACCTCCATGGGACACGTACTTAAACTGCTAATCCAGCCACCATCCATGCAACAGTATCTTACCGCTGATTATAGTGGACATATTACATGGGCTTTCTTAAATGCATGACCCTGGTGAATTGCATCAAATGCTTTGCCAGCTCTTACACCAGCTTTAACGTTCATCTCTAGAACTTAGATTAAATCACAGATATTTGTACTTAATATAAAGTCTAGATGTGAAAACAGCTTGCCACAACTTCATTCACTGCAGCTATTTACCCAGAATACACAATTGGATCATGAGCTGCAGGGAGAGTTTTGCAGAGGAAACACTGCAGAGTCATCTGTTTATCGCTTTTTACATTACACAGATGAGAAAATGTTCACTTTGCACTCTTAAAACTTTGAATCGCACTCTGTTCCTTCAGCACTGGGGAAAAAAAAAACTGCAGTGGAAAGTGAATAGCACATCACAAAATCACCATTTTTTCCCACAATCACACACTCAGATGCAAATGCTGCCACATAGTTATCTGAGGGGAAGTGATGCTATCTCCTCTTCCTGTTACAGTTTTAGTTTGTCAGTCCTTCTGGTGTGCGTATGCAGAGCGTGTGAGTGCTTTTGTGTCTAAATGAGGATACTAAAGTGTGACATTTGGATGAAATCCTCTTTAAACAGTGAGATCTTCCTCTTTGTTAAGGAGAAGAGAACATTTGGAGAAATGCAAGGTTAAATGGAGTTTCTGCCGTCAAATTGAAATCATCTACATGATGAAAAGGGGAAAGATAGTTTGTGTAAAATGAGTCAGGAGGAAACTGGTACTGGGGAAAGTGGGTCAACACGACTTTCCTGAAATACGAAAATAAACAAACTTTAAATTTAAGTCAATCTGGGTATGTTCACATAAGATGAAAGTGTGGTTTTATTGTCTCGTGCTTTTTTTCTGTTGCATGCTAATTTGGCACATTGAAATTTAGTCTTGGCAACGGCAGTAAAATGTCGCAGTAGTTGAAAACAAAACTATCTCCTTTTTATAACCTTATACTTGATTTAAAAAATAATTAAACCTCTCTGTTGATAAGTCAACAGTAGCATATACTTTGTCTCAAACCAAATCAAAATATCACCCAAGTGTGAGTTTGAGGTGCAGCTTATTAGACTGATGTCAGTAGGCAGCTGTATCACAAAAGCCTGCAAAGCATCATTTAGGATGTGTAAATTGTCACACACCAAATCAAAGGAGCCTGTTTCAAGGTTTGATAGGTAGCCTTATGTTTTTAATTTGTTTCTTTGTTTCCTTTTGTTAAAATCGTAGATCTAAATCTCAAAATAGTTATTTGATTTATAAGTCAAGACATTTGTACGAATTGCCTTTCAAAGTTTATGTGAACTTGCAAACTCCTCTGACGTGCAAAATATTGGAATTACGATTGAAATAGAATAAACAAATGAAACACAGCAATTAATCAGGATTCAAAACAGATTATTTCACAGCCCTAAGAGTTATGGCTCATGTATTGGATTTCTTATAATCTCTGTTTATGGATAGATCAAGGTTTTATTTTGCAGTCTTTGTTTGCCCCTGTTCCTTGTGCATCTAGTTACAGACATATTTTAATTATCAGAGTTATTGGAACTTGTAATCTCCATATCAAGTTTCTGTCAACCCCACTGCACTTAAAATTGCTTCGCCAACATGTTAAGCTCCACAGCAGCTCCAGGTTGTCAATCATTCTGTCATGAGCAGCTTTCAAATGCTCGTGTTCGCATGCTGATCACAGTGAGTACAGTTCAATAAATCAAGAAGCAGCTAAATATACAAGTATGGTGAAGCTGCAGGAGATCATTTCTTGCAGGAGGCCTGTTTGATTATGTGTGAATACAGAACTAAGTTAAGGACATGAAGCTGTGCGAAATTTAAAGACTCTGCAATGATTATCATTGGGGATAATGAAGCTGTGACTTTATTCTTTTACAAGAAAGCATGAAAAACATGTTTAAGTCTCAGAGTGTTTCACTCTTACTCCTGCCTTCCTACTTGTTCTGCTTTCTCAATATGCCCTCTACTGGTCATCACAGGGATTTCAAGTAAGATGTTAACCATCTACTTATCTAATAGGACACATATCCCTCCCTTTAAAGAAAAATAAGACCTTGCAGGAAACTAAAACTCAAGTAAATTGATAAGAAACAATCCTGACTCCTAACTCAAATTAAATGTAATTAATTTGTAATCCTGCTTCCTTATTCCTACCAACAGTGCATACCTCAATATCGCATATAATGACATCATCATCATCATCTCGAGGCAAACAGCCAATGAAGACCCGCGAGGGGCCAGTCAATCACGGGTCACTGCCGTAACATCAGCCTGTCATCATGAGCCAAAAGGCTCCGTAACCATGGTGATTAGCCTGGGTTCAAACGCTTGAATGTGTGGCAGATGCCCCCTTGTGTTGGCTCCATATGCACCCGTGGTCATCTTATAGTGTGTGAGGGTGTATGCATGAAGAAGTCCTTTACATCACCACTCATACAATAAAGAGCTGTTGTCCTACTTCTGTGACATATGGCTAATGCATTCATAATGTGATCCATGCGTGCTCTTTCTCTCCAGTCTCTGCGTGTACTTCCTGTTTTGGTATGCACTTTTTTCCCCCCCATGCCCTTGTAACTCATAAGCTATGGTAATTACAGTCGTTAGCTCTCCTCTGTATTGTTCTCGGAGAGGATGGATGAGGAGTCGTGTGGGTGGCATTGGAGGGTGAGGGGAGGGAAGGCAAGGACAGACAACCAAACAGCACTGCCGAGTAGGAGAAGTACAATGGGCCGTGAGTCAGAGGGAAGAAAGAGGAGAGCAAAGATAGGTATGCTGAGAAAAGGTCAGCGCTGGGAGGGCTTTTTTTAAAGATTGAGAACGCTCAGGGATGTTGCGCTTATGCTCTCTGTGTTTTCCAGCTTTAATGTTCATATTTGGATGGGTAAGAGTGAAGCAGGTGACTCATGATGCACAGAGGAGAGAGAGAGGATTGGTAAGTTACTCAACCAAGGCCTGCATGAAAATTTATCAAACAGCTTCTATTCTGAAACAACCAAATTTCTATTTCTAGAAGAAGAGAAAAAAAGAAGCTTGCTTAAGGCTCTGTTTATCCCTACACCAAAAAACTCTTTGACCTTGCCTGATTTCCTCCTCTTCACCACAATCATCTGGATGCAGCATCACTCGACCCCTGCCTTCCTCTCTCTCAAGACTGCACACACTGTTGTTATCTCCATTGTCAGAACTGAATTATCTGAATTATATGCTACTTCACACGCCCAGCAGCAAAACAGACACCACAGTCATCCAAGCTATTCATCCACACTATTTTTTTCGTTATCCTTTCGCTTATTTCAAACCTCAACGCACTAGCTTGGATTTTTCTCCCCACACAGTTCTCATCTCATCTCATCTCTGGACCAAGATCACACTGTCCAGAAGATGAGCCGACCACTGTCCTGGTTTGAGTTCATCTAGAGGATACAGTTGCACACAACGGAGAGCTGGCATCCACGAATTGAATTTACTCTTGAACAATAACAGGTCCTCCAATACACAGGCCTCAGTCCCTCCCTGGTGAGTACATTAGCCTCTGAGCGTTGACCCTGGGCAGCACAGGGTTGTTTTTAATACCTGTTAAAACAGGGGCAGGAGCTGACTGGAAATCACTGTTTCAAATAACCTTCGCACTTAAAGCCCAGTTGAAGAGTGCCCCTGGGGCCTCCTCACACTTACTAAGTGAAAGTACAGCTCTACAATGTGACAGAAGATAAATCTCCATGGGACAATAAAGAGAAAAGGAACAATTCCCCGATATGGGAAAAGAACAACAACAAAAAAATACAGCGATTCAACCCAAAACTCAAAGAAAGCATGCTGGCAGGTTGAATTTTATAGAAATGTGCATGATATTAATCAAAATACATCTTGGCACTCTAATATGTTGTATACTAAATACAAGCATTAGCACACACTGTCCCTTAAAAAATTAAAAACACATATAAATACTGTCCACCAGTCATAACATTTAGATTTCTCAAACTATGAACACTTGAAAATGGGACTAAACAGCTTAAGAGTTACTGAAATACACACACAGCAGAGACTTTGTTCCAGAGAGGTCTGACACACTTAAACGCAAACACTCACACCAGCCATGAACACTTTAGGTTAAAGCCTGCAGGTTAAGCAGCTTACATACAAAAGAAGGAAGGATAAAGAGTAATCCTTGGCACTTCTTATAACAAGATCTGTCTTTGCAGTATAAACAGTACATTTAGACTATTCACCAAAATACAGCACGGAGAACAAACACCTCTGCTTTCTAGTCTGTTTGCAATGTTCATGAAGGACATCAAGCAATTCAAATGTATTCTTGGTATTCAGGATGAGCTCAGTGAATATAAGTGTTTACACATAGCTGGATTGAATCACTGGAAGGTAAAATGAGCCCCTCGGTAGAGTGTTATTTTATTGCTTTTACTTTAGTCATACTAATTTGTATGGTGAGAGCACCTTTGAATTTGTCAGAGGGAAGCAAATATTCAACTTTTGTCTTTTCAATCTCAGTCTTTCTCTTCAGAAATGACAAAAACAGGTTCATCTGCTCAAACCACTGAGGTTTTAAAAAAGCTCATCCCTCTGGCAAGTGCTTGCTGTAGCCAAACCTAAAATAAAATTCATTTATAGAAATGCGTCATCACAATACTCCATCAAACCACCCGGTTGCTTAAAATTCTTCTGAGCTAAATTATCTTTTTCATGAACTTATCTGGGTGGTAAACTCTGGAAAACCACAACCTCCAGTTCCTTACGTTCCTCCTCTTTCTCATCTCAATTTTCTCTGGCAAATACACAGACAAGTAGAACATGTGTTTAAATACTAACCCAGATAAAATAACTAAGACGCATGTAAGTAAGCTCTGTTTACCACTGACATGAGTAAGCTTAATCTGCTGGGAACATTAAGCTATCTTACTAAGGTTTAAGGCAAATTGGTGTTGAAGAAGGTTGAGACACTAAAACATTGTGTAGAGCAATAGAAATAATATGATAACAAAGATATGAGGATAGATTGAGAACACAATTTTGACTCAACACAAGACTCACACTGAAGACGGGTCAAGAAATATACATAACATATTAAGAAAAGCTCAGGGGAGGGTTTTAAATTACAATATCTCTACACAGTGGAGTTTTAAGGTTCCTTAACCTATACAAAGACATCCCACGAACTTTTAATTAGACAAACTTTTGAAGATAGAGGTGCGTATTTTAGCTTCTATGTGACTGAACTTTGTTATTGAGCAGACTTTGATAAGAATACCGAGCTAATTGCTTTGAAAGTCTTTGATATATAAAAAGCATTACCTTTCTACAAAGCCCACTCTATAGATTGTTTTTCTCCCTGCATTAATGCTGCACTTGACAAGATACCATTGATTGCCCATTACGTTTTGATCCACGTTATCATCTGTTTCTTCTTACTGCTGCGTTTTGCAAACCAATGTGGGAAACATGGTTTATTCACCCCCAAAAAAGAGTCATAGTAAGTTTAGTGGGGATACTCACTGTTTTGCTCAACATTAGGGCGGATGTTGGTGTGCTCTGGAGACTCGTATTTAGACCTTCCAGTCAGAGGTGAGTGTCTTGCCTGTGTAAGAGGAAGCATCTATTTTTTCCCCCCTGCAAAACATGAGAGAACATATAGATCCTTAAAACAATACAACAGGATAGACTACTGGACTTCCTCTATATGACATAATGTGGATTGTTACACTACAGGAGTCCCATGGTGTTTGTATGATGGCTACAATGCTTAAAATACATTTCTATTGAAAATGGTGATGATTATGCAACTTTTGTGAATCTCAATGATACACTCAGATGTGATAATGTTAACATTAAACGGCTGAGGATTTTGTGTAAAACTGTAATTTGACATTAGCTAATGTTCAGAGAATTGATAGACATTTAAAAGTGGCAGGGTGTGTTTAAAATTGTTTTAAAATGTGATAACTGACTCTATCACGTATTTTCCTTTGTATAATGATATTCTGGTTGGTCAAAATAAATGAAACAATCAAAGTATGCTATGTCTTGGTCTGTCATTTCTGAGCAACAACAAGATAGCAATAGAAAACAGTGGCTAGTAACCTTTAAAGTGGAAACCTCGTTTACATTTTGAAATGGAAATTAGAAATTACATCAATTTTTCTGAATTTCACTCCATTTTTCAATGAAAGTAGAGCTTTGAAAACAAGACAACAGCGTTTCTCAACGGTCATAATCAAAAAGGTGACGGCTAACAAAGAGTAGGCTAACTGTCCATAACCGTTAAGCTAACACAGACAAATAATCGTTTAAAACCGTTACAAAAGTCTACTCGAGCTGTCGTGTGAGTTCAGTTTGAGTCATAGAAAGAAAGTTTATTAGATGGGTGGGTTTAATGAGGAAAATGCTTTTGTCACCATGTGTTTCGCAATCCTGAATTTCCAATGGTGCAGGAATTAGCCACATCCACAAGTTGCACAACAACGATTCTTTATTGGAGCGGGAATGAAAACCCATAAATCCTTCACTGTTCTCTGTTCACTCAAAAGGACCATCTGCAAATGACACCCAAAAATGTTCACAGGGTGATTAAAACGGTTACTTACTGTATGAGAGGAATTTAGTTCTTATTATGGTGAACGGGAAAACAGCTGCCATTTTGTCCCCGACCTCCCCTGCTATTTCTTATTTGGACATTTTCGGACTCTCGTGAATTAATGTGTTATCTTCCATTTGAAGGGGTAAAAACTGATTCAAAAAGATAGCTTTTGCTTATCACATAGTAAAGGGTGTAATAATATCTTCAAGCACAAGATGGCGCACAAAAACAACAGGTTAAAATGGCAGTCTCCCCAGCTTGTTGAGTTTGTTTGGCATGAGGACTTAAATGACATATGTTGTGTGTTTATAAATATATTTTTGTACTTACTGGGATCATTTGTGCTCAGCAGACCTCCAAGGAGACTCAATGTGGCCTAAAAGTAATAAAAAAAAATAATGTTGCAACTTTTGTAAAATAAATAAATAAATAAAATTAGATCAAACTAAAGCTAGAAAATAAGGCGTATCTGTGCTTGAATAACAAAAGCCTCAGGAGTTTCTACCGAACAAAATAAGTAGCCCACCTACTACCTGTGTGTGAAACCAGTAAGTGCTCCTCTTTCCCTCTCACCCCATTGAACGGGAGTTGAGCTCCCCTCCCTCCTCCTCTTCCTCCTCCTGTTCATAGAAACTCCCCTCCACACTCAGCTGCGTTTCAGACGCGCTCACTCCCGCTTTCCCAGTCGAACCCAGCGACAAGTTTCTCCACGGATCAAACTTTTGCCTGAACTTTTCTCTGGTTTGGATACCATGCTGGACTAATCCCATGAGTCGTCTGGAAAAGGCTTGCAGGTACAATGAGCGCTTTCTACAGGACACCGACTAATTAGAGGTAAATTACACCAGGACTCGAAACTTGCGTTATTTATTCAACAGCTGATTCTGAAACCGTGTTTTATCGATTTTTGGGGGGGCCTGATTAATGTCAGTGTTCGCACAGATACTCAAACAGAAGCTGAGGCATTGCAAGTGTTTTAGGATCAAAACTGCACTTTTGCCATGGAAAATTGTTACCCTTAGTGTTTGCTCACACTCTTAAGCTTTGTGCTTGTAATAAGGGCATTCACCTCAGTGAGCACATACAAAAGGTTCATCAGCTGTCCTCTCTAGCTTGGCATCTTTTTTTTCCTCAATCCAACAAGTGTTTCATAAGTTTAGATGCTGGTGCTTGCTTTGAGTCCCTGTTAATGAGTAAACTATGGGAATTTGGACACTGCACCAGTCTCTTTGATACTGATAAGGATCCCTCTCTTTTGTTTACTCTCAGAGATCCTTTTCTTCAGGGCTGCAGTGTTTCCGCTGTGACCTCTGAGTCTGGACTGAAATTGTGAAGAGGACACAGACACTCAAGGACCATGGATTTTGGCAACGATGTGGATTTGTCCAATGAGAACATTACTCCATTATGGAGACGGCGTTCTGACAACTGCAAAACAGCCCAGATTTCAAGCACGCCCAAACCGAGGCCCCTCAGTTATCACTCCAACGGGGTAATGACGACAGACTTCCCAGTTGAGGACGCCAAGCCCTCTTTCACCTTGAGTCAACCTGCTGAGAAACTGGTGGTTGCACCTTCTTATTGGGGCAAGAACACAGTAGTGCTGAAGCACATTCTGCACAAACCGACAAAGAAAACACGAGTGGTTCGAAGCATCAGCATCGGGCATTTCTCCAACGGATTGTTCTCACTATCCAAATTTAGGTCGGATGTTAACAAATCTGCTTCACTGGACAATAGAGTGTATAATGGAGACTGTGACAAGGGGAAATCTAGTAATGGACTGACAGTTTCGCCCGACAAGTGTCCGCAGGATACGCCGAAAAGCTTATCCAGTTCAATCAGTCTCAACCCACAGAGAGACCAGATAGCATTTGGATCTAGTTCACCAGAGGTTCCCGTCAATGGTTCGTCTCCTGTCCTTGCTCAACGCACTCAGAACAACAATAACTACAACCACCAAGAACTGTCCTCCCTTTCTTACACATCAAGCCCCTCTCCTCCTGCCCGGCGTACCCCAACCCCCTCCCACAGCTCCACTTCCAGCATCCCCTCACTTTCATCACTCACTTCATCAGATCCCCCAACACCACGTTCCCCGTCCCCAGCAGATCGTGGACAGGCTCTCCACAGACAGTCCCCATCCACGCCTTCCTCCTCACAGGACACCAGGCATGCCTCATCCACTTCTTCCCTCTCCTCCACATCACCCACTCCTTCGCTGTCCCCGACCCACCCCCCATCCCCCTCTATTGTCCTCAGCACCCACAGCCCTGCCGCCTTGAAGATGGGCACCCAGCAGCTCATACCCAAGGGTTTGGCATCTGATACTCGCCAGAACAAGGCGCCCACCTCTGGATCGCAAAGCCAAGGTTTGGCAGGGCTGCTGGGGTTGGATCAGAACAAGCGTGCAGTGAAAGCCCTGAGTATGGTGGAATCAGGGAGCTACTTTTCCACAGGAGGGGGTCACGGTGAAGGGACAGATGGGGAAAATGAAAGTCCCGGGACTCTGAAAAGAAGCTTGAGGAGTACGTCTTACAGAAGAGCTGTTGTTAGCGGTGTGGACTTGGAGGTTCCATCAGTGGATCCAAAGGCTCATCGATTGTCTGAGCCTGTTTTTAAAGGGCTTGATGGGGTTGATTCACCCTCCCCAGGCAGCCCAGTAAGTCCTGGGACGCCCAAGTCTTCAAGCCCGAGGACACCCAAACTACCCACTCCAGGGACACCAAAAGCTACCAGCCCAAGGATTTTGAAGCCTGCCAGCCCTGGGATGGAAACACCCACCAGCACTGGGAAAAACAAGGTAGGTCAAACTTCTAAAATAAAAAATTGAGTGTAAATGTTTGAAATACCTTAAAACTCTTATGAGGCGCTTTTGGTTTGTGTGGATTTTGGTGCCCCCTGTGGACAAAGCAGAATCTTTGATAAACAGCCATTAGAACTGGATTTGGTGTGTCTCATAGGCAGCTGAAATCTTGAAACAAAACTGCTAAAAAGTTTAACAGTTAGAGGTGTGCTCAGACTTTTTCAAACTGGGCAGCTGGTGCACTGACACCGATGACAGATGACTGGATAGCCTAACATTGAACAAGACTGCATACTCCTAAACTTTATTCCAAACTTTGAAACTGAACACAACCGAGTGGTGACATCCGTGCATCTGGTTAAGTTACATCTTTAAACATAAGAAAAAAAATGCATGTCTTAATCTACAAATTAAAGGTGCAGTACATAGAATTTAGCAGCATTTAATACAGACTTGGATTGAATTCAAAATTATAGTAGTGTATAATTACCTCATAACCTAGTTGGAGTGGCAACCATACTAAGCATCAAATCAAAAATCAACAACAGTAATGCTGAAATAAACTCAACAGAAATATCAAAACTGGCAGTTTGAACTTCTGAAAATCCTTTCTAATATACTTGAGAATACACACTTAAACTGAGCATAGCTAACTTGCTCTCAAATACTGACCAGAATTATTCTAATACTATAATAGTTTAGAAAAACAAAGCCAAAAGACTGTAAACTGTCTCAGCTGCAAAACAAACTCCACGTCACCTCTCAGTTATTTTTGAAACTTTAAACCTTTTGTTTTTGCTCGGTCATGTTGAGATTAGTTGACTCAGTTAATCATAATCCACCTGCTGTGCTTTTATTTGATTGTGCTTTAAGATTGCCCTGACACGGATTTCTCAGTATTGGGGTCGAGCAAAGTCCAAACTCTAAAACTACAACACAAGCTGATTATTGTTGAACAAACTTAGCAGCAGCAGCAGCAGCAGCAGCTCCAATCTCAGACAAGGCCTTACAAGGAAACAATTAATGTGGTTGTTGGGAGACATGACGTAATGTGACACCAAGCCCTCACTCACACACTTGCAAACATGGGGGGCTCTGTCATTAGCTGAGGAGGAGTAAGGAGGTCATGGACAGGTGATAGAGGGGCAGAAACATGGTTTGTTCGTTCAAAGTTTTTTGTGTAGGCCTGTTTGGCTCGATGTGTTCACTGAAGATAACATATGTTTTGCATTTTTTCTTCCAGGGTCTAGATAAGAAGAAAGTTTTGACATCTCAGCGGACGTTTGACAGCGAGGGTGAGAAATACCTTTAACCTGTTTCCTATTTTTCTGTCTCTTTCAATAATTTCCCGTTTTTAAGGGAATTTGAGCGTAACTGACATGTAGAAATTATGTTTCAGAGGAGGAACTGTACCAGAACTACCAGGAGAAGGCCTTACATAATGACTCAGATGAGGACGCTGATTCCAGGGAACCCAAACCTGATAATGGCATTGTGGTGCAATACAGACCTATCCGCACCTCCTGGAGCCAGCTCAGTGTGGTCAGACATCTTTTCACATCTCTCTCTCACTCTTCCACACCATCTATTCCAAGGAAAAACATACATTTCACATGCAGGCTGCGGACGTGGAGTCTTGGAATGCAAGTGTTGTGAAGAATGCTGTTATATCCAGTTTGGCCGCAGTCCATACCCGTCCTCCCACTGCTTCTGCCTTCTTCTGCCTCTTAGTTTTGTTTATCAGCGAGTACAGGAGCCTTTCTTCCAGGAGTCGGGTGGGCAGGGAGTCAGACAGTCAGCCAGACCCACAGGAAGTCTTGGAAGCACTGCTGGGCTTAGTGCCAGTGTTGGCAAACTCTACACGCTCGTCAGACAGCAAATATGCTCAAAATTTTGCCCCTACAGAGGAGTGCGGTGGCTCTGGATTACATAATGTAGTTAAGGGATCGGAGCGGAGAGATAGAAGGATACAAGGGAAGAGATTGAGCTAATTTGGTTTTCTACTGAGGCATTCCCATCTGTTTGTTTACTTGTTGAGGCGGGGAAAGTGTGGGAGCAAAAACAGGGCCGGCATACTGAGAGAGGCTATTAGAATTAATTCTGTGCAGACAATGAGAAGCACACAGTCTTTAATAAACGGGAAATTGGATTTAAAGTTAAAAACACTGAAAAATTCTCTTTTTATTCCTCTTTCCTGAGCAAAAAAACAAATTGAGTCCAGATAAGACTTTGCCAAGCGTATCAGGACTCTTAAGTATCTTCCATCACAGCTGCTTTACAGCTGTGGATCTGTTGGTGTGAATGTGTTTGGCCAGACAGAACATGATGTAATGCCATGGTATTTTTCCTAAGCTTTCAGATTCTGTTTTCCAAGCTTGTTTAGCATAAGTGTGACACAAAATTTAGGAAGGTTAGTTCTGGCGAAGCGAAGAACCTGATTTTCAAGTCGTCCTCACGTGCATCTCTCTCACCTCCTCCCTTTCCTTAACGCCCTTGTTTTACCCCCTGTCATTAAGCTTTTAATGAAAATGACGCCTTATGTTAGCACACTTCCTGAAAACACTGTTTGTAGTTGCAGTGGGGGGGCTTTCCTGTAGCTATGCGCCTGAGGTTGTTTGTTTTGTTCTGCTTCGGATGAGAACACATGAAATAAAGCTTTGGAAAAGTACTTATAAATCTCGACCAGCTTAAGCGGTTCTGACTCAGTAACACTCAGCGAAGGTGCAAACAAAGGAGAGTTCAGCTGGCACGGCGCAGGACTTTACAGCCTTGTATTGATGGATGTTTTAAACTCATCTGGAGTGTTAAAGATTTTTAAAGAGGGAAAGTGAGAGCAAGGGGAGGTGTGAAGCAGATCTATGTGTGAAAGTGAGATAAAGAACCACGAGAGATGTTTGGTCTGCTGCCGGTTTGTTTGTTCCCAGTGTTTGCCAAAGGCTGAAGGGTAGATACTGCAGAAAAAGAAGCCTCCTCCAGGAACAGTATCACTTCCTTGTTTCCTCTACACAACATTACAGGATAAGAAGCTAGTGGAAGTAAGAAAATACAACCTCTCAGGTGTGATTCTTCCGTTGTGGTTTGCTGACGTGTAAAATTGAAGGAGCCCCAGGACAGACAGGTTAAATTTGGTGAAACATAATACAGGCATGTATTTAAGTCACTATGTCAGAGCTGCAGGCTGATTATTCAATAGCTCTCCACACCCAGCCCGTTCCGAACGATTGCGTAGTTTCACTCTTAGTCAAATGGACCAGATATCATCAGTTAAATAACAATACCTACGTAAATTTAAAGCTAAGTGCTTTCCGCTGTGTGACATTTCGCCTTAGGAATATTTCAGTTTCCTAACCCTAACCTGACTAAAAATAATTCTCCTTACACTTTTATCTCTCTTTGTTCTCTTCAGGTCAAAAAAAGTGGACTGTCTGACCGGATGAGTCAGGAGGAACGCAAGAAACAAGAGGTAGGATCCATAATTCAGTCATTGTTTGTGTCGGAGTGAGAATGAGGAGTGTTTGATGTATCGATTAAATCACATTTATGGTTTTGTAAAACTGACAAACATGGAAATCTGGATTTTCCCTGTTGTAACTTCCTCCACCGCTCCCCCCGGGCTTCTCTTGTTATTGCCCTCCACCCCTCCCCCTTAATCAGTTTCTGCAGAGACACACACAACAACAACAACAACAACACGGCTGCTAGTGAAAGAGAGAGGAGAGGTGTGACAGTTGAACAAATAATGATCTGAAAATGTGTCACATTAAGAATGAAATGACTCCAAGGGTGTTTGACACACTAATGGAAGTGTTCAGATATGCATGGTATTGTTTAATAGCATTCCAAACATGACTGTAGGGTACAGCTATGTCAAGCACGTTCATGACCAGAGACTGTTTCATAGAGGAGGGTGAGTCAGGACTTGATTGGGTAACTGAAGTGCTCAAAGGGAAAAAAAAAAAGTTATGACTGGAATGACATTGATTAAAAAAAATCCTCCCCTGCCCTCTAACCCTCTTTGTTCCTCCTGTTTCCCCCCCATCTGTCTTCATCAGGCTATTTTTGAGGTCATTTCGTCCGAGCACTCCTACCTCCACAGTCTGGAGATCCTGATCCGCATGTTCAAGAACTCTGCAGAGCTCAGCGAGGCCATGACCAAGACCGAACACCATCACCTCTTCTCTAATATCGTGGATGTCTGTGAGGCAAGCAAAAAGTAAGCATGGGCACTTTTGTTAACAACACGTGTGTATTGTTGTGCACTTTAAGACTCAGTAGACTCTGTTTTAAATCATAAATGTTGGCCTTTACATGCTGCTCTGTATTTTTATGCTTCTGTTATTCATTCCCTAGATGTTCAGCAGTCTTGTGGTTTGTGGTTTTGGCTAATGAGCTGCATAATTCTTCTATATAACAGCACTTAAAAGTGGGTAGATAGCTCCCAGTCTGTAAAAACTGTTTGTTGTATGTTGGTATCATTCTTTCAGCCTGAAGTTGTAGCTTCTGTCAGAGTTGTTTTCAGTGTGTGAGAGGCTGTGGTTAAGCACCGCTGAGCTGTTTACTATACGTCTGTGAGGTTGCATGCCAAGCGAGGGGCAGGATGAGTAAACAGGGAAGAATAAAAGAACAATTTAGCTGAGAGATTAAATTTCGTTTTGAGTGAGTGAGCCCTAGAGCACACTAGATGTTTAGTTTTCACCCCATTTTTTAAGGTAAGTGCTTAAAAAATGCCATTACAGTTTAGTGTGCATGTATGTGTGTTCGAGTTAATGATATCCATGTCCATGTAACCATATATTTCCAAGAGACCTGTAAAATAATGGAAACTTTCATGCATGGCAGGCTATGAAAGTTGAGACTGGTGAAAACGGTGCAACCTCAGCAATTATTGCACCTCACCGAACTCCATTATTTCTTGAAATGATTGACAGAGGAGTTTCTAGACCTGCGTGTTCTTTGTTAGCTTCACACATGTTGGTGCCTTTGATTATTTTTTCATTAATCATGCTCTATTTGAGTTTAGATTTAATGAAAACAACTCTAAGTGCCAGAATAGTCTTGTGTTGGTCTGACGTTTGCACACTTTCTCCTGTATTTGTCCCGACTTCACTCAATCTGCTCTGTTCAGTCTGCAGGTTCAAAAGGCTGGTCTCAGTGCGCCCATGTTTACAAAGTGTCACATCTGACTGTTAAAAGACAGTAGGACTTAATTTTCAACAGAAAACACAACTCTAACAGATATAAGACAGAATCAGTTAAGATGTAAGGTAGTAGTTTGTCCACAGGGGGCGCCCAAATCAAGACAAACCAAAAGTATCTTGGTGCAATGATGTTTAATATCCCTGGGCTGTAAGTTACTCACATGCATCTAAAACACTCACAGCCCTCTCCCCACACAGACGAAACAGCAGCCTGCAGATGGAGAGATATTCCTGCTTTTGTTTCCTGAGAGGCTAAAGTCAAAGCCCGACTATCTCTTCCAAGTAAAACATCTTGTTTAACCTGTGCTTCAGGCAAATTTGATCCTCAGAGCTGCCACCCCCATGTCTTTGTGCGGTTTCTTCTCTTTCCTGTCTAAATATTTAAATGGGTTGGGTTAAGTGTTGCATCAGTGTGTGTGTGTGTGTGTGGCCCATGTATAGGAACGACAAAGGAGAGTGAGATGGGCTGCAGCATGTCTGAACACACACAAAAACTGTAATTGTAAATGGTTTGAATTTATTCTGCCTGCTTGTCAATCAGTGTGAGGAAACTGTAAACCATATGCACAGAGGGCTGGGACAATATCCTTTTCTCCCTATTCGAATCTTCTAAATTTTTTTGGATGCCAATTCGATTTAAATTGCGATTCCACGATATTGTCGATTTTCTCGATTTTTTTAGTCTGCATTTTTAACAGTTGAATGATTATGATTGTCTACTGACTAATCCAGGAACCATATTTCCCCAAAAAATACACATCGTATATAAGTCAGTTTTTAAGATTTACTCTTAAATTTTAATTAAAAAAAAAAAAAGTTTTTCGAACATAAAAACTGATTTAAAATTGTAAAAGAAAAAATTGAGATACTTATTCGAATCGATTTTTTTCTCCCACCCCTGATATGCAATGGTTGTGTTGTTAAATGAGAAGAGTTTGCAGTCCTGGCATGAAAGCAGCAAAGAGCAAATGTCATCAACAGTTGCACAAGTGAGCTCTGCACGTGTGCACATGCAAATCTTTAACAAGACAGCCGCGATGAGCTAAAACTCGCCAAATGGTCTAAAAAGGACCTTTAACGGGTTTTACTGCTTGACTCTCGGGTTAAACATGAAGCCCAGGCAGCAGCAGGACTGAGGCTCATTAAACTTAAGTTCACACTACTGCAAGAAACTGGTAAACACCTCAGCAGACTGCACTCTTTTTATTCACTAGTTTTATTCAGGATCCTAATTTTGGGCATATTCCAAGTTTGCGGTATTTAAGTGCCCTTCCTTGACCTCTTCCCTCATGACACCATGCTGCCGTCGAGGTCAGTGGGTTTAGCCCCCATGAGTGAGGGTGTGCAGCCCTAACTTGTGTTTCCTTGACCTGTGAATCCCAGCATGCACCTTTACAACACGGGCCATTGGACAGGTCAGCATGTGTGTGTTCTGTTATCCTGTGTGCCGGCGCTCCTATTAGAAAGGGTAGAGTTCAAGAGGACAGGGTCAGACACAAACACAGAGACACAATTAGCATTGTTTTCCGTAGATGTAGCACCCTATTTGATAAGAACTGGGGTGCTAGAGGTGCTTTTGCAGATGAGCTCCAACTCAGGCAAACAGTCAAGGTCAATGTCCTCTGTCCGTGTCACAGCGTCCTGTTTGTCACCTTGGATCCTGCCTGTAGAAACACTTAGTCTCTTGATGCTGGTCATGTAGCGTGCCATTAAACCGGCCATCTGCTAGAGCTCAGGAAGAGGAAAAGCCTCTGTGTTATGGTTAATGGTAGGCTAGGTCTATTTTAAGAGGCAGGGAGTTCCTCTTTTGTGATCTCGCAGTGGATTTTTAGTCGAAAGGTGTTAGCGGTTTTTCCTTCCTTCCTGACTTTGTATCTGTGGTTATTTCCTATATTTTCCCCAGGGCAGGATGAGTCATGGTTTCTGTGCCTCTGACACAAGCTGCTGCCATGTAAGGTATGAATTCTTGACATACTAACCTTCATTTATTCGTCTTTTGTTCAGGTTCTTTAAGGAACTGGAGGAGAGACACCAACAGAACATTGTGATCGACGACATCAGCGACATTGTTTCCAAGCACGCTCAGTCCAACTTTGATCCCTACGTGACGTACTGCTCCAATGAAGTCTACCAGCAGAGAACCCTGCAGAGGCTGGTGTAAGTGACCTCGCAAACACGTTCAAACAGATTCTCTTATCGTATCTCTCATGGATTTGATCCAACATTACTGTTCTTACACTTTGAACCAGGGAGTTCACTCTTTCTACCTTCACTGAACTCAGTCGCCCTACTTCTTGGCTTGCAGGTCCAAGAATCCGGCTTTTAAGGAGGTGCTGACCAGGATAGAGGGCCACCCAGACTGCAGGAACCTCCCAATGATCTCCTTCCTCATCCTGCCCATGCAGAGGATCACCCGCCTGCCTCTGCTCATGGATGTGAGTCAACTGGAGACGTACAGTAGCATGAGCTCTGGAATTACAAGACTTTGACTCTTATGCAACAGCTTGTTTACTCGTCATGACCCGACTAATTCACCATGAGACATTTTCTAACCTCAGATGTTTGCCTGGCCTTTAACGGATTTGCCCTCTCCTCTTTCCTCATGTTAATGTTTTTCTTCTTCTCGAGTTTCATCTTGCTTCCTTACGCACCACATTATTATATCCCTACCGTGCCTCCCTCTCTTCCTCCTCCTCCTCTACTTTGCTCCACTTCCATCCCCCCTTTTTCTTGTCCCCCGAGGGACTCTGGGGTTTATGCTAGTACACTCAGAGGCTTTTGGATCCTGAGAAAGTTTGGTTTCAGTTCTTTTTCTTCCCACAGCTTTCCTTCAGGCGTCGATACTTTTGCTAGAAAGCAATGTGTATGAATGCCGTAAAACGTTTGCATGTATTTCATCCAAATTTTTGCAAATTAAAAACGCATGTCCTGGTTCTTTGTGTTGCAGACCATCTGTCAGAAGACACCTAAAGACTCCTCTCAATATGAAGAGTGTAAGAAGGCTTTACAAGCAGTCAGCAAGGTGTGTGGACGCTAATGTTTAACATTCACTCTGGATTTCTGTACTTGTGTTTCATTTGTGTAAAGTAATAACGAGACTATTTGTGTGTCTGTGTGCGTTCGGGATCAGGTGGTGAGGAAGTGCAATGAAGGAGCTCGCACTATGGAGAGAACAGAGATGATGTACACCATCAACTCTCAGCTGGAGTTCAAGATTAAGGTTTGTACTGGCTTTGACGAATAAGATCCAGTAGCATTAATGTACAAAGAGAGAGAGAGAGATTGTTTGTTAGATCAAATATTCATACAGTACAATTTTAGACAAGAAATTCATCTATTTTTGGAGATCGAAAAGGGTTGGTAGAGGCTATTTAGCTTATTTGTACCTACCCTCTTTCCTTCCTATTCATTGACCTTTTACATCTCTAGAATTTTAGGATTTCTTAAGTTGCCAAAAAGTAACCAAAGCTATAAGTATTTTTCGATCATACTCCGTTTTAATTTACTTTAAAACTGTGCTGTTGTTTTGCTTTGTTTAATTTCATTGGGCAAGATGTTCCACAGCTTCACCCCCACAACAGAAAGACACGTGCTTTTTAGTGTTGTACGAACGCCTGGTTGTTTTAAATTTCGTTCCCCTCTTAAGACATACCTACCTTCTCTTCCACCTAACATTTTCTGTATATTACCAGGGAGTGGATTGTTGCTTGCTTTGTACATTATCTGTGCAGTTCTAAATTCAACTAGATCAGCAAATTCAAGGAAACATTTCATTAGTATAATGTAAGAATCCTACCTTGTTAACAATCCTTATTGCTCTCTTTTGCATAATATATAAAGGTTGTAAATTCGTTATGTATGTATTTCCCAGACTTCTATGCAATAATTTAGATATGGTAATCTAAGTGTATTATATAATAAGTATAAAGTTTTATGGTTTAATATGTGCCTTGTCCTCCTAAAATACCTATACTCCCAGCCAACTTCCAACTAACATGGTTTATTTTGGGTTTCCAACTGAGGTTATGGTCCATTTTCACCCCTAAAAAAAATACACTCATACACCCTCTCTATCTTAGTATTATTAATACTTACTTCCACCTCTGTATTTAGTTGAATTGGTCTCTTTCCAAACACAATGAACTGAGTTTATTCTCATCAAACCATCATTTTAGTTTACTCAACTCCACTGAGGTATCCTGCAACAGCTGGTTTAGATTCTCTCCTGTACAAAAGATATTAGTATCATCTGCAAAAATAACAAATTTCAATTCACTAGTGACTTTACCTATATACTTTATATATAATATGAATAAAGATGTTAGCTAGCTAATATTTAATGTTTCAAAAATGGCTTTGACAGTATAAAACACGTATGTAGTGCCAGTAACTCCAAACACTAGACTCTGAAGAGGACGTAACGGTAGCAGTCACTATATTGAAAACGCTGACTCAGACAAACTTTTGGGCAACAAAGACACAGTAAAAAAGGTAGAGCCTGTCAAACGAGTCAGCCACACCCTATCAACTCAAATAGTGTTTGTAAAGAGTATAACTTTTTTTGTGGGTGGGGCTTCGCTGAACCGTTAATCTGTGCGCCAAAACAGTCAGCTTCGCACACACATGCACTTTTGATTATCACCTTTGTCCAGCTTCAGCTCTAAGAAGTGGTCGACTGAATAGGGTATTTCTATGGCCGATGCATGTACTGATTAAAAGAGTGCAGGTTTACAAATAGCTGATATATAATGCCAATATCATGTTGTTGATACATGTACATGTAAACAACACACGTATCTAATGCTGCAAAGAAGAAAAAAAGTCGATTACAAAAAAACTTCAATGATCCTTCAAATTTGCATCCAAAGCTTTGACTTTTGCAACATGTGTACACATGCAGACACCACAACACAAAGAGGACACGTAACGTCATTGGGGGTGATTATCTATACACATAATGAAGACAAGGCTTGGCAGGATCAACTGTGCCTAAGTAGTGTGGGAAAGAGCTGTTGGCACATTTGGGATTCACAGATGTCGAGGGAACATATTTTCAGTCTGCATAGCCAGCTGTTCGCACACAAACAAGCATTATTTAACAGTGCATACCATTTACAACACAATGCCTTTCTTATTTTTTTTCCCCCAGCCTTTCCCGTTGGTCTCATCGTCCAGGTGGATGGTAAAAAGAGGAGAGTTAACTGCGTTTGTGGAGGACAATGGCATCTTCTCCAAGCGCATGTCACGACAGCAGGTCTATTTCTTCCTCTTCAATGACGTCCTCATCGTCACCAAAAAGAAGAGGTGAGTTTGCGGCGCTCTCTCTGGGGACAGCACAGGCAGGTGTTGTGTGTGTGTGTTTGCCTTCGCTGGTGGGAGTGTGTCCTCGGAGTGCGAGTTTTGCTCATAACTCACCTGTTCTGACATGTCCTGGGTGAAAGTGTAACCGAAAGCCCTTGGTTTTCACCGTCCTTGCGGCTTTGTGCAGGTTGTGCAACATGTTTTTCTCTTGTCACTTTACTTCAAATGTAAAGTAAAACATCAGAGGAAAGATAATAAATTTCGACAGAAGTCTCAGAAGTGTTGAAGGAGACTTTGGCGTGCCAAACAGGTGCAGTTTTCTGAACCTGCTGCGACTTGGCATCATGACCAGCTTGTTTTTGTCTGGGTTTCAACATGTCTTAGTGCCGTGAATCATCTTGGAGAAAGTGGACCTGCTCGTTGTCTGTGTCTCCGCTTTCCCTTCCTCTGTTTCCTCTCGTTTTTAGGTAAACGCCTTGAAGTAAGCCACAAAGAGGACTTCCTCGAAATTATGTGGTTTTCATTTTGCGTGTGTGTCGCTCGGGTGTGCGCTCAGGATCGTGTTTACTTTTCGCCAAAAATGAAAACCCTCTCTTCCCGTTTTCTTTCCCCCTGCGTCTGGAACTGATTTCACCGCCACTCGCAGACTTCAGAATTCCTGAGACTCATTAAAAAAAAAAAAGTAAAGAAACATTCCTCGTGATATTTTTCTGGGAATTTGATGCAGGGCAGCAGATTCCAGCAGTGCGGTGTCAGGCTTGTGTTTTGGAAGTCGGATTTTGGGGAAAAAAGGGAGTGCTCCGGAATCAGAGTGTGTATTGGTGCATGTGTGAGTTTGAATGGGAGAAGCTGTTATAATATTGGTCCGTTCTGTGGGGAGTGCTGGAGCCCTGCTGTGGCACGCTACTCTACTGCACTCCATCCGCAGTAACCAAAACAAAAACACAGCAGAGCTACACAGGGGCTAGCCATGCACAGCCAGGTCACAGACTCAAGTAGACATAATGCTCTAATAGCTCCTCAGCTTGACGGCATGAGTGTGTGTGTCTCATTTTGTCTCATTTATCACCAGCTAACATTTGGAGGAGAAGCTTAAACACCAAGGAGGAGGAGTGAAATGGTCAAAGGGGTAATCCATAGATCTTGCACGGTTGAGAGAGAACATACCTGTGGCCTTAGCATGTTTTCGCTTTTCTAGGACTATATTTCTACACATGTGGGAGTCAAAGGGCACAGATATGTTGTAGCCTGAGCGTGCCGATGGGTGTACACACTGTCCTTGGTTGGACCTCAAAGGAATTTCTGATTTAGTAACAGCTCCTAGTACTAAATCTAAACTTGTGTGGGTGTATCAACAGTGAGATTTACCGCTGACCAATATCCCCTTATCGTCTTTTTATTAGTCCTCATTAAACCGGATAACAACCATTACAAACATAATTTAACATAGATCCATCAGGGTTTTGTCATCTTATAAATTCTGTTTATGTAAGGAGAGCCAATCGAAAATTGATTATAGTCTTTTCAGTTTAACGGCTCTGCTGTATTAATCAACCTTGAGCTGGATAATAGATCTATTTGAAACCATCCCTGTGTCGGACGGGGCTTTTGTCACGCTGCGGGAAAGTGCTGATCTATTGCACTCTGGCTCGCGGGAACACTTACATAACACTGGGTTCAAACCAGCTGGCTCCTTTCTCAGATTCACTTCCCGCCTTTTTCCTCTGTGATGCGGGGCATCGTCTAAAACTTCAGATACTGTTGAGGGTTCCACTCTGGGTTTCTTCCTTCTGTCTTTTCTCTTTCCTTTGTTAAGAACTTGAATTTTTTTCATTCCTCTTATCCTCTGAGCGAGTGAGAACTTTGAATCTGAGAATTTCCCTCGCTTTACGCTTGTTTAACTTCACCATAGTCTCAACACTCCCTTTGTCATCAGAACAGTTAGCTCTGTGCGCGTCTTTGCGTCTGTGTCTGTGTGCGTGTACATCTCCACGTTCTTACTTCAAGCCTTATCTTCACATCTCTCTGGGGATTTGTGTATTTATGCTTGTGCGCTGGTCGAGAACTGGTTGTACCTAGGAAGAAGGCAGCTGGCACAGTTGTGATGACGTGTGAAGATGCCTGTGCTATCTCTAACAGCAGGCTGATTTTCATTCCAGCAGGCCTGTATTTTTCGTAACGGCGTGAGGATTTCTTCCCTTCCATCGCTTCAGTATTTTACACCTCCTTACCACATTTTAAAGAGGATATCACAAATGTTTTCCACCTTCATTGTTTTGTTTAGTAATATCCCACCCAACCCCACACATGAGGAAACTCAGCACACAAACATGCCATGACACACCCATCCCACTCCCAAGTGTCATTAATGTGGAATTACAAGCATTTCACCTGAAGGGCAGTCAGGAGTCAAACGCTGGCGACCCCAAAAACACACAGACAGATTCTTATTTTACAAACAAAGAGTTAGATTATGAATTAAAATGACTGAATATTAGGGTTTTAGCTTTATGAGGGTTTGACAGGCTGATTTTCTGTTCATGGTAAATGGTAAATTAATAGTTCTTTGTTGATTCATTAAGAGCTGAATCTGGTTTTTAGGATGTTTTTAACCTCTGACAGATTTAGAAATGATCGTACGCCACATAATTCTTTCATTTCATCCTTTAATTTGTAATCAAGATTCCTTCACAACACCTTAATGGACCAAAGGGCCAGTTGTGGTGGACGTTCTTATTCTTATTCCTTTCTAATTTAGACTTATCAAAGACCATCAATATACTCTTATTTGTTTCACAGTTGTATAATTATGTGAGCTTGTAAGGAGGAGTTAGCTGTATGTAGGCCTGGATAATGTAACATCGATATGAAACATGGTCAATATGCTTTTCGACAGCTGTCATTCTGCCATGTTTTGGTAGACTATGCCAATAGCCAATGAAAAGGGGAGTTGCTCCAGGTTGTTCTGTGCTGAACCAATCATGTGCTGAATCAGAACCAAGCAGCATGCCTGCGTAGTAGCAGGCAGCAGCTACATGCAACCATAGCACTTTAACAGCACTGTCGGTGACAAAAAATAAATAAAACATGAGTTCTACTCCTGGCAGAAATGCAGATAAAGGCTCAACAGATGACGACATCGTCAACAACACTGGCATGAAAACATTGGTGGTGTGGAGGTATTTGTTTTTTTGTTTTTTTTTAGGTCAGACATGAAGCAGAGTCGAGTACATGTTGAATTTCATTTAACAGTAACAGGAAACATTTAAGATTGACAAATGATTTTTTTTATTGTGATACATATCGATATCAACTGATATGAAAAAAATATATAATGATAAACTTTTTCCCATATCACCCAGCCTGTAATTCAAGTCCTATTTTTTGCATGTAGCTTAAAGACTTAAAGGAAAGCGGAGCAGCTAGTTTTTCTTAAAATCCACCCACCAGAACTTCAAAAGCAGTAATAAGTTATTTCAGGAACAAAGTTTTTGATGTAGGGAGTAGTTTGAAGTCATCGTTGGCTGTATCAGCCTCTATTTTCTTCCCACAGCCTTATCAGATTTCCCTCTCCCTCTGTTTTCTAAGTAGTTGTCGAGAACAGTCCTTAACCTCAATGATTGGTGGACAAAAGGGGCCAATGGGTAACAGTTGAACCTTGTTGAGAGCCTCCCAACCGTGACTCCAACAAGGCATGACCTCTGAATTCAGAGTTTCTGTGTGGTAATGAAAGCAAGTGACAGATACACCGACTCTACTGTGTGTTCAGCTGTTACCATTGTCCCTGCCTGTGTGTGTGTTTGTGTGTTGAAATCGAATGCTACTGAACCCGTTGGCTTACGTGATGCTAGCTCCTTGTCCAGTAGCTCCTCAGCTCGTCTCGGCTGCTGTTTCAGTCTCGGGTTTGATAAAACACATGTGGTCTGGACAAAAGCCCCTGTTTTTCAGAGCGCTATGAAAACACACACATCTTTTTTTTTCTGCAGGTTCAGCGCCGCATTAGAGGTACTGTGTTACATAATCAAGTCCAGATGTTTTGAACTTAACTCCATGTACTGCTAGACACGGGGTCGTGCTCAGGTAAAGGTACACATGGGAACTGTGGGCATTCTTGGACTTTAGACGCCAGGGGTCAGCTGATTTAGTGTAAGCACATGCAGACGGCTGAACGTGTGGACTTTTGACTGGCACACAATCTGAGACATAATGTGACAGCTGATTTATTAATCCAGGTGAGTTTGATTAACTACGCTGCCTTGAGCCTCTCAGGGGTGGAAAAAGCGAAGAAACATGAAACAAGATCGTTAGGAAAAACAATGAACTTGGATTTGATTTGTGGGAGGGGGCGTATGGATAGAACAGCGGGTACACAACGACCACCGTGTTATATAATATGATGTTCTTCCAATGTAAAGTGCTGTGAAAAGATTTATTCAAATACCTGAATTTATTTTACTCCACTCTAAATTTTCTTTTGACACCATTTGCTGATATGAGATTTTTACGAAAGAGGATTAGGGCAACAAGAATTAAAAAGAAAAATTATAGGAGGGAGATTTTTTTTTTATTTCCATTTGGAGATTACAGTAAAAAATTTTAGATTAAAGTCGAAATTTGAAACAGACAAGATAAAAAAATTGAAATTATGTGAATAAAGTCGAAATTTTAACTTTAATCTCAAATTTTTAATTTTTTTTTTAAATCTCGAAATTCCAACATTATTTATGATATTTCACCATTTTGTAATCTCAAAATTTCAAATTTTAATCCCGAAACTTCTACTTTTTTGGCACAAACTCGAGTTTTTCATCTCTAAACTTCAACTTTCATCTCAAAAAATCTCCTTTCTTTAATTGTTATTTTTTTCTCTGATGTTGCCCTAATCCTCTTTTATAGATTTTGTTATGTCTTTTAATTCAGAATCAAGTAAAATACATGCTTGATTCAAGAAAATCTGGTTTAGCTGCATATGAAAGTAGAAAAGCAGCTGAATACACACAATTTCGCTGCGTCCTGCCAAAAGATTATCCGTACATCATGAAATAACCCGCCTTGATTACTTTTACAGATACCTGCGGTCTGATTTAATCGTCTGTCTCTTTTTCTTTCAGTGACGAGAGTTATACCGTGATCGACTACGCTCTGAGGGACCAGATCTGGGTGGGCTCCTGTCAGCCGGAGGATCTCAACCTGTCACCTGTCAGAAGCACCACCAGCATGCTGAGCTCACGTCAACCGGGCGCAAACCACCTTTTCCGTCTGTGTTTCCGTAGCAACCACAGTGGCGAAAAGGTGCCGATGATCCTTGGGACGGAGTTGCTGTGAGTGCTATTTCCTTTTCACCTTTGTCCTGCTTTATTTTGGTTTCACTTGCGTTTCAGCGACTGCTGTCACGTAGCAGGTGAGTCACTTTTTACTGGCAGGATGCGTCCTCTGCGTCTGTTTACCTGTGCACATGTAGGTCACTGTACACATATGGTTTAAATTTCAGTCTTCAGCTAAGAAGGCAGAGAGGATTTACTTTATTTTTACTTTTATTAATAAATGAAAACCCTGGATCCTTCTCCGCTCTTGAAAACCAGTCCTGTGTCTTTCATCTCTCCTTTATGGGCTTTTAAGAAATCTCAGACAGCTCTCTTCTCAGCTCTCTGTCTCTATTAGGACCATTATTCCTCACAGGGGTATTTTGTTACATATACGCTAACTAAGCCTCTCTATTTTCTGTTTGTTCGACTGAGGAGATTGAGGTTATTAGTCTGTTTTGCAGCTGTAATCTCTGCTACGCAGACCGGCTGCACCAGATGATTGTTTTGTTGACTGAGCATCTTCCCCTTTAACCATCCAGCCTAAGCAAAGCAACTGTCTTTGTTTAGAGTCGACTAGTTGTAGTGGAAATCTATCGCACATGCAGCGTAGATGATTACTCACATCTGACCGAGAGAGAAAGTCAGCTGGTGTGAGGTTTCTTAAAACTCATGCAGGATGGTCAAACTCAAACTAACTCCTCCTCCTCCTCTTCGTCGCTCCATTCCATCACTCTTTGTACAGCAAACAGAGTGAAAAGCGAGGTTGTTTAGATAGATTATATAACCCGTGCAAACAAAGGAGATCTGTCATTTACCGAGCTTCACACAGAGTATATTTGTTCTAGTTAACTCTGAGAGCGCACGTACTGTACACAGATGTACATCACGCATTCACGCACGGTCAGATTTCACTGTAATTATTCGCTGTGGTTCAAGGCTTTGTTCGGGAAGGCAGATCCTGTTCCTCCTCATTCCTGTGAACCCAGAGAGCCTCCCTCTGTATTCTCGTTCTCGCAGGTGCAGTTTCCACTGAAACACGACTTTACAGGAGCTCTTTTTTTATGCATCAGCAATAAATTTCATGAGTACTTTTAGTTTTTGTTTGTTTCTTTAGGTGTAAAGCTACAGTTGCATTAAAACTGAAGGTCAAATGTAAGGGATGCTTTGTAGTGAATGGGTGGTTATGCTAATTAGAATCCCAAAAGGGTGAGCAAGACCTGAAGGATATGAAGCAGATGGGGATTTAAAGAAGAGGGGACCCAAACAACTGTTGACAGCTTAAAGGGATATTCTGGCGTAAAATTAATGTAGAGTCAAACACACCGTAAAACCGAGTTAGACACCCCCTCGAGAGATGAATGTTGCAGACCGCTTGCTTCTCTAGTGATACCAACTTTGGTAACAACCGCACGTTAGCAATACACAGCAGTCTGAGGAGCCATAAACAAACCTCAATCAAAACGCCACTCTATAGCCACAAATCTTTTTAACTTTGCCTAATTTCTTTAGCAAAGAGACTAAACACAACTCACCTACTCTCTTCCAGCAGCCGCTTGTTTGTAGTGAGACCTCAGGCCAGTCCATTACAGACTGCAGCGGGGTGACGCAGCTCAAGGAAGAACATTTATGATCATTTAGTCATGGAAACGCAATCAAACTGAGATGTTAAGGCAGAAGAACTACTGCGTCTGCAGAGCAAAATGATTAATATGGTGATTATTACTTCAAGGAAATGATAAAGAAATGATCATAAATGTTCTTCCTTGAGCTGCGTCACCCCACTGTGGTCTGTAATGGACTGTCCTGAGGTCGAGTTACAAACAAGCGGCTGCTGGAAGAGAGCAGGTGAGTTGTGTTTAGTCTCTTTGCTAAAGAAATTAGGCAAAGCTAAAAAGATGTTTGGTGGCTAGTGCTGTAGCTAGTACCCTATATGTACTGTTGATGAAGTTAGGTGCTGTTCTGAGCATTGTTTGTGGCTATAGAGTGGCTTTTTGGTTGAGGTTTGCGTGTGGAATGGTAGACCACTGTGTATTGCTATCGTGCGGTTATTACTAAAGTTGTATCCCTAAGTTCATCCTGTCATCTTTCAGTTTTGTGGATTCCCTGTACTGTACTGTGTGGACTGGAGGTCGTCCCTTGCTGACAGAGAAGCTAGTTTTCCAGTTGAATAGCAGTGTAGCCCTCCATGCTGTGAGGAAGTAAAATACCTGACAAAGCAGCAGCAGTAATATTGTTAAGTGTGACTGCTGCGGGCCTCAGGAGGAGGTAATCTTTTTGAAATGACTTTTTGTGCGGCCCACTCAGCCCCATACTCTGCCCATGTACACACGAGGGGGTCGCCTCTTATTACTGCCCCCTCTGTGTCATGTGCATGTTGTTGTGGGAAGCCCCCAGACGCCCCCCTCTTTGATGGCGGGGGTATGGGGCCCATGGCTTAGTTGTAACCCTGTGTGTGTTTGTGTGCGAGTGTGTGTGGGGCGCAGTCCTCCACTCACTGTAGCACTGAATGAGCCGACAAGAGGAGACCCTGGCAGCTTTCCATTGTTACAGTGGTTGCTAAGCGCGGTGAAAGCTGTTGCCTAGCAGCAGCCCATTGTTAAGCCAACTGTTTCCCACGACTGTCCCTCTCTCTCACAGGCCACTTCACTCACACCGACTCATCCTCGCTGTCCCGTGTCACAGCTTTTCGACAGCGGCCGATGTCTGCTCTTTGTTTCTCGTGACCGGAGGATAACTTCCTCTTCCCCGAGTCGTGCAAAACAATTTAGTGATCTAACCTAACATGACACGTGGAAGTGGTCCTACAACTACAAAACCCGGGCTGTTCGGGGGTCCTGTCAGAGTCCTATAATGTAAACAAGAAATGAAAACTATTCAGGCTTTTGGCTGGTCATAAAACAGACTCATGTTGATATTATTGTAACCTGATTCGCTACAAAACCTAAATAGACCATTACTGATAGGGCGGCCATGGATGGGGGTCTGGCAAAGTGAGTTACAGACATTTTCTTACATTTTCTACTACAAATATGAAGCGCGATTGGCCTTTCACTAAAAGAAGGATATTTTTTCATTATTTCTGGTCAGACATTACCTGCAAATGTTTGGGGTAAATTGACCCTAACCCAAAAAGGAAAATAATAATGATATTTGAGAAGTTGGAATGAGCAGCTTTTTACGGCATGGTTTTTGAGCTAATAGTTGAAGAGCAACAGATGCAGAGTGTAAAGGACTTCTAGTCAACTCTATCTTGTAGTTCTAGTCCAGTGTTGGGCTAATAGAAATAAGACACATGTTGATAGCCATAGAGCAGACCATAGGGGTGGGAGAAAAAACAAAACAGCATAGTATTGCGATATTTTGTCTGGTGATTTATCGTATCATCTTGTTTACGTATCAATCTTTTTCAAATTAATCGCTAATCTGAAGTCAAATCTATAATAATGGAAAAGTAAAATCAACAGTTTGTCCAGTGAGGTGACATCATAGAGCAGGAGAACGTTAGTACAACAAATATATATATATATATATATATATATATATATATATAAGGTTTGCAAGATGTGCCACATGAAAATAAAATACAGCGTAAATAAGACAAATATTGCAAAATGTTACAAATCGCAATAATATCGTATCGTGGCCCAAGTATCGTGATAATATCGTATCACGTGATTCCCACCCTTAGCAGACCACACCTAGAGTTCCTGACCAATAATTAACCTGTATTTTTTTAAATCGTTAACATCGATGTCATAAACTCTTGATATTATTGTTTATTAGGATCCCTGTTAGCTTTTCTCAAGACAAAGCTAGCCTTCCTGAGGTCTGACACAAAGATAAAAACGTTACATAAACCTTCATTAAATGATTAAACAATCACCAGTCTTCAAAATAATTCAATAGAAAAAAGAGGGAAAAAATGGTACTAGTAATGAAATAAGTCAGAGTCACGTATAATACATTGACTTTTGTGCCTCTGAGGAGATTAGAAGTGTTTTGAATTTTCTTGAAATTAATTTTTGTGCTTGTATTTTTATTATAATTAGGCATTGAGTTCCATCCTGTCACATATCAATAGATAAAAGTACATTCAGTAGCTCTGAAGCGTTGAAAAAAGGAGGCATCTACAGTGTTTATTTAACTTTAAAGCAGCCCTGAAAAAGAACTGCTGATTGGCTGTATCATGACGGTCAGCTAATCTGTTCAAAAGGCAGAAACCACAAAAATAAATGAAGACTGTGGGAGAGGTAAAGCAAAGAAAAGTCTGTTTCATATGTTCGCCTGTGTTGTTGACTTCCCTGCGTACCAAAGTTCAGCTCAAGTTGGTCACCAGTGTGAAATTCCTCACATTCTGACCAAAGGTGGGTCTGTGTTTTTAGCTTTTTGAATTCTGTCGAAACGAAACCCGAGAAACGGGCTTTCCTCCAGCCGGTCAGTGTGGGTGTTTGTACTTTCACTTCCATTAGTTCTACCTGCCAAAGTGGACGGCTTCTCTTTCATAGTGTGAGGTCTAAGAGGATGCATATACAGTAGAAGGATCCTTGAAAACAGCGGTGACATAACACATGAGGAATCCGGCCAGACAGCTGGAATCAGAGATGGCACAAGGACGTCTGTGTGTCTTTGTCTGAGGGCCTCTCTGGCATCCTTTGCTGCTCTTCTGTCTATGTCCTCTTCCTCTTCCCTGTATGCTTTATGTGTAGTGTTTGCATGCCAGTGTATTCTCCCCATGACCCTGATGTTCTCTCCAGAGTCGGATAATAGTGCTTCTCTATTAGGGGGAACAGAGGAGCTATAGAGGGTCTGCTGCAAAACAGTTCTGTTAGTCAGATATGCAGCTATAACACAAAGCAGCAACGGTTACATAAGAGCCCCGACCGGAGGAGGGTGTCTGTACTGCTGGTGCGCACTTTGGCTTTGTTTTTTATTATCGTTTTGACTCTGTCTGTTTTGGTTTATATAATTTTTTTTGTTCCCTCCTATGTCTGCTTTCATTTATATGATAACGGGGAACTTGTTGATGGGAATTGTTCCTCCTGCTTGGGAGTTTCCCTGGCTGGACGAGATGTTATCCACTGCACCCCAGAACTTCTCTGGAACTGCGGTTAAACGGGAAAAAAAGAAAGGACTCGGTGGAGAGTAAACAGACCGATAAGAGTCAGCAGAAAGGGCTGAGAGGTGAGGGAGAAATTCAGAAAAGAGATGAAAAACAGCGGTCTGGCGTTGGTTTGTAAGTTGGCAGAGGAAGGAGGGTTAGAGGGAGGCTGTCATCGCTCTTTATCTACTTGTGCGAAAGAGGTTTTGCAGCGCGGCAAGCGAGGACCTCTTTGCTTTTCAGATGTGAAACCAGAACCTCTGACAACAGATTTATGGTTCCCTTTCACATTGGGGGGGTGCGAGGGGTTAGAGGAAAAAAAGAGGGAGCTTTACTACCACGAAACGACTGATCCTGCACAGTCCTGCAGTTATGCAGAGGCGAAGAGGGCAAGCACCTGCTCTTTGTACATATGTGGTATTCACAAGCCTGCATGTAAACACACACACACACGGAGTTGAAAGGCAGTTTTTTTTCACCTGAAGTTTGTTTGGTATGTGCTTTGCATTCCTCAGATAACCATTAAGTGCTTCTCAAACATGTGGGGTCGCCTGTTTGCGCCCACGGTGAATACGTTGAATGCGCGTCGCTTCTTAGTTACAATAAAGTATTTCAGCTGTTAAAACATGAGGAGGCGACCTGTCGGGATGCGGTGTCGTACAAACATGTGCGCTTGTATCTGACTGTCAGCATGTGTGTCCAGCTGTCAAAAGCATGGACTAACAACTGCCTTTCCCACAGTGGAGCTCGGATGTTACAAGTTGCATCGTCAGCACAGATGGAGGATCGGACAAATTTGGATATGAAAAAAAAAGAAACTTTAAAGAACTGAAAAGAAAATAGTTGATTTACTGGGTCATATCTCAGACTTTCCATCTACGAACAGCCTCCTAAGTCATGCAGAGCACAAATAGGTCTAATAAGTTTCTATTGAGACCATAAAATCTGTCATAAAACTCCAAAGGTCACACTCCCCCAATTACAATATGGCTTTATGGATGAACTTTAACAGACTCTAACTCTAGAGTTGATGATTTTATTTAAGATAATTCTTGTAAAAGTTTATGGAAAGTTCACACAGTCCAATTAGATGTTGAGGGATGACGTGACCGCCTGTTTAACAGCCTGTGTGTCCCGAAAGGGATCAAAACTGGCCAGTGCACAATGGGAGCACAATAATGAGGTCTGACTCATGGGACTTGCCCGTTTGAGGTCCTCTCCAAGCCGAAATAAAGAGCATTCACAGAAAACGTTGTGTGATAGTCTGCGCATCTGCATGCTGCTGAGTCATATAGAGGCCTCCACAACCCCCTCAGCTTCATTTCCTGCACCCCTTATCTGTCCTCCTTTCTAAATCCAGGCCCTCCCCTCCTGCAGTAGCAGATGAGAGCAGGTGAAACGAGAGATAGAGTTTCTTGGAATCTGACCTGCGCGACTCCACCCGCTGTTATTTTTTTTCTTTTTTTTTCCCACAAAACGCTTTTAGAGAGAAGAAGAAAGCAAAAACCCAGTCGGTGCTCTCTGGAGAATCCGCCTTTGTGCTTTTCCTCTTCACCTCTCTTGCACTGAAAACACACCTCTGTTCTCCTGTTGACAGCGGAACGAGAGAGGAGGGTGAGGAGGAAAGGCGAAAACCTGCTCGGCAACAAAATGATTCAAATCCTAACCTCGATAGCTGTTCATTTTTGCACACGGAGGCCTGCTAAGTTGTATGAATTTGGTTTATTGTTAGAAACAGCACTTTTAAACTTGTTTAACCACCTGTTTAAAGGCGAGGAAACCTTTAAAAAAAAAGAGGAGTTTAAGGATTCTTGGTCTGTTTTGACACAGCTGAATAATTCTTGTAAACTGTCGTGTGCTTTCAGGAATGAGCGAGCCCGATGGATCAGCGCTCTGGGTCAGAACGTCAACAAGGAGAAGAGTCAGGACAGATCCTGTGAGTCGCCTCGTACACGCTCCTTTAACTCTCTTTAGCTTACAGCACCACCTTGTGGTCATTGTGTTGAACTGTTTTTCCTAGAAAGACCACATAACAGTTAAATTTCAATCCAGATAAGGCATGTTTTCATGGTCTGCAGTGATTTATTTCATGTTTGTGTATTTGTGTGTTGTTTTTTTAGATGTCATGCAGGTGGAGGTGATCAGAACTTACACAGCCAAGCAGCCAGACGAGTTGTCCTTGCAGGTGGCTGACGTGGTGTTCGTCTCCCAGACTGTAGAAGACGGTACGTCAGCTCTTAAATGTCTCTTTCACCCTTCTTTCGTCCTTTAGCTGCTTGTTAAATATTCCTCCTTTTTTAACCTCCTTTTGTAAACCTGTCTCTCTTGATTCTGTCTGCTCTTGAAGATGTGGTTTCAAATCAGGAGGAAAAACAAAGAGGTCAAAGATCATCTTTCTTGTCATGTAAAAGAAGCCTCAGAGAAACCAAAATGACACCTAACACGTCTAACTTTCCCTGCGTTGACTGTTTCAGGCTGGTATGAAGGTGAGCGACTGCGGGACGGAGAGAGAGGTTGGTTCCTCGCAGAGTGCGCCGAAGCCATCACATGCCAGGCCACCATCGAGCGCAACATGCAGAGGATGGACCGCCTACAGGGGCTGGAGACCAACGTGTGAGCCGAATGAAGGAAGGTGCTAAAACCACGGAGGGCTCTCTCCGCGGAATCTTTTGGCACAAGAGTGACCTTTTCCTGGCCAACCAGGGCGAATAAGTTCAGAAGCGGCGCCAACGACCCGCCAGCAGGGACTGAGAGGACTCGCTCGGGCGCTGTCCGGACTTCGACTCAGCTTTCAGAGTTTCACAGCGAACACTGTTCAGAACAAACAGTGGAAGAATAGAGACTTCCCTAATTACTGATCAGCCCCCGTGTGGGTTGGCTGGCTCAACAGTGGGATCTGTCACATTCATTAATTCCTCGCTTGGTGAGAAAACTTCACACCCACTGCAGGGGTCACAGCTTTCAGATCCACGCTGCATTAAACTGCCAGCATGAAATTTGTCGATTTTTTAAAACATATTTCGTTTTGAAAGTGACGTGCAATGATTCGACTCACGACCACATTATCGCAGGTAAAGTCGACCAAATAGTGTCAAACTGACAGCAGCCTGATGTGTGCGGTTAATGAGCCTCGGGTCATGTGATCAGGAGCTTTGCCAGGAACAATGAAACTATGAAGATGTTAATGGGAGGAGGGGGGAGTGATGATAAGGCTGGAGCGTGGGTTTGGCAGCTGATTCCGTGCAGCGTGTGGGTTAGTGCTGAAACTTGTAGCAGCGTTTCTATAGCATCTGTTCACAAACGAATTTTTTACTCGACTAGAAAATACAAACGGGTTGTTAAGCTGCAAAAGAGAAGAGTTGAATGCTTGTCTGAAGCCCGTGGCACTTTGTGTAAATAGATTATATCGTGATTGTGTAGATGATGTAAAGTCAACTTGGTGTATTATCATCGTGTCATTCAGAGGAGCCAAGTCTCGCGTCTCCACCTGGCTGTTTTTCACCAGTTATAATGTCAACACCATGAATCAAACTCTACGCTCCTTCGACAAACGACATTTTTCTCTCCGTCCGCTCAATGATCCGGACACTTTGAAATACGGCGCGTACTTTGATGCCAGCCAGGGGTGTAATCTTAATATCTCTCCGTAGATTTATACCTGTGATGGCGCAGAGGGAAGCTAAAATTAATTTCTGTGTGAGCTGATGGCCCAGCCCTGCTTTTAATGTGATTGTCCACCGTGAGTCATCTTTTTTTCGCCTGGCCCGAGGATACGAATAGCCCGGTCTGAGCGCGGTCGTCACGCCATCTATCAAGCTTACGCAGCTCTGGCACCTGCCCAAACGTCACGGCCGCAACTGTTGAACTACATGAAGAGAAGTATGAGGGTTAGCGGGAAGGACGACAGACGAAGCTTTGCATTTGCACTCAGGGAAAAAAGAGCTACGAGCATGAACTGACCTTTATTTCAATCACTCTCTGTAACTTGTAAGTATTGTAAATCTGCGCACTGTAAATATGTAAAACAGCATGAATTATATAATATGAATGTTTTCCAGAATACAGATTTATATTGCTACTTAGTCAGCCTTGTATTTTAATCTACCACCATAAATAAAAGCTTTATCCCCTAAGGCCTGTCTTGTACTCTTTGACGCCAATGTGACATCTTTTTTTCTTTCCCTGAGGAGAGCCCGCCGCCGCAGACCAACAAACGCCTCCATTTTTATTCCTCGATGTCTAAACTTGTAGGATTTCATCTCGGATAAAGCTCTGATGGGAGAGTGTTTGTTTGTTGTGCAGTTCCTTTAATGACATCGTTCAAACTAAAAACAGCTACAGAGAGATTTTAAACACCGGTCCTTGCAAAATACTGAGAAGGAAACGTTAAATTACACTGGGAGTCATTCAAGTGCATTTTTTCCAGGGTTTTTACATCTCGGTTTTGGCCTTAAGGAGCACCAGGGGAAAACTAAAGTTGAAACCAAGCAGCACCATCAATGAGAGCAGCTGGTTATCATAAACATCCCAGCCAAACCCTCAGTGTCGAAGGATGTAGTCAGTCTTTTTTCCCAGGCTCCGGAAACCCCCACTCTGCCTCTTAATCGTCATCGTCGTCGTCATCGTCATTGAAGTAAGTGTGGTGCCCCCTCGGCCCAGACGTCCACGGTCTGCCGTAACCTTTGGTGCTGCCCGACGGCTTCTCCTGCGTCGTGATGAGGTCTATGATGGCTGTGATGACAGCGCAGTCTTTGGATTGACGGTTGTGCCAGTCCACGGGGGCGGGGCAGCGAATCTTCTCTTCCAGCAGAGAATCCAGCTCTCTTTTTAAACTCTAAAAATGGCAGTAGGCAGAAGTTAATTCTGACGTTGGAACAATGATCATCTTTTAAAGCATTTCCAGAAGTGTCCAGAAGTTAAACGAGATGAAATCCTGAATTCAGATCAAAACCAGAGCCAAAATGTACCCCTCCAAATTCATCTGCAAAAGAATCTGTCATTTCTTTGTTCACCGCGCCTGGGAGCAGCACTCGTTCATTTCTGATAAACGGTTCATAATAAATCACAGAGGCTTCACCTTTGCTTACTTCAGCGGTATAAACAGATTTTCAAAAAGTTAAAATGCAAACGTTGTTAGATCTGTCTTCCAGACGGAAAGAAAACAACTCAAAGTACCGATGGAGGTCTGATGAATCATTTCTGATGCATTCAGGCCAGTCTGGAAATCTAATTACAGCTTGCATCGTGACGGTGTTGAGAAAGTTTTTACAAAAGTTCGAATTATCGATCCAGGATAGATTGTTAGCACTTGCATGCAGATGTCTGTCTGTAGAGATAAATCAGTTGTCAGATGGGACATCATCATAGTGAATTGCCTTCTACCTGAATTTGCGACTCCACTCAGACTACTAATGTGTCGTGGATACTACCTGGACTACAAATGTGCAAACAAAACCAAGGCCCACATCTCACAGGTTCAACATTTTTAACAGAATCTGTAAGTAGTAGGGCTGTAATCAATCAAGGAAATTCTTAGTCGACTAAACCCTGAAATTTCTGACCAAAAATCGACTAATGGGCGGTAAGGGGGGTGAGACTTGGCGTTGATTAATGTGGACGCTCTTCAATCTTCCTGTCTCCAGCTAGTCTCCATTGGATTGGGTGAATCCAAAATGGCGAAAACAAGGGGGGTGTTCTGAGACAGGCTGCTACCTGTGAAATGGGGGTGCTCTAAAAACAACTCCATTAGCACTTGGTATGTTCCTCCTGATGAAATTAACCATAGACTATAAATTGACGTGGAAAAAATCAAGTCGAACAATCTGAATTTGGGTCGACTCAGTATATATCGACCATAGACTGTGTATAGAATAGATGCCGTCTGCCTCCTCTTGCTGTGAAGCCACCGCGAGAACAGCACCCTCTGGTGACGGGCTGCAGTATAGGTCTTAAATCCTGCCTCTTCCAGCAATCCTTATGGAGCTGTGGACAAACTAATTAATTACAAAGAATATACATTTTTCTCCCCCCTGCTTGCGATGTTGACATGTAGTTACTGTAAGACTGGTTTGTGCTAAAGTCATTTTTTTCTGTACAGCTCCATTTTTAAAAGTTATTAGGCGTTTTATATTTTCTATGATTGACACTTGATACAGCCTATGGCCGTGTTTGAGCCGAGCGTCATCACAGCGACTATCAGCGACTCTCCTGCTAAATGCATACAACGCTACTGCGCAATGTTGGTTTAATGAAGCAGAGAAAAAACGCGAAATTACCAAGAGCTTTTCGGCTTCAAATCCGTATACTGGCGGAAGGCAGAACCAAGTTGTCCATAGTATAAACAGTCTATGGTATCAACCAATACGTCGACCAGTCGATTCAGACTTTACAGCCCTAGTAAATAGAGATTTTACTCATCCTGACTGAGCTGATCTTACCTTGACAAGATGAGCGATACGTGCCGGCGACCTGAAGACGATCCACTTGTCAACGGCGACCGTCTCCTGGTCCTCGTCTTTCTGGATCGTGATGTCTCCGCCGAAGAACAGCAGGGAGAACGGGGACACCTCGGTGCAGTCATACAGGAAGATCTGAGGACACGCAGGAGAAGAAGTGGCTTACACACCGTGACTCGAGTATAACAAACAAAACACATCTCTGCGCGTGGTGACGGGGGGGGGAGCAGCATCATTATGACACACGGTGACCCAACAGCTCCTCTGCGGTGTGGGCTGAAAGTGTCCCATTAGCAGAGAGGCCGTGTGAGGTTGAAATGCTTTCTGTGCCCACAGTGGAAGAGAAATGTCATCTTGCCCTGCCTGTTGTATCTTGCAAATGCATCAACTCTGCTTTGCATGTTAGATTCACAGCTGCTTATGCAAAGTAGATTGAAAAACAGCAAAGTTTAAACTGATGACGGTGTAAGTAAATGTCGCCACAAATATAAAAAAATTTAAAAAAACAGAAAACTCCGGATAGTGCAGACAGCTACAGGTGAGATTTAATGTGCTAATCTAAATGCATGCACTCACAAAAACGGCTCAGCTCTCAGGTCAAAAGCCACAGAGAACGCATTAGCAGCTGAGTGAAGCGTTGAAAAAGAGCGCCAGGAAGAAGAGGAAGGTGAAGGTGGGCACACAACAGAAGGGAAAATGAATCAAGGAGGGACGTCTGAGAGATGTCTGCGTGGATATCTGCATGAATGTGAAATATAACAGACCATCAGGGGCGAGTGCATCAGAGGAAATGAACTTTAATGTCGTGATTCGCCGACCTCGGTAAACAAACGTCCCTGACAATCTCCCAATCTCTGATTACTTTGCTTTTAATAATTCACACAAATTCAAAGCCTCGTCTGCGAAAAACTACTTCCACCGCTTTGAGAGTTTGAAAAAGAGAAGACATAATGATGATGAAATCCAGCAAAGGATAGGCGGCAGAGGAAACTAGCGTTATGGGAGACAATGAGGGTGGACATGAAAGCTGCTTTTTCCTGTCGAACATTCACAGACAGAGACGAAACGGAGAGAATAAAGACGGACAGATGGGAGGGGAGGAGTAAAAACAGAGAGGTAGAAAGAGGGAGCAGAGGGAAGGGCGGCAGTCAGGGAGCCACATTGACCGTTTTACCCCCCCTGCGACCATCTCCTACATTGTGTTTGGAGGCTTTGAAGCACAAGAGCCTTTGAATGAGAGTTGAAAGGCAGCCTTTTAATCAAATATTCATTCAGTGTAAAGCTGCTATGGCACCACTCTCAACCTTTAACCACCGGTCCTTCTTTCCCTCTAACACAGTCAATCAAAAGGATATGAAAACCAGCACTCGGCTGTAAAAACACATTTGTTTGTGTTAAAATCCCCTCGCCTACTCACGCTGCTGGTCCTCATCTTCAGGTGGTAGATGAGCCACGTATAGTTGAACTCCGTCTCCTCTGCGTTGACGGATTTCGGGTGGATACACACCTTTCCGTCAGCCTGGGTGTACACCTTAACCCTGAGGGAGATACCATGTGAAAGTGAGTATGGGTATAACCACGTACTCAAGGCAGCATCTTTTTTTGTGGTGTATAAACAAAAAAGCTTTTAATATCAGTCGCTATGAGTTATTGATGACATTTGGTAATATAACGATATAGCTGTGTTCTCTTATGTCTGTGTTAGTCAACATTTTAAATTTTTTGACGGCTCGCTCTTTCTGACTGTAAACAAAGCCATTCTCCGTCTCCCCCATCCTGATTGGTTAGGCGGACGCCGCTCCCCCGTGTCGTTCACAACCCGAACAAAGTTAGCGTGCTACAATATCAGACAGTAGAAACCAACCAGAAAGTACGGAAAATTGTCTGAATCCTCCTTTAGCCATAACCACAAACACATGCAAGAAAATGAGGTAAATATTGGAGACTCTGGCGGAATAACGGGCGCTTAAAAAGGAGGTAGACCGGACAAGAGCTATGAGGCCAGGTCAACAATGATGGGGGACGCTTCAGGATCTTACAGACCCTGTAACCTTTCTGCTGGACAGGTAAACCTCTTGAACAAAGTCTGTAACAGAAGTGTTTCTTGTCAAATGAGACCTGCTGCGTGTCGTAGCGCCGCTGAACTGTTTAGCTCAGGTCCTGTCGTCTGTTTGTGGGCGGGGCTTGCTGGAGCTTGGAGGAAAACTGGTTGGGAGGGGTAGAGTTTACATCCAAGACTTCTCCCAAAAACTGGCACTTCCTCAGACCCTGCCTACCTCACTTTTAAGCCTTTTTTTCAAACGGGCAGGTCCAGCAGCACGCCATCAATCCCTTTATCTTACACCTTACCCACGGCGGCAGTTTCAGGTGCCTATGACAGCTGCTTTGGGAGAATCTCATGTGAACGCATTGATCTGCAGCAGTTTTGACAATGCTCTCCTCGCTGCGAGTAATTGTCGCAGCCCCCTCGCCGACCTCTTCACTGAAGATCTGATAATCTATTCGAGTGTGAAGGCCGTTTTCCCCATCTTCAGATCAATGGGCGTGATTGTGCGGTTCATTCCCTATATTGTCCTCCCCGTCTTTGTTCATCGTCATCCTCTTTGAGTTTGCGGACTCACCCTGGCCTCTTCTTGCTGTGTGACGGTCTGATCATGGCCACTTTCGGGTACAGACCAGCGACGATCACCGCCTTGATTAACTTCTCATTGTCTGACAAAATAAGAGGACGGAGAAAAAAAAGAGACAAAGGGTTATTTTATTACTGGTCTGCAGTGAAATCCTTATTACAGTCAGAGCGTCCTCACTGTTACCTGAATTGACGTTGGAATTGGGGTCTTTGGGGTCCCTGCTGCCGACAAATCCTGCATTCATCAGATGCTCGGCAAACTGACCCTTCATGTTGTGCAGCATCTGAATGATAAAAGGAACTTTGGTTATTATCGACATACCCGTGAGTGCGGAGCTCAGAAAAGCCTTTACGACAGGTCTGGCTCACCTGGAGCGTGTTGGCAGACAAGAAGTTGTCCCAGCAGTACTCCCGCTCGCACCTGCCGCCGTGCTGCTTCGCTTCCTCCCAGCCCTGACCGATAAAGAGATTATAAATCCTCTCAGGTTCAATTTATACAGCAGAAAGAGATCAAGTGGAGGTCCTGAATGTAGGGCTCTTGTACCTGGAAGGCGTTGACTATAGTGAGGTGGTCGCTCTTGGAGTTCCTGGACAGGTGCCTCCTCCTCATGTCTGCCATCTTCTCTTTACCCTGAGACAGACAGGTGGCCTCAAACATCATTTCAAGTCCGACTTTGTTGAGAAAATAAAAACATGAGTCAGACGGCGGAGAGCAGCTACATGTTGAATTGAGCCTGAGTGTCATTACCCGCATGCTCCACGCTTTTATGTTCGGTGAACTCGCTGACCTACCAGGGGTATGAAGAAAGGGTCTTTGAAGCTGAGTGAAGCGGCGATGGTGAGCACAGGGTCGAGGCAGCCCAGCAGAGCCCCAAACAGGATTAGCTTGCCGATGTGAGGCTCTACAGGTAGACGAGCCAAGTGGAAACCCAGCGCGGTCAGATTCTCTTCGCCGTCCAGAGCGTTCTATAAAAACACCGGACAAGAGGTTGTTTTTTAAGATATCGACAAAATACTCCAAAAATGAAGACGCATTGTTTTGTTACAGAGTCAAACTCCAGAGACAAACAAAAAAATAAACTTATTTGGAGCTGAAGCTTTTTTTAAAAGGCAACATTTTAGAGAAAGATCATTTCTTTGATTTATATAACAGTGTTGGTTTAGGTGAGTCAGATTTGGATGCAGTTTTCTCATTCTGATTATGCGCCAGCCCTCTAAGCCTGAAATACCGGACATGTTCAATCTTGTTATAAATACTAAATTCTCTGGAGGTCCTCACTTTTTGTGTCATTTGTCCTTCACAAACAAAAAAAAAAGAACTATAAGAAAGCATTCCTGGGAATGGAGGCAGAGAAAATGCTTTCAGACGGGAGACCTTGAGACGACGTGCTAAAAGAGAAAGTTTCTGCTCCTAACATGAAACTGTCTCCGGTACTTCCAGAACTACAGCTTGTGGAGTTAAAACAGATCAGCAGAGCTAACAAGAGCACAATCAGGATGGAGATAGAGGATGTTCCTTATTCAGTTTGACAGTTAATCAGGGATTTCAAACATTTACAAGTTTCAGTGAGTGCGTCTAAATAGTTCAAACTATGATTGAGGTTTTGAAGTGCCGAGTTTTTGCATTTGTGCTTGTAGACCAATCCTGAATTCAGAAACCAGGAATGTTCCTTATTCTGGTTTTGAGAGACCTGGTCCTGCTACCTGGAGAACTTCTGAAGAAAACAGGAAACTATGACCTAAACCAGAGGTGGGCAAACTAATGCCTGGGGGCCACATGTGGCCTGATTAACAATTTCATCCGGCCCGGCCTGCAGAGCGTCACAAAAAAAGGAACATTACTCCATGAGCCAAATATTGTATCATCAACTGTCTCTGGTGGGGCAAATTTACATTTTCCCTGTCATCAAGCGTGATTGTAAGTTAACCCCCAATCCAGAGGTTTGTTTCGAGCACCACCTGGCCGGACCGTCCACTGATATCTAAAACCCAATGTGGCCCTTCAGACGAAATAATTACCAACCCCTCGCCTAAACTGAGTTTAGTCTTCCCTTCGTGAAAGTATAATCAGGGTTCCTACACAAGAAAAGTATGGAAATAGATCTGATCAATTTCCAGGCCTTAAAAAGTATGGAAAATGAAAAATAAAGTATGGAGAAATATTTCTGCTTCTAAACTATTACCGTAGTTCTAAAATACTGTTTTCTAAAATGGAAAAGTAGGTATTTCTAAAAATAATTCTAAAAAGTAGGGTATGGAAAAATATGGAAATTTCAACTGTTTACTGATCAGGGGATGCACCAAACCTGCAAAATAATGTCAGCATTTTTCCCTATTTTGAGAAACAGAAGCGCTCCTTCCTCCAGTCTTTGGGATTCCGGGTTTACTTTCTTCTTAATAACATGAAGAAAAGAAAAACTAATATTACGGGCTTTGGAGCTTTATAGGTCTGTGTCCTTTAAAGCCGTTTTTGCTCTGGTAGCATCCAGGACCTCATTTTCTGAGCGCTTCTTACTGGCACTTTCTGTTGCTAGGTTACCAAAGTTCTCTAACAGCACTTCATCTTCCTTAAGCAGTCACTGCTGGGTGCGTGTTGAAAATGCTCTGTTTGCTTTCATTCAGCAGCATTTTGAAATAAAACAAAAAGCATTAGAAGTAGCTGTGCTGGAAACTAAGTATAGTTCATTTAACCTCTATATTGAAGACAAAGTTCAGATCTGAAGTCTGGTCCCTTCTTGATTTTGATTGATCTGTGACGACATGACATGGGTCACTCACGCAGTGGTTCAAAAGTTGAACTATACTCAGCTGGGAGTGCAGCGACACAGGCAGCTGACACTGAGGGCGGAAATGCTGATTCACTGGTTTTATAAAGAAAGTGGATGCTGCCAGCAAGAAAACAGGCAGAGGCCTCTGATGAACAACATAAGCTTTCTGTAGAGTGTGACTCTGATTGGAGAAAATGTAAAGCTGCCTTAAGGAGTTTTAAATGTGCACAGAGACAGTCTTGTTTTTAGAAACACATCCTGCTGTCTTATGAACAGTGACATGCATCACTCGCTGAGGGTATTTCCTTGAAAAAAGTAATAAAAGTCTGTCTCAGTCTGCTGTAAACCCTCTGGTCTGACACCAACCCCCAGTTTCAGGAGCTGGAAATTACAACAGCAGGATTGTGGATGGTCTCAGAATCAGATTCAGTTTGTTCCATAAAAAGTTTAAAAGGTCGTCCAATAAAAATCTTTGATTTTTGTGTTGTTAATCCTTTTGACTTCAGCAGGTCATGAAGAATCCTTAAGGTCCTTAAACACTGGGAGCGAATTTGCGAGGCGAATAATACGCTTTTTTAAAAACCTATTGAAGTCAATGCGACCTTAAACACTGGCAGCAAAAATTTGTGACTGTTATTTATTCGCTCTCGTGTCAAATTTTGTGGAGGCGAAAAGGCAAACGACCAGACCTCTGACCAATCAAAATGATGTTATGTCGATGAGGTCACATCAAAACTTTACTGGCAGCATCAGCCCTAGTCTGCATTCATTCACCATGACTGAGCGCTTTATCATTAGTGTGCAGGAGCGCCCTGCTTTATGGGACAAGTCCCTTAAAATATTTCACGACACTCTCCTCAAAGAAAATATGTGGCAGGAAATAGAGGAAGACCTAAACTTACCTGGTGAGTATATTCATGTTACATCAATCCTCAAACATAGATGTCTAATTTAGCTAGCATAATATGACGCTAAGCTAGCTAACTAACCAGCTTGGGGCAACTTTTTCAAAGTTCGGTAAATATTAGTGTATGGTTTTATAGATATATATTATAGAAGAGCCTAACTTTATTCGCTTAGCAGATTTTTATTTGCATAATCGCATTGCCTCGGTGTGTACAGAAAAAAATTGCGGGCAAAACATTCGCCTTTTCGCATGTCTTCGCCTATTGCCCGGTGTGTAAGAACTTTTACTTCTAATTTCTATATTTTTCCCAATCAGTAATGAGCTCTGGCCATACACTTGTTAACTGGGTAACCCTTTCTTTTACAGTACACTTATTACCAGGTAATTAACAAGTAATTACCTAGTAACAACATGAAATTATCTGGTAATTACATGATAACTACTAAGTCAATACTGTCTAGCTACCAGGTAGGTAACCTTCCATCATCATACAAATTTGAAGCCGAATTGCTCTGGTATTTCCAGGACTTTCTCCGCCTCCTGGAACCACCACTTGCGCAGTAGCATTGTACACATTCGGCGGGTGAGTCGCTGTGATAATGCTCGGCTCAAACAGCGTATCGTTACGCAATCTTCGCACGCCCATAGGCTGTATCAAGTGTCAATCATAGAAAATAAGAACCCCAAATAGCTTTTGAAAATGGAGCTGCACAGAAAAAAGAAAAACTAGACAGTATTGACTTAGTAGTTATCATGTAATTACCAGATAATTTCATGTTGTTACTCAGTAATTACCTGTTAATTACCTGGTAATAAGTGTACCGTAAAAGAAAGGGTTACTGTTAATTGTACCCCCCTTTAAACTGTCCAGAGATCTTTACTCTTCCTTACCAGGTCCATGAGGTTCTTGATGGCGAGGTTGACGGCCTTCTCAGTCGGCGGGTCCAGGGCTTTCGCTAGGAATCGAGCTATGGATCCAAGCTTCAGTATCTAGGCAGCACATATCACATTACATTACATTACATCATCATAACACATGGATCGGCATCAGTGTGTGACTTTTTTTTTTTTTTTTTAACACTTCCTTCTCTTGCAAACACAGTCTTTACGTAGACGGAGTCACAGTTGAAGCTTTCTGTGTATGTTTCGAGTGAACCGTTTGGGACTGAGCGCTGAATTAATGCGATGATAAAAGCTGATGCTATGGGCACGCAGGGTCTCTAAATATGTATTCATGTTCACATCAAACAGAGATTTCCAAAAAAAAAAAAAAGGATAGTCACCTGTGACACGCTGAAGAGTCTGACTAAAAGCATTGCGCTCAAGTGTTAGTGCATTAGAGTGTCTGCCCAGGGTTAGCATGTTGTCAGTGTTTCTCACACTGTGCGGACAGGCTGATGCATTAGCCTGCCTCTCACCCACTCACTCCAAACACACACACACTCGAACAAGTGGAAGACACTCTGAAATGCATGTCCGATAAAGCCGGCGCTGAAAACAACTATTGCAAACACTACATCTGAGTGAACTCTGGCCCAGTGTTCCATTAGCATGGGTTGAAATATGTCTAAGTGGAGTATGAGGATTTTTTCAAGGAGGAGGTAGAAAGAGGAGAGGAGGAAAAAACAACTGTACGCAAACTGAAGGAGAAGAAGAAGAAGAAAGGGGAGTGGAAGAGAACGAGGCTCAGGAGTGGAGTGATTATGTTGTTGGTTAGGAGAGAGGGAAGGAGCCGGGGAGCGAGGGGCATGAGTCAGCTCCGAAACAGCCTTCCTCGCTCTCATTAGGCAGGAGAGGCTGAAAATTCGACGTGAGACCAAATAAAACAGAAAAAAACAAAAAAGCCGCTCTGTTCCCCGTCCCCTCTACTGCACTCACGAACTTCATTCACAGCGACTGTGTCCTCATTTCAACTCTCGAGCCAACACCTCGCTCTATTTTTCACACTCCAGACCCGCCTGCCTGCCTCTTCCTCTGTGCATACACTACCTTGATCTGCAGACAGAGCTCCTCCAGCGGCGTCCTCATAATTTCAGGTAATTGATAGGCATCCAGCAGGCTGGCTCGTAGACTGTTGTACAAATGATAGCACTTCCCTGGACACACTCTGGAGGAGAAAAGACGCCTACTTTAGTCTGGTGACAAGAGCTTAATTTTTAAATCAGTGGGATGAAACTGCACTCAGCTAGCAGCTCAGGTTAATTGGGCTTCCACTTTGATGTCAGAGCGAGCTAACAGCAGAGACGTCTCGAGTCTCAGACTGGAAACAACCAGGGAGTGATTCTACTTTGCCTCTCAGACAAAGAGGCAGAGAGAAGTACTTTTAAATGGCTAACTTTTATTATAAAATACACCAACACACCTGCCGGCGCGTCCTTTCCTCTGTTTGGCATTCGCGAGGCTGACCCACTCGGCCGTCATGGTGCTGATGTTGTTGTTCGTGTCAAAGTTGGTCTCCTTAATCTTGCCGCCGTCGATCACAAAGACAACGTCATCTATGGTGATGCTGTGCGAGAGAGAGAGGAGGGAGACGGAGGACCAGAATTAGAATAGGAGGCAAAAGCAGACAGAAAAATAAATCTTCAAAGCGGTCTGTCAGGGATGCTGAGTAAAGCCTTTCACTCACACACACTCATTCAGAAGTAAAAATAATATTTAGCCCTTTGGTGAGTTCGGAGGCTATATTTAGTGGAGTGATGTGACAGGAAAGAAGGCAGCTTCTTAATTTGCACAGTGTGTGTGTGTCTGTATGTGTGTGTGCGAGCGGAAGTCTGTGAATGCATTTACAAATTGCCTGTCAGAGACTCAGTTGGTTCCATCAAAGCCATTATGACAGTATTCATATCAATCCGAGAAATGTATGCTAATTAGCACCCAACCAACCGCTTGTAATGATATCCCAAACTCACTGCTTTACAATTAAGTACACAAACACACCCACACACACACACAGACACACATAAAGCTTGAAGAGTCATCATTTCTCTTTCCCCGGAAACTCACAAGAAAGTAAAAAACCGAGAATAAAGTTTCAAAGGGTGTTTTTACCACGTCTGGAAACCCAAACCAACACACGCGCTCACACACACATACCTGGTCTCAGCTATATTGGTAGCAATCACAATCTTTCTAACTCCTGGAGGAGGCCTTTTGAACACCTGAGATGGGTGAGAAAGAGAGGTGAGATTGGACGTTTTCTGATATTGAAAAGGGAAGAAAGCTGACAGTCGTCAGAGACAAAGAGAGAGAAGGAGAACGCTGACCTGAGTCTGATTTACGGTCGGCATTAAGGAGTGAAGGGGGATGATGACGAACCGATCTGAAACACAAAAGGACATCAAAAAAATGTCAAACAAAGCCAACATATGATAGTGTTTCTAGTTTGTAAAGCTGCTTGACAACTTCCTAAAAAACAGAAGGATTCATCGCCTTATTAAATGAACTTTGGAGGAGTAAAAATCAGTGCTATCCAGTGTTAAAATACACTTGAGTCCCCTGCAGTCTTTCTTTATGAGGTACAAAAATGCTCTTCTTGGATTAATAATCATTTTTAATGTTTTTTCAAGCAAGAAAGTTCAATTACTGTGTCAAAAAATCTCATTTACACCCTCCTCTTTAATCAAAAAAATCTGTGACGGTGCAAATATGCTGAATTTATAAGATTAAACCAACGAACGGAAACATATCGACATCACTGCGGGGGTCATTCTCAGGATCCCACTGGAGGTTTTGTAATTATCACCATCACACTTTGAGGTCTGCGGCTTTTTTAAGTTTTCATCATCAGCTGACCTCATCCAGAATACCTGATTATTACATTTAAGAATCTAAATAGTCTGGAGGAAATAGTGAAGTTGGCCTTTGGAATATTTTAAATCCTATTTAAAATCGACGCAAAATAACCAACCTTTATCTTTGAATCGGTCTTGCTACTGCGGATTAGTAACTGTTGTCAAGGTGTTTTGACCAATCAGATTCAAGTATTAACCAGGTAAGAAAACAGGCTGATGATTGGTTCATAAATCTGTAAGTCTCTGCTATGCTTGAATGCTCTCTGTGTGTCTTAGTTTGTACCTGATCGGAACATCTGCTGAGCCATGAGCAGGTCATTCAGACTGCTGATGTTGTCCCAGCCAGGCAGGAAGACCAGGATTGCTCCGTCCTGTAAGACAGACGCATGACACAACAATGAGCCAGATCTCAGACAGAAAGAAAGCTGAACAAACAGAGAAACAATTATCAGCCAAATGGCAAAAGCGTCTTGGCTACAACCGAGCCAAGTGGGCAGGATGCTTCTGCCCTCAGAGGAGCTGATGTGAGGCAGATGGAGACAACTTGCCCTCAGCTTCCAACCTCCACAATCAGTCACACAATGAGGCCTGATTCTGCCCGCCAACATCATTAAAACAACAACAGCGTACCACTGCGAGACTGCCGCTAATGCCCATCAGCACAGTGATGAACCCAATTCTTTCAAAGCTGCGAAAAATGTGCACATTTGTCTCCTGGAAAATAGAGACACAAATGCAAACGGGGAAAACATCAGGAGGATAATGGCGGAGGATGGATTAAAAAGGGAGTTACTCCAGTATTCCAGTCAGGTTGTCTGCTAACAGCAGCAAATGACTGACCATCAAACTTTCAGCAGTTTTTTTTTCTGCCAAATAAAGAAAAAAAATCAGAATTTTTTAACAAGAAAAAATATTATTGCAGCAAAAAGAAGAGGAAATACAAGTCAACCTAGAAATACAGACTATCTACGTGACACCACAGGTAGAGAACATAAAACTACAGATTTCCTAAAAACAGGGACGACATAACAGCCTCAAAGTGAAGCCAAACCATTTCAAGCTCCTCCTGCTGACTGGCTGCATAAAACCAACACCTTTAATGTAACAGACAGGAGATATGTTAAACTAGGACACTAAAATGCACATAAAACTAAATTAGTTGTACTCACTTTAAATAAAATAAAGGTCCTTACTCAACGAGTACGACGCAAATATACAACGCGAAATTACAAAATATTCAGAGGTGCATTTTGACGCGCCTGACTATACACAATAAGCGCAATGCGATTTTGCGACTCTCCGGGGGAATAAAAGACGCGTCCCGGGTGGAAGCGAGAAAACTGACAAAACAGCAGACTGAGTGTTTTTCAGTTCTGATTAGACACTAGTGTTGAGATGGCTGTCTGTCATGATAGCATGTACTGAGTCGGGGCCAGTACCAGATAAGAACATTAAACTATAATCCAGAAAAGTAAGGTAACAACCGAGACCTAATGGTGCTGTGACAGCAACGTGATTGAGTTTGAGACAGTGAAAATACATATGGTATGTTGTATCTGAACAGGTTAGCTTACGGGCTAAAGTTACTTAGCATAGATGAAAGTTAAAACAAAGACGTTTAGCAAACTGTTAAAGCACACAAACCATCGTCATATGAGAAATCCGACATTATGACTCTCCACAAGTTGTCCTTCAGGTCGTTATCTTTGTAATGTTTGTTTTTTTTAACAAAAAACACTCTGTTCTCCAATACGTAAACAATTAGCCGGTCGGCCATGTTGGATATACCGGTGAATCATATGTTGCAACAACACGAAATCTGATTGGTCAGAGGAAAACTTTTGAAAATTTGACTGTGATACGAAAAAATAAACGCTGCAATATCCAGGACGGGAAAAGGTCGCTGATGTGAACGCTTGTATTGACAGGATACGGGTTCGAAAAAAAAATATTGACGAAAAAAACGCTTCTGTGTGAAAGGACCTTAAACCTGTTTTTCCTGTAAAACTTTTCAGAATAAATTGCCTCTTGATTCTGATGAAACACGGGTTGTATTCAGTGACTCAAAATAATTACATATCTGTTAAAATTTAGCAAAGTTTCCACAAACTCTGATTATTGGAAGGAAAATCTGAGCCATGAATAAACCAGCAGAGCTTTTACAGAATTCTGATGGGAACATTCGGAGTTTAAATACTGAATTAGTCGTAATGAATCAGTCATTACCAGTCAGAATGTAGTGAGGCTTGACTCTGAAATAATTAACTCCTCACTTAATGGACGTTAAAATCAAAAACAACAATTTCAGTGGACTTTAGGAACCGGAACGAAATCAAACCAGAGATTAATGTGGGAGAAACTTTTAAAAATGCATTTTTATCACATCTAAGACCTAAATTTGAACAAAAATGACTCTCATGATAATAATGAGGTTGTGTAAAATAACCAGCTCTTTAAAAAATGACTCTGCCAGCGACTCATTTCCTCAGAGGAATAAAGGGAGGATGAAGAACAGACTAAAAAGTAGCTCTCCGGTTTCTGGGTACCTCTGCCTTTTAATTAAAGCTAATTATCATTACTAGTCTGTCAACCCAGCTTGCACCCACATGGGACTGGTAATGTGTATCTTCATATCTGTTTATGTGGGAGAGAGAAAGAAAGAAAGACGAGAAAGAGGAGGAGGAGGTGGAGGAGGAAACACATGCTAACACCCATGCAATGCTGGAAAAGGCTCCAAATAAATCCAGCTAAACGGCAAGAAACAGTGCAGAAGGCCTGACTGTGTTGGCCTACTATTTAGCAGGCGAGCGCACCAAACCACCCACATAAACACACATAAACACACAATTGCACCCCAGCAGGCGTTCATTAATGCCTGCATGTCAGCCCCCTAGGTGTCTAATCACAGAGCCCTGAAACATAATTAACCAATCATCACAGTGGAAAGTCTGGCAGACCGTCGTGTCCTCGCTCCACAACGCCGTCACACAGAATCAGCCGGTCTCCTCTCAGCGTTTAGACAATGCCACGGAGAATCAGCTGGTTGACCGGCTCGGTTGTGGCCGTGACTGATAGAGACGCTGCTCCGCGGTGGACAGAGTAATTATTCTGCCCGTCTGCGTAAGTCACTCCTTGTTCTGGGGCCTGTCTGTTTCTCCCCCTTCCTTTCTCATTTACCGCTTCTCGCCAAACGCAGCTGCAAACTAACGAGTGGATTACGCTCGCTCCGCTTGGTAAAACACAGAAAAAGTGAGACCAAAGTGTTGCAGTTTCTCCACTTCAAACGCTGAATACCCCGTGCTGTTTTCACATTCATTATTTCCCCTTTAATGGGATACACTGAATGGTAACGCTTGTGAAATTGGATTACATTGTGCCGCTGTTTTCACACATTTCAAGTAACAGTTGATAAAAAAAAAACTGAATCATGCTGCAATTACAAAATCAGAGAAAAGTTTTTTTTTATGATGAAATACAGTCCTAAACTTGTGCTCTGCTTTCTTTTGCTTACAGTGAGTTGATATCAAATTAGTGAATAAGTCAAACAATTATAAAACGGAGGAAAAGTTTAATCAGGCTGAGCTGGCATCAAAGTGCACACAGCTCATTCTGAATTGAGCCCTAAAATGCTGCTGGCATAAAACAAGCACATTAAACAAAAAAATGGGAAAAGAAAAAAAAAAAAAGAGATTGGACGTGCGTTGGGAGAGCATCTGTTCCATCACTCATTAGCACAGAGCCTCTGCCAGGATCTGTGTTATTTCCTCTGATCTAATGTCGTTCAGAGTTTGGAAGCCAGCCCTCCTGTTCCTTCCATCTGCTCTACCTAAGACTGTACTACCCCGGTCTACTTTCGCCACTTTCTACGCCTGCGTCAACTCTCAATTTTCCCGTGATCTGAAAGCATCTTTAACTGGGACCTGTGCTCTTTGGGGGTATCGACGATCAAAATGTTTGATGATTTTCAAGATGTTTTTGGTGACAGACGCACTCAGGACTCCCTGAGGATACCAGTCACATGAGAGACTGAATTCACCTCTTTAAAACTTAACAGAACTGTATTACTTTATCATTCGAGTCCTGGAACCAAATACAGAACTCACCTCATCGTTGAGGACAATATGGCGAATCAGAGCCAGGATCAGGTCCAGGTCAATCTTCTCATCTTCGTCTAACTTCTCCAGAGCTTTAATGGTGCTGTCAGAGTACCTAAAACAAAGACAAAGAATTAAAGTGAACATATGCGTTTCCATGGCAACAAAAATGTTTCCAGTTTTCTCCTAAAGGGGTCATATCACCCGCTTTTAAACTATGGTATTATCTGTATATGTGATATAGTTTGGTCTAAAGCCAAAAACATACAGGATCCGTATTGAGTGCATTCCGTATTTACTTTGCAAAGCAGCATTGGGTATCGCATATAGGATGCGTAATTGGAGCGTAGCAGCAGCGTAGTGCAGCCCCGGTCAGCTGGGCTCAGTATAGAGGAGACAACATGTTCACAACAGATTGTTTTTCCTTTCTGTGGTCAATTTCCTGCTAATTTGGATATAATTCAGTGACTGTTGAGCCTCTACTATATGTGAAATAACAACGTGATTTTACAGTATAGTTTTTTTGCAGGTTTACTTGTGTTTAATTAAGTAAACTATGTTCCTTTATGCTGTGCTGTTACCTTCAGACAGAGTTAGTAGTTAAAAGTCCTGTTGGGGTCCACATGGATCAGGGATTGACCGTCATATTGTTCTATGTTATTGATAAATCCATAACCAGAAAGTATTTCTCATCTACACGAACTGATACACAGTCGGGAGTTCACATATAGAGTTTTATTTTGAAATACCGGATGACGTGCGGTTTTAGTGCTTGACTTCCTGTGTAGAACGATCTTCTCTGTGTGAATTGACGCGCATTGGAAGCGTAGAGCAGCAAAAATAGACTCGCTGCATATCTTTAGTAGTGCTGCTCTCGATATGATGCTTCCACTCTCCAAATACGCATCCTGGATGTTTTAGCCTTAATACGTCCTCCAGAGTTAGGGCTGTTCTGATCAGTTCAATATCAGCCAAAAAACAAATATCGGATTATATCGGCCTGCATCTAAAATCTCAGATATCAGCACTCCGATACAAGCAGTCCATTTCAGACTCCACTCCGGCACCTTTAGCTAGCAGCGCCCACGTGAACACAATAAAAGTGTGTACTACAGTACAAACAAAATAGCGAGGAGTAGGAGTGATGTCGGCTGTGTGGCAGTATTTTTCGTTCAAAGTCATTGCAGCTGAGTGCAAAACTTCTCATACACAAGTTTGTGCCAATATCGGATCGATATCGGTATGGGCCGATACTGAAGGCTACAATATCTGTATCGTATCCGAAGTAAAAAAGTTGTATCAGGACACCCCTATCCAGAGTAGCACCCATTCATCATTAGATAATGTGTAACACAGAGACTTCACTTTGGCTTGACAGCAGTATGATGTATGAAAAGGAAACCCGTTGTCTTATCAGTCACAGACAATCCAATAATATCAGGATAAAGATGTGTAACAAAAGAAAATGACAAACTTTGTCAATAACAATCTAAATGCTTTCCAGGCTGAGACTCCTGACTACAGAGTCTACATTTTGATGTAAAATCTGTCACCAAAGACTCACTTTTGCAAGGTCGTAAACACAGACAGAAGGTGTACACTGACAAAGCTGCACATCGTCTATAAGTCAAGAGAAGGCAGTTTGTTATCGGCTTTGAAAAGGTTCAACAATACACGAACCGTTGAGACCCTGATGATGTTTACCTGAAATTTTTTATGTTTCAAAATGATCAAACGAAAAGGTATTCACATGCTGCAGGCGTTTCAGACAGAACTCAGTCCAAAACAAAAGAGTGTTTTCTGTTCAATCATTTCGGGGCCTGTCGAGCGAACGCTTTAATGATTCTTTGTCAATGTCGAGCACAGACAGACTCCCAAACTTGAATACACGCTGGGTTGAATCACAGCCTTTATTAAAGTTTCATTTTTCTAAATATAATTGGAGGGACGTGTCAATATTGTGATGAGAGCGCACCGCTTCTAGCGTTGAAAAGTAGAAAACAAAAAGACAAATCACGTTTTCAGATGTATTTTCAGGTTTGCACGTTTTTTTGAATGGCACCCAAAAGTCTAGTTTACAAGAAGAAACGCTCTCTGAGGTTAATGTGTGGCTGTGAAGCCCTTCACTGTAGAAAACTGCCTCCTATCTGTAAGTTATTCATCATGAAACACTATCTGTCTGCTCTTAACCTCCCTCCACAGCTCAGAGGAGACACCATAAAAGAGAGCGAAAAGAGAATCGTCAAATAAAAAGTTACATCCAGGAGGACAGCCGCTGGATTTGTGCGACTCACCTCCCCTGTAGTGTGCGTTCATAAGCGGGCCAGCTCCCGTGGTATTCGGCCTCTTTCTCCTCTTTCTCAGGTCTGGAGTTTCGCCCCTGCCAAAAGCGTCTCTTCCACACGGGGCGGCGGTCCTGACTCTTGGGCTGATACCTCAAGGACACCAATTATTTCATGTAAGGCACCGTTTGAAGAAAAAAGAAGCAGAAGCAGCTTTCTGTTTATTTGAATGGGATGTTGTCCTACCTGGTCATCTCCAGGATGTCTTCAAGTAAAAACTCTTCCACTGGGAACGTCAGTCCAGGGATGTGGATCATTGGGCAGTTGTCTAAAGGAGATGATGGGGGTTGATGAAACAGAGAGACGCGTTGATATTGAGGGAAAAAAAATATACTCCTCTTAGTGAGAGACTCACCAAAATATTTGGAGAACTTCTCTGCATTGAGTGTGGCGCTCATGAGGATCACTTTGAGGTCTTCCCTGAGGCTGAGGAGGTCCTTCACGATGACGAGCAAAACATCAGATTGCAGGTTCCTCTCGTGGATTTCATCCAACACCAAGTGGCTGACACTGGACAGCAATCTAAAACAAAAGACAGGGATGGTTTGAGGCGGAGGTTGACTGTAAGTCGAGTACAGAGACTTGTATATAGAATGGACAGAGTCTGCCTCCTCGCTGGTTGAAGCCGCTCCTAGAACAGCACCCTCTGTTGGCGGGCTTATGGAGCTGTGGACAAGCTTTTAAAATTTATGACACAGAATATAAATTTTACTCCCCCTGCTTGCGGTGTTGACATGTAGTTACTTGATACAGCCTATGGGTGTACGAAGCTCACCCGGGATACGCTGTTTGAGCCGAGTGTCATCACAGCGACTCTCGGTGACTCTCCCGCCAAGTGCGCTACTGCGCAACGCTGGTTTCAGGAAATGAAGAAAAATCATGGAAATACCGAGAGCTTTTTGGCTTCAAATCCGTATACAGGCAGGAGGCGTAACCAAGTTGTCCATAATATATACAGTCTATGGTCGAGTAGGGTTGTCAACGGATATTCTAAATTCAAATACATATTTAAATATTGAAGAAAAAACGAGATTTTAATGTGAAAATGAATATTCTGATGTTAAATAAACAGCTGGGAAAAACTGAGTGGGAAAAAACTAAAAAAACATCTGCTTTACGAGTGAGCGCACTGTAACAACGGGTCAGGGACATGTCACAGGAGCTGCACATGCAGATGGTGGGATGTTCGGAGCCAAACTCGGAGAGAGGGGTCTGGACTCCAATGAACTTTATAAGTGCCGTTTGGAAATTCTTCAGATTTTAGACAAAGTAGACGGAAAAAATGCTGTGCAAAAAAAAGTTATATACAAGCTGTGTAACGTCTTTTTCGCACTATAAGGCACACTTAAAATCCTTTTGGCTTGTCGGAGCACTGCAGCTACCGTAGCCTCACGGAGTTATTGAATGAGTTCAATAAAGTTTGATTTATCTCACTGTTTTGTTTGGCTTAATGTGCTTCATAATCCAGTGCGCCTTATAGTGCAAAAAATACGGTAAGCTAGATATTCAAATATGTTCGGACCTATGTGTTATTTTTAGAACAAATATTCGAATGTCGTTTTGGAGCAACTTTAATTTTCCTCCCTGTGTTTAAAAAAAACTGTAATTATTTCATTATATTTGTCCAACTCTTGGTCTTATTTTTCACATTTTACATAATTCCTGAGCAATGAAGTGCAATATATCAGTCTTTAGTCATTAGCTGAAAGTGTCCACGCAACAAAGGGTGCGAGTGCGTCACTAATGAGGTGGCTGCAGACAAACAGTCAACATCGGATCTGACAGGTGAAAACATCGCCGCAGTCCACACAGGCTGTCAGCTCGTACGCCTTGTGAGCTTGTAAGCTGAAGCATTTTTGTCAGACAACTATAGTCCTTAGATGACTCTGAGTGGAGTCGCTGCCAATTCTCACGGAGCATGAAGCAAGACAAGAAGAAAAGCTGGCACCCTCCCTCAGTCCCTGTGGTTTTTCTAAAGGCTGACTGAATGCAAGGATGAGCACGCAGGGTTGAGTCAACAGAAGCTGTGTGTGTTTGTGTGTGTATGTGTGTGCGTGTGTCTCTTTGGATCCCTGCCTATATGAATGGGGATCCATATTAACGGTTCTTCCACGAATCAATGAGTAGTGATACAGAGTAAATAAGAGCGGAGGCAGGAGAGCTTGAGCTCACGAATGGAGCCAGAGCGCGGAAAAGAAAGAGAGGCTAGAGGGGAGATATGATGAGGTCAAGAAAGCAAAGGGGAGGGAGGGAGAGGACTCACCGGTCTGAGCGAAGCCACTGAAGAATAATTCCTGTTGTACAATACAGGACTGAACCTTGTCTCCGTGGTAACCGGCTAAGAAACGGAGGAAGAAAAAACAGAGGAAAGACTTTACATTTCCGGGTAAAAGAATAAATCTCTGGATTCTCTTTTCATCTTCCAACACTGAGCGTACCAGACAGCAAAATAATCAAGCATCGATCTCTCCAGCAGGTCCTGACTCTATTTCATTTCAGGACTTTATACAAACTTTCTGAGTTACTTTTACGGCTGGTTTCTTAATAACTATTTCATAGAGGCAATGCTCAGCCCGTACACAGTGCTGCACATAAAGCTGAGATAAATGCTGCAATAACATGCCGCTGATAAAGAGATCGCTATTTAATAAGTAATAAAACTGGTTGTAATGGGCGACTGTTTACGTTTTTAACATCAGTCGCATTTTCAAATAGCAACAAGGGATTAAAAGTTTGTAGCAATCATGGAGAGACTTCCTCTGTTATAACCCTGAAAAGTTTTTACTGACAAATGAACCTATTCAAGAAAAAGACGCTCCAAACAACAGAAGAAATACAGACAGGCTGATTAAACACAGGTGAAAGAAAAGACCAAGATTAAAGGCAAAAACACAATAGAATACAGATGATTTGTATTAAAAAGGATGTATAATGATGGAGGAGAACAATTAACAATAATGAAAATTGAAAAAAGGTAAAATGTCTACAAATATTCAATCTTTACAATTTGCTTTTGAAGCTCAGAGACCTCACTATGTTTTCATATGTTTCATACCTGGTTAAAAATCCCTTACCGTAGCTTTAAAGCAACCATAACGCACTTTTCTTTGTGCTGTTTTCATCCTGTTCATGTAAAAGCAACTTTTTAAACTGGAAATCTTGTCCAAGGCATCAAAAATAACACTTTAGAAATAACACTCTTACTGCTGATGGCCTTGTTTGCTCTTGTAGCTCACAATGAGACTTCAGTGTTTATTCTGATTTCTTTCATTACACGTGTTAAAAGTTTCTCACAAGAGCTTTAAGTCGGCGTCCAAGATAAAACCATCTGCTTTGTGTTACTAAAGCGACACTAACCTTGAGGTTTCTATCAGGCGGGCTCTAAAGTTTCTACTACTGAGAAAACCACCAAACAAATTAGCAGACATCCTGTGAAATTGAACAAGAACCAGGCTTCCATAACAGCCACCCACTCCGTCCTCTAACCTTGCACAAACCGAGTTTCTTTTCTTTTTCAAGTAGAGGGGCTGAATAGCAGAAACTGCAGTTTCACTAATCCCACAGGATCAATTCACAAGATTGGAATCCGGACCCACAAAGAGACACCCGTGGACACCATCAGCAGTGACGGTGCCTCTCTAGACCGTCCAGGCTTTATTCGAGTGCTTTCTCCCACAAGGACAGCTTGAATCAAAAATGCGGTGAATGAAAACGGAAGAAAATGGCTTCATATGAAACAGCTCCAAAGACGTCAGAAACGGTCCCACGCTGAAGTCTAGCGGCCTGTTGTGTGTTTCATTCCTTTCACACTCTGTGATAATTTGTCTTCCGTTTATTTCGTCTCCTGCGTATCACTTTCCCTCGGTCTGACAAAAGAGTTTCTTCTTTTCATCTCATCCTCTGTTATAAATATCTCCTTCCTGATTATTTCTAATGTTGTTTCATTCCTATCATTACATAGCCGAGTTAAGCCCACCCAACAAGACACTCTTCAAAGCCCCTGATAGAAATACTCTTGATTTTTTAACTCCCTGTATAGACTGAGCTCTTCGCTGATCTTGACCTTTCATGACTAAGACGTGCATCTTATTTTTCAGCTTTAAAATGTGAAGATATTTGAGAACTTTTGCCATCAAAAATATGTTTTTTAAAAGGGTTTTCCTGTAGAGGTACCTGGTGTTTTAACATTAGACATATTAATACAGAAAACAAAACCAATCTGCATTCCAATGATGTCTGCTTTTCAATGTCATGAAGAGGCATTAATATTGATTTCAGTCTGTTTAGTAACTTTTTTCAAATCTCTTCCCAAATCTTAAAAATGAAAATACAGAATAGATAAATCTTTCAGGCCTCCATATATGTGTTTGTTGAATCATGAGTCGTGGTTTTAGACAGTTTAATAGTCAGGCTGTAACAAACTGAATCTCCATAAAGTACCAACATGTTTGGCTCTGGCAAAGGTAAATCCACCAGTCTTAGTTTGACCACTGAATCTCTTGGCTCAGTTATTTCTCTCAAATTCAAAAACAGCCGTGTGCAAACCAAAACCAAAACCAGACCATTTGGACATTGAAATTTGATTTTGTTTTTCCTCTAGTTTGAGGTATTTCCCACCAGCAGTTGGTGATGGGCAACAAATTTTTGGTTTTAGTTTCATTCTGGTTCATCACTTCCTAAAATAATTGGTTTGCTGAATGTAAATGGTCAGTATTTAAGTGGACAGAATCAACATCTATGTTAAACCTTAACATGTTTGAAACTTTCCTGTAATTTTAAATCGTATCCATCAGTTTGACATGTTCAAAGGGACATACTAACCTCTGCAGACGAATTTGGTATCCACAAGAGTTTCCATTGCCTACGCTTTCAGCCCTCTCTGCTGCAACACGCTCTGCTACCTGAGAGGAAGCAAATACACAAAATCATCATCAGCATTGTGAAAAAATAGCAATCAAACTGAAACTCAAATCAAACTTAAAATCAACCTTACTCATAGTTTACAGAAAAATATACAATCCAACACAGTCTGACAGTAATAAACATACCGATATTGCACTGATGCGACGAGGCTGTGTGCAGACCACACGACACATGGAGCCCATGCCTCTATTGATGTGATCATCCAGGATGAACTGGGTGACTTGAGTTGTCTTTCCACACCCTGTTTCCCCGCTCACCACCAGGACACGGTTTGAGTTGATCAGATCTACAAGCTCCTGGGAGCAGACGAGATGAGAGCAATAAGAGAGGAAAATGTTCTCATGTTCTCGTAGTATTTTAGAAACGGAGTATGGAGACTAAATGACGTGATCAAAAACATACCTCTTTTTTCGCGTAGGATGGAAGTTTCTCCCTGAATTTCTGAGGACATAAATAGAACCAGACAGTTGGAAACAAGCAAACTGAGCAAGATGAAGATGAGATTTCTTTAGTTTGTTCTACCTTTGGAACCCAGGAAATCAAAAATTTCAAAACACCAAAACATTATTTATTTATATCTCAGTAATCACAGGTTTGATTGTAGTTTGTCAATCATTTATGCATTCATTCAGGGACTACAACAGTATAATACTGTGATTATGGGACTGATCTGCTGTGTGAATAAATGAGCAGATATTCTTCTTTCATCTATGAGAAATTAGACTCTTTTGATTACTGACATCCTACCTCACCATGTTGCCGAGTCTTATTTGTGTTGTTTACTGTGTTGCCATTTAAACTCGCTCTCATCATTGCTTTTATGCACCAGTTTCCCTCGTCAAGACTCCATTCAGAAAAATGATATCCATCATACTTACCAACATTTCTTTGTACTTTGGATCAGACTTTTTATTCTGCAGGTCTATCTTTAAGGACTCGTCCAGCGAATTGTCTCTGATTACATCCTGAAATAAGAATTCCAGATCCCTGTCTTGTTTTCTCAGTCTCTCTCTCTCCTCCAGCTGCTGCTGCTGGTGCTGCTGCTGCTGCTGCTCTTCAGCATCCCAGCTGTCTGGAGGCTCATCTTTAATGACTGTGTGGGAGAAGTAACTGAACAAAAACAAAAAAAAATGAGGGGTATAAAGACCCAAATATGGTTGAACCGAGCTGATATTAAGAGTTCTGTATTGATGGGTCCTATCACGGTTTCTCAGTTTACTTCAAAAGTTACCGTTGTGATTTATGAGCTGTTGTCCTCTGGTCTTCTTCTTCCTCCTCTCCTTCAGATTTGATCTCAATCTTCAGTTCCTCCTCTTTAGGGAGATCCCCATCAAAGTAGCTGCAATCACAGGTCAGGTTCATGTTAAATACAGCGCAGTATCTACATCATGCAGAGTGTCCTTATGTTGATTACCCGCTCTCTTTGTCGAAAGCTTGAGATGTTCATGTACCACAATAGTACTTCAGGCTGCTCTTACCAATGAGCGTTGCTATTACTCGTAGTTGTCTGCAAGTTTCTGGATGTAGAGGCTCTTGCATCTTTGCCATCTCTTCCTGGACCTTGCTGATCATTCTGGACCGAGTTCAGCAGCTTGGTAATGTGCTGCTCTCTGGCCTCATCCATCTGGACCACGGCACGCTGAGCACAGACATGTGACAGGAGAACGATCAGACACCCACAGTCATGGCATCAAAGTTAACTATAAAACAAGTGCTCTCTCAACAAAGATTTGGCGTAATTTTGTCGACTGTTTGGGCATTTCCTCTCCAAACTGGGATCTGAGCCCACCTAGGGAGGATGCCAAAGATCTCAGGGGATAGGGGAGAGTGGGGTAAGTTGAGCCAACCCACTGAGCAATAGACGGCTATTAGACGTCTAGTTATTTTTTAGTTTTTCTATTAGATAACTATTTATTTAAAAAAGCAACAGTGAGTTGCATATCTGATCTCCAAGTACTTAACTAAAATAATTATGATAGCCGTTGAATAATATACAGTGTAGTATAGATATAGCCCAGATTTAGACTTGGTCTAATAAACTTTCATTTATAGACCTGTAGTATCCTGATTTTAGACCAGTCTTCTAGGCTACATTTAGACCAAAAAAGGCTCAGCAGGAAAGGGTAAGTTGAGCCAAAGGGCAAGGTGAGCCACCCCCTGTTGCTTTGAAATGGTAAAAGAAATTGATTATGTGACCAAATATTTAGGAGATGGGCATAAATTCATGAAGTCTGTGAAGGTTAGAAGCACATGGGTGAAGGGGTTTGACATTTATTTACAAAATAAACCATTTTTCACTCTTTTACACATTTTTTTTTTCACTTTTATACATCAATCTCGGTATCTTTGAGCTACCATTTTAGCTCAGAGGACTAATAAAGTCATCATAGTAGTTCAGGGGTTAGTTGAGCCAGTGGAATAACTGAAAAAGTAAAGGAGTCTGATGAGAGGATCAGAGTTTCAGTTCAGATTGATGAAATGTGTTACTTTTTCTTTTCAAAAAACAGCTGTGAATGTTCTGAATCATTTAAAGACATTCTCATGTTAAAATGGCTTTTTACAAAACCGCTTTTTAGCTGTTACAGTATATGCAATAATAATAAAAGAATTATTGTACCAGTTGAATAGCGTATAATAGATAAAAAATACACATAAATGTGAAGAAGTGACTGTTATTTAGGGAGAGAGAAGGTGAGGGAGGGCTGGGGTGGAGAGTGGGAGGGTAGTAGGGATACGGCTCAACTTAACCCGCTCCTATGGTCAACTATACACGTTGCTAGGGTGATTTTCTTTAGCTAGTCATGTCATTGTTGAGGGTGGTGGAGCTGTGTCTCTCAAATACCTCTGATACTTTAGTACTAGATTTCTGGAGCCGTGGGCCTCCGACAACTATCCTCAACAAGGACCTTGTATTCATGTTTAACATCACCCAGGCTGCCAAAATATGTTGTGCTTTGTTATTACCCTACATGGACTCTACTTCAGGTCAATATGATGCAAGCAAGACCATTTTTTGTTACACTTGTGGCCTGATGAAGCTGTAACCCACAAATGCAACCAGTAAAGCTTGTCAAAATGACCATTCATGTGGACCTTCCATTCTTTAAAGTATGTATAAGACCATAGGAGACCACTTTTTTGGCATGCTATATTACCAAGACAGTTCTGTTTACACTCATTCTGTTGGTTTGCAGGGATACACATCTTGAAATATATGCAGATACACTAGTTAGAGACAAAACTATGATTGACTTGATGTAGTGATCTTTAATATGAGAAATGTCTCATCCTACCCCACTCTCCCCTATATTACACTTGCTGAACATGCATGTTAACCCGGTTAAACCCACCGATCTCCGGTCCGCCTGCTTCCTCCTCACTGCTCCGTATCTGGCGTACCACAGACCGATCTCACGGCCCTTCAGGTGAGGAGGAGGTCGGTCTCTCTGTCCTCCTCCTCCTCCTCCTCGGTCTGAGGTAAAGTCGGAGCTGTGCCCTCTTGAGCCTCCTCCTCCGCCTCCTCTCTCCCACCTTTCCCTACTTCCATCTCTGTATCCTCGTCCTCCTCCTCCTCTTCTTCCTCTTCTCCCTCCTCCTCCACCGCCGTACCCGTAGCTCATACCGCTCAAATAGTGAAACCCTCTGCGTAAAGATACCCGCCAATTACCGAAATTTAACATACGAAGCTACATTTACGCTGTTTTTGACAGTTCACGTCCTCATGTTCGTAAAATGCTCCAACTCCGGCTGTCTGTTTGCTTTACTGGCTCCTTCTAGTCGGCGTGTCGCATACTTCTGACGTCAGGATGTGAGTCGCAGGGTAATGTCGTTTCACTGTCAACTAAATCTGTAAATCTTGACAAAACCTCAAAGTTTCTCCTTTTTTCAAGTTTACAGCTGTGTTACCGAAACTGTTTAGCGTGACGAAGCGTACGTTAACTCCCACATTCATGTTTATACTTAAATGTTAGGGTGGGCGAGAACCGCCAATGTTGCAAATATTTTTTAAAAATGCAAAAAAAAAAAAAAAAAAAAAAAAAAAACAGCCACAATGGAAGTTACTGATGCAAACAAGGAGAAACAGAAGCCTGCTGCAAATAAAAAAAGAAATGGTGCAGATATAAAGAAAGTCTAAAAGGAGCCACAATGGAAGTTACTGATGAAAAAAAGAAAAAAAAACTGAAGCCTGCTGCAAATAAAAAAATAAAAAATGAGTAGGCTACCTCACTGTGAAAATAAAGGATGCAAATAAAAAAAGCCACAACAGAAGTGAGCTGCCAGGGACCAATAATAATGATGCACTGGTGTTTTAAGATCCCAGCACAGAAGACAACGGCTAGAAACGGCTCACACTGCAGGTTTTGATGCACAATTCAGATTTTTTGTTAAATTCGATCTCTTTGTGCGGTCGTTCACATTACAACAACGAATGCGGCATCTAATGTGAATGGAATGTGTCCATGAAGTGACCCGCATGCACACAAAGCACAAATTGCTCCCCGCGCCTGTTTGTGTTGTCGAACAATGGTGACGTTTGTCGCATATTGATGACGTATAGGTTGGATGAACGCGACCTGAGCGTCCACACTGCAGTCACATCGGATACGTATCCGATTTATACTCACATACAAAAGAGGCCTGGGTCGGATTTGAAAAAAATCAGAATTGCACTGTTCACACTTACATGAAAAAATCAGATATGTGTCACATATGGTTAAAAAAATCGGAATTGACCTGCAGTGTGAACATAGCCTAAGTAACTTTTTTTTTCCATCGGCTCTTTTTTATTTTTTTGCGTCGTTACCTTTCGTTATGGCCTTTATTTATTTAATCATTTATTTATTTATATTTTGCATTCTTTTTTTATTTGCAGCAGTGGCAGTTCTCGGCCACCGTAAAATGTTAGTGAATATGCAACAATTCAAAAAAAATTCCAACATTAATTGGCTGGGTTAATTTACAAATGTAACAGTTTTCTATGTAACCTATACTGTAAATTAGAAAGGTTATGCTTGAGGTATTTCTTGTGAATTATTTTTAATCAAAAGCCACATAGGGTATTTTTAAGCTTTAATATTTGCTTTAAATCAAGATCCTACACTGAAAGGCCCAAATTGTGATCCAAATGATGAAACAATCAATTGTGCAGCCCTAACTATATAATTTCTGCAAATATATATATATATATATATATATATATATATATATATATATATATATATAATTAATGGACTAAAATTAAGACAGAAACTTAACTCAGGGCAGAATAAATTGGGGTAAGCTCTTACCATCTAAGGCCACTCTAATCTGGTGAGCTGAGCCGTCTCTTCCCTTTTTTTGGGATGCTTTGCAGTTTTAAAATGGAGACAGTTGTATCTCTGCAAAACCTCCTGAACAGATAAAATCACACAATTTAACATTTGACAAAAGTCAGTCTCTGTTTCTGTGTTGCATGATCCCAAATCTCTGATATTCAGTATAATTTGAGATAACTTTTACAGCAAAAACCTTTTTTCCATTTTTTTTCTCTTGACTGTGTCTTGACAAATAATCTTCAACCTTCTCCCAACATTCACTGTATTGTTTCATATTTGAACATTTTTAGTGATAGATTTAATGTTGTTGTTTTTTTCCTGATTTTTTAAATATTCTTTTTGTGTGCGTGAGTGAGAGGGAGAGAGAATTTCAGGGCCATTTTTAGTTGGTGTTCATTTTCTAAAGGAAAGGAACTTTTTAATCACCACTTTTCGTCTCTGGCAAATTTTTATATTATTCTCATCAGTGACAAGTGAAATGACAATTTGAAGTCAGTGAGACACAAAAAGAAGGACACAGTTTTTTCCATCAACAACTGGCCCTGATTTGTTCCTATTCCCAGAATTATGTGGTGGACTGCAATCACGCTGTTCTTTCATTTTTGATTTTCACCCTTCGCTGCTTCCATTTTTTAATGTTCACACTTAGAGCAAAGTACTCCACGGTCTCTTGTTTTTAAATTGAAGGAAATGATGTGTGCTTGTGTCTTCTCTCTATGTATTTCTTCCCCTTTTCTCTTCTTCTGCCTCTGCCATACTAATTAAAGTAAAATACATCCAATTAGCGCCATGAAGCGCATAACAGAGACAAGGGACTAAAGAGACAGATTAAAGGTGAGAAGTAGTCACTCACTGGATGTATGTGGGATAATCCTCAGGAGGACACAGTAGATCTCACCCTCAGGCTGTGCGATGCTGTCATGCGGTACCGTACATCATCACTTTAAATGAAGCCCTCCTCAGCACACTCTCCTGTTCTGCCTCGATCACAGCTCTGCTTCATCTGCGGCTGTGATACTTTTCGCTTTTATTCCTTTTTTCATTGTTACAAACTGTGAAATGAAAATTTGTGCAGTGTGTCCACAGTCATCTGCCATCAACCATTTTGTGATGAAGGAATTCCAGATGTCCATCCACAGAGATACAGTAGAAGAGGATAATAACCAGGAGATGCAGGTTTACTCACTTGGATGAACTAGATCGTATGAAAGACGGGTTTAGTTTGTGTTATACTTTTGTTTTTTAATGCTGTCATTCAAGATCGACATAAAATGCTCTGCGTCTTTTGACGGATTAATTCTTGGTCTATGAGCCTTTATTGTACAGAATAGCTTGAGAGGAAGAAGAGAGAAAATGTGTGAAGAGAAGGGGGGGTGAATCCTACTGGGACCAGGAACTGATCCTGCAACCAGTGTAATGAGGACTGTAGCCTCTGTGAACTGCAGCTGAGCAGCAACTTCTGATTTCAACAGAGAAAAAAAAAAGGAAATAAGCTGCAGGTCCTTTAGAGTCCACTGAAGTCCAGTGTTAAAGCTCCTGTAAGGAACTTTCAATTATTAACCACTTTGGCGCCCCCTCTGGACAAAACAGTCTCTGCTGATCGTGTCCTCTACGAGTTTTTGTAGTGATTTCTGACAAAATCTCATCTTGCTGATTTTGACTTTTAAATGTTTTATTACTTTTACTCGCATTTCTTTTCATACAGCAGAATTGAATAATTTCAGAGCCTGGTATGAAAAAAAGGATTTGCTCTGAATGAGCTAGTCTCTATTTTCACACTGAGGAATACTCTGTCTTTTCTGTCTTCTTTTCATCACATATTCATTCTAAGGTTGGAAATTTTGTGCAAGAGTGAATTTTTAGAAGCTGCTTGCTGGGAGGCCCAAGGCTTGCTTCAACTCCACTTCTTTGTCTTGTTGTCCAGAGTTGAGTTTACACCTTATCTTCACTTCCATATGTGACTGGTGTACACAGATCCATATTTCACCTTACTCCTGTGTTAGCTTTTACTATGCACCCTCTATGTTAAGGGTCGGTTTTGACCTGTGTCTTAAATCAGCTGCAAATTACAGTAAAAACAATTCTCTATCATCCGGTTTGGTTCTAATCTCTAGGTTAACTTGTTAGTCTTCATTAGCCATGAAAATGTTGCTTATAATAGCTTTTGTAGTGGTCCTCTGGGCCTTTCTTTGTCAGTATACCTCTCATAAAGATATCCATACTGAATTGATCTCACATGTCTGGACATGCCCAACGATTGAAAATGAAAATGTCGTAAATCTCACATGATTGGAAGAGGATCTGACTGTCAGTGTGGTGCCTGGCAGTACACATATGATTTCAGTTTTTGCTCTAATTATTAGATATTTATCTAACCGGATCAACAGTGACCCTAACACAATAAGTGCCATAATTTTAATAAGAGCATTTTATAATTGAGTAAAGTAGGCGTTATAAGCTTTTAGCTTCAGCCTATACCCTTTCGGCCTAACAGTATGAATACTGAAACAAATGTAATTGAAATGTCGCTGAATGGAAAATACCTTGTTTCAAAGCCGAAATAAACTATAACTAACTAACTAAATGTAATATTTTTATTTTGTTGAACTATAGGTTCCTGACCAAGTTGAAAAGTCTTGATGCAAAAAAGCTAATTTAAGTGGTTCTTTTAAGCATTTAAAAACAAAGTGGGTCGGTGCAGACCATAACACAGAAGGAGGGATATACAGGTGATGCCACTACTGTGCAATGCCAAGACGTATGCTACTGTACATTTCTTGGATAGAAACCTAAAAGTGTCTCTGGTCCTGATAGCAACTAAATCTGACTGTAAATATATCAAACTGATGTAAAACAACCAGACTGACTTTTATTCAGTCTATAACTGAGGCATCTGATCCAACAGCGGAGCTAAACTTGCCCTGAAAACGCTCAATTTTCTGCTTTGACAGAAAAATATCAAGCTCTGCTTATGAGCCACTCTGAGTGAAAAGTCTAAATTCAACTGTGATCAATTTTGTCATCTTGAATTTGAGATATCTTGCACAATTTCACCTCAATTTAAAAAAATGACTGCTATCAGTCGCTCAGTTGGATCAAAAAAGGACTAAAACTAGAAGACTGAGTAGGCAACACGGTGAAATAGGAAGAAGCAAGAGAGGGGAAGTGTATAAATCATGTTGATTATTTTGGGGAGATGTATGAGTGAGGAATAGAGTTCTTATGAGAAAGCCTGATAGCAGAAATGTTATAAAAACAAGAGGAATCAATGAGAGGAAGGACTGCTTTGTATGCACTGTGTCCCTGTCCCCCCACTCAACTAAGCACTGTTTTCCTGCACACCTTGTTTTTTTGCCTCGGGCTTCCCTTGATGAATACAAATGATCTGGCACCCTGATCTGATTCATTTTCAGATAAAATAACCCCAGATGAAAGGCATAATGTTCCAACTTTAAAACACTGATGCATGCTGTACCCATCGCTGGTAGATGTGCTGAGAGAGAGGTCTCAAGCAGTGCCACTGATGCTACATTTTGATGCAGCCTTACCTGCAGCTCATTGCTTCAACGTGATCAGATGTTGTGAGTGGGAGGCAAAGAGTCCTTGGATCAGAGAGAAAAGATGAAACATTTGGAAATGCTGCTCGCCAAGGCCTTGATATTCATGTCTCTTTCCATCAATTTTCTTTGTTTTTGCTGCCCTTTTTATGCCCTTTTCTATGTTTTCCTTCCACCTTCCAAACATTTGCTCTATCTGTCTCTCTCTCCTTCTCCTTTCTCTAAGTCTATATCTACAAATATCTTTGCACTCACAGGGACAAAAACAAATAAAACATTTTTAAACCTTGCTGAAACATCAAATTTTCATGTCTTAGCTGTGGATTTTTATGTCAGCACAAGAGCACAATCAAAATATTGTAATCTGTGGTGGATTTGTTTAATCCTGTCACGAGAAGAAACGCTGACTGCTGCCTATCTAGGTCATTCCCCTTAAGTAGTAGTAAATAATTGCGTTTTATTGGCATTTTTCTACAATAGAGACGCCTGTTTGAGCAGTTTTGCGTTACCGAATCAGTCCAGATGGCTGACATGATGAGTCAACGCCCAAACTGTTGTACAGCTAATGCACAACTCCCAATGCCACTCAAAGAAAGCAAATAGCAGTTTATTGATCACACTGGTTTATGAGGAGGCTTGACAACAAGCTTCTGTTTAAAAGCGAGAACAAGCAGAAGATCAAATTACTTCCACTCTATTTGCCTGCAGAGATGAAGCTCAGCTAAAAACCTTTGGCACCCTTAAGAGCTGAAATGGCTGGCATTGAAAACAACATTACAATCTTTGTAATTCATTGACATGGATTCTGTTTTTTTTTTTTTTTACATTTTTCCGAGGAGCGCTCAGAAATGCATTGCAATCCAGTTGGAGGCAATTTTCTACAATGAATCTTTAATGACGACATTCTTACAGGAGGATAGAGCATGTCGCAGCCAATGAAGTGAGCCTGCTGAGGTACCAATAAAAAAGCCCACGAATGAAGTCCACAGAATAATAAGACGATAATGTATACGACATACAAAAGACACCATCATAAAACAAATCTAAATGAAGATGTGCTTTGAAACGACTCTGAGAAACCTATTGAATAACTTACTGCAGCTGTATTAACACACACACACACACAGGTAAATGTGCACGTAAGGAATGGATCTACTGATATTTGAAAATCAAATGCTTCAAATAGATATTCAGAGTCCATGTCCCCAGTCAAAACAGAACTGAAATACACAACACTGTCGATGAAAATTAGATTCCACTGCCAAATTTATGCATGTATTTGATAGGTGAGAGGCCGCCGGTGGCTTGCTGATGAAATGGGCAGCGAATTGAGCAGGCAGGACCATGATATCTCAAAGTGGCTAAGGAATTTACATTCATATGCTGCCTCTACTATAGTAAAATATGCACACTGTCACTCATTTAACTAGCACTGAATGTACACGAGGGTGGAAAAACTGCTCTGCATAAGCATCCCCTCAGCATCTTCCTCTACAACCAGGTGCGCTCTCTAGATTCAGAATCTGCTCTGGATATTCAGCAGGAGCAGCGGTCTCTCTGTCAGCTGATAGTTGCAAAATTAATTGGGTAAGACATGCAGACGCAGTGGATCCATTTAAAGCAAAAAACCACTAAATTTAAAAGAAACAATTACACGTCCCTGGAATCAACAACTGCGGTTGTCATACTTGAACCCTCACCCTCACCGCTCAAAAACACACACTGGGATGAGTCAGACACACGGGTGAGGTGACCCCTCCCCTCACAGCTGAGTCACTGATGACGCAGTCCAAAAGAGACATGTGATCAGACCTTGGCCCCTCCTTTTCCACGCATAAGTGAGTGCCTCTCTGTCAGTATCTGTTTTATGATGACAGGCGGCCATATGGTGAAAGTCTTGAAGGGAATACAGATGCTGTGCTGAAATACTGTTTTTTTTTCTCCTCCTTGTTCCCATCTTTGGCTTTCTTTCTTACCCACATTTCTCTACACTCAGATCTTTTTCTTTGTAACCTACAGACAGAGGATGTATGTGCTCTCATCGTGATATCCAAAGAGGAAGTATAATACTGTTTTAAGTCTGTATCTGAGTCACTTTCTGTAATACTGCGGAATAATTAGGACATTTCTCTTTCACCTTTTTATGGTCCTACGCCCCCCTCACTTAGAGAGAGGTACCTTAATATCCTTAATCACTCTTCTCTCTCTCCAGCTTGCTTCCTGTAGGCCTCATTGAGCAGCTGTATCTCCTCCCGATATCCCGAGCCTTCTTGTGTTTGCCGTCGGCTGTTCTGCCGGTGAGCCTCTACAGTGTCAGGTATAGTGATATTGATGGTCTCTGCCTCCGGGTTGCCGCTGCCAGGGATGAGCAGAGAGTAGGAAGCGGTCTCGCCAAGGTCACAAGAGACAAAGCGGTTCTCCCTCCGTGAGTAACGTAGCGACGGTGAGCGGGCGTGAGTGGAGGACTGGCTGATGTTGGAGATAATGGAGACGCTGTCCATGGCTTCTTCGTTGTCACAGATTTCCAAAACCTCAAGGTGGATCTTGACGTTAGTGTCCCCAACTCCAGCCCCGATCCCCATCCCGATCTCCATGCCCATCCCCATCCCCATGCTGCTGATGTTCACGTCTCCAGCCTGGCCTCCTGATGCTGGGTCATCTGCGCTGGGCTCATGGCCGACTGATTTGGAGCGATAAACTTCCACCTTTGGGACAGAGATTTAGAAGTGATAGTTTAGTGGAGCAGATGGCTATTAGATGTCTAGTTTTTTTAGACTTAATTTCAACCATCTAGATTCTGTTTATTTTTAGACAGAATTTAGACGATGCACTGTAACCCATTAGTCAATAACTTTTTATTTCAAAAAGCAACTTTTAGACCAAAAAATGCTCAGTGGGAACAGAGTTTCAAATGGATTAAACCTCCGAAAGGCAAAACAAGTCTACACAGTCTGCTTAGCCAACCATCTCCTCAAACAGCTACATCTATCCTGAACAGGGTTGGCTTAGTTTTATGTGTATCAGAAAAAATGACAGTCATGTAAATCTCTTTGTGGGTTTTCAAGTTTCTTCAAAACTCAGTAACTTCTTTGATGCGAATATTAAAGAAAATCATGTTTTTCTTGTTCTTTATATGTTTATGCGAAATTGCTTTTCTGAGCATTTCTTCATTCAAATCGCTGTGAATCTCTGGCAGACCCAAACGGCAGGTTCAGAAAGAGCGAGAATTGATACATAACCAGTCCAAGCTCCGCCCCATGCAGGCCACACTCTGCATATAGAGGAGAAATACAAAGGACGATTGTGGAACAAGCATGTGTGTTAGCGGATTGTAATACTCATAAGCAAATTTTGATATTAGCTTCATCATGCCCCTAAAGACATTAGCGTCCAAAAGCTAAATAGCTCCTTTGTTACCTGCCACTTCTACTACACCGGCAATGTTAGCCTGCAGGCTAACGTAAAGGCGAGTGAGCAGAGCTGCGCTGTCTCCGCCCACGACTCAGAGGCAAATTGCTAATGATCTACTGAAGCTCTGCAGAGGAGAAGTCCTTGAAAACGACACAGGTAATGTGATTTTTGGTAAAAACTTCATAATTACAACTTAAAGACCACTGAGAACACTTTAAGTAGTTAAAAAAAAAGATCGAACGAAAATGAAGATGTTACCTTTTTGGCATGGTTTGGGGAGATTTTGAGTCCATCACTGCTGACTTCATAGGTGGAGAGAGAGAGGGTCTTTCCTGTGGGGGCCTGCAGGGAAACAGTGCCCTGGAAGGCACACAGGGGGACTGACAGACCACCTGAAGATCTCTGTATTGGGGGTAAAAAAAAAAAAAAGAACAAAATGTACCAAATTATCAGTTGTTAAGTACATGTTAATTTCCACCCTAGCCTCTTGTTACACTATTGACAAGTAGGACACATCCTACAAGGTACCTTTGCAGTGACTCTCTTTGTTCAGACTAATTAAAGCCAGACTGAGTCCATGATGATGCCAAGAGCAGGGAGATAAATGTGTTTACCAACCATTTTCATCCCTTTAAATGAGGCTTACATGTACGAGCCCTGTCAAAAGCATATTGCTTGTTAAATGAGATGTTAGAGCCCCATGCATATGAAAGTGAGCAAGGTTCAAAGCAGTGAGATGGTTTTTTGGCAGTTAAGAGAAATTTTCTAACGAGTAATTTGATCGGGATAATAGGATTTCAGCGCATGAAGCATTAATCAGAATTTTCTTGACTTGATGCTTTGAAATCTTTTCATTTCTTAAATTCCAGGGACCATTAATACCCCTCACATTTTTAATCATACTCCGTGTTTACTTCTATTAAAAAAAAATCTCTTCATAGAGATTACATTACCACACAGTGCATCAAAGCAAGTCTCTGTCAATATGATGTGTTTGAGGAGATGCATTTTTCTGGCACAGAGAAGAGGAGAAGCCACCTGTGGTGCAGCAGTGGGGGGGCCCTGTGGCAGGTGTCACCGAGCCCCCTCTACATTATTTAGATGAGTTTAATGTCATGATTTGATTGTGACTATAAGGCACAATAGAGACAAAGAAGATGTCAGTCTTGTTCTCCCTGACTGTTTGCCTGCCATTGTTTTTGAATCATGAAAGGGAATGACAATAGAGAGAGAGAGAGAGAGAGAGAGGAGAGGGGGGAACAACACACGATTAATTTCAACAATGCTTAGAAATCATTGTCTTTATTCTCTTGGATGTCTCTGTGCGTGTTTTTGTTTTGATGTTCTCACTATATTTATAGGACTTATTTTTTTTCTACTCCGTTTAGTTGATTTATCTCTTTACTCTCTTTATTAATATTTCAGTACATCATATAAATAGACCTGCATGACACTGAATCAACCATCTCTACTTTATGTTCCGTTTGCGGCACTCGCTTTGGTTTGAGGCTAAATAGATGGCAACCGGGGAATATCTCAGCATCTTTACGCTGATGCACTGAAATGAAACTTCGCACATACACAATGAAGTAACTCAATTCTTGGCAAATTGCATTAAAAAAAAAATCTCATTGCACTTCTTATGAGCAATATTGGTCTAAGAATCATTCCCTGGTTTTCCTCTTGCACTTGGATAGATCTTGTATTTCTTGTTGAATCTTGAATTAACTGGCAAAAACTTTGTAAAGAGCCTCGTGTTTTTATGATGCCTGTGTGACTGACATATCTAAGAAAGCATTTGATGGCAGTTTCATGTAAACGCGGTTATTTTCCAGCCTCTTTACTAACTCTGCGATGAGCATTTGTGATAAAAATGATCATGTCTTGTGCGCTCATGGCCCAGCAGCCTTGGCGGACGCCACACACAGAGGCTACAGTCCTCGTCACAGCGGTCACTGATTCGTCTCGCAGCCATGACCCTTTGCTATGCATCTTCCCTCAGTCTCTACTCCCTACATTTCCTGACTCTCTTCAGCTGTCCTGTCTCATAAAGACCAAAATGCCCCCCTCCCCCCACTCGGGACAAACTCTCTTTCCACCCATATTCTAATATTGTTAACAGAGCCATTTAACATTAGCTACAAGTGCCTGTTATTCATGCCAATAAATCCTCTCCATTTATTTCCTAATGCATATCTACTTGCCTTATGGGCAAGGGCAACATTATTTACAGTTCCGGATGTTTTCTTAGAAGGACAAACAGGGTTTCAGGTTCCTACATCTGAATTTACATTCGGTCTCTCGTTCCCCTTTGGCAGAAGGCTTGTGAACGCACCCCTGGTTCTGTGCTTGCTAATAGAGAGCATGAAGCCAGAGAGAGGGTAAAGATGTCTTTAAGCTCTAATTTCACCTCTCCCTGCGGACGCTGAAGGCCAGAGGGGCTGATAGTGAGGAGAACAGAGGCCGGGTAATGACATCTAGCCCACTAACAAGGAACAAAACACAGCCTGGAAATTCTATCAGTCACAAACTCTTACATCTGGCTTTGTGTGCAACAAACAATCTGTATATGTGTGTGTGTGTTTAGAACGGGGAAGGTTGCTGCTATACAATGCAGACTATTGTTTTTAGTTACTGCTGTTTGTTTTCATGTGCAATCCTTAGCTGTACATACAGTACATACTGTACTTGCATATTGAACGCAATCAATGAATAAGGCTGCAGGGAGTATCATATACACAGTTTATACTAAGACACTTAAAGTGGGACACACACACTCAGACGCACGCGCTCAGACACACGCACAGATTCTCAAGCCAGCAGTGAACATCTGAGACTTATACATGATGCAAAGTGAGTGCCAAAGCTGAGCTGTCAATGCATGCTCTGTGGATTTTTCCACCTTCTGGTGATTTTCATACCCAACATTTCAGACTTCTGACAGGAGCAGAGTTCGGAGGAAGAAGGGGGGATAGAGAGGGACCATGCATACCTATGCGACATGTGTGCACGTGGTAATGCATTATGTCAGGTCTCTCCTTTCTCAGTTGGTTTTATTTGAAATGAGCAAATAGTCTTAATGTTCCAAAAGTCAGATCCGAGGAGTTCATAGGCTAATGCTGGTGGCAGCTCAGATAAAATGAGGCCATTTGGTCATCTGTCTCTGGTATCCCTAAGGCCAGAATTCATTAATCATAAGACCTTTACTCTTTTGTCCTTGTTTAGCATTTCGACTAGATCCATCAAAAACAGAAAGTATTAAGCGTCTGGTATTACAAGAGAACACGGAGTCAACAAGAAAGGAGAGAAATGAATTAAAAAGTGGATTAGAGGGTCGAGGTTGTGAGCTGGTGGTAAACTGTCTTAAGCTGCCTTGTTTACATTTAGTGCTCCATGACTTTGCATCTACTGGATGGATTAACCGTCGAGTGAGAAAGTAAAGAATACATTTATGAGCTCTAAAACATGAATCCGCAATGGGCTGTGCCAAACCTTTCATTCAGTTGGTATCAAATCGCACACATGAAGAGAAATAGTCACAAACTCTGACAGAGAGCTAACCTTCAGCAGTCAAATCACATTCACCCAGAAAATGCTGCATCAAAAAAAAAAAAACACCAAAACCACAAAATCGAGCCAACGAATAAACCTGAACTTTGAAAGCCTGCAATGAGAACGATAATGAGTGAATATTCTGATTTTAAAGGCAGGTTGGCACATGCTCCTGAAATAGTATGGGGGGGGGGATAAACCTTCATCACTGGCTTCATTATTCAGGATCCATTTGGTGCAAATAAAGATATGCAGGAAAAAGGGGAAAAGTGAGGAGACTGACAAAAATACACACTGATGAAAATTCAGACTAACAAAGTGCACCTATATGCTCATCTTTCTATCGAGCCTGGCTGTGAACATGCTGCATCCTAATCGACCAGCTGTGTGTCTGTGTATCTTTGTACAGATGCACAGCACTAAGGAAACATATAATTTCCTTTTGAACCAAATGCAAACAAAGAAGAGGGGACTAAAAATCCCTCTTTAAGGTTTCGCACACTGTAATCACTCTTAAAGAGTCGTCTTGATGACCATATGTTGTGTGCAAAAGCAGGAGTTGTTTGACTAGTTTGGAAAAACAGAGAAAACTAATGAATTCCAATCGTGAATACCTTTATTTGATGGCTCAACATCAGGCTAATAAACTGACTCCTCTGCCTGTGGAAAATGATGTACCTGTCTGGGTGTCCTCTCTGATTTACTTCTGCACCACTCCCAGTCTGTCAGCTCAATTTTCCGACACTCCTCATGCGACAGCCTCCTCTCTGCCCCCTCGAACACAGACGACGTGTCGGTGAGATTGTGATCCTGATGAGAGGGCAGCAAAGGGACACAGCCAAAGCCCCCATCATCATCTCCGTGGGTTTCATGAGGGACTGAGGAACAATCAGCCAGCGCCTCTCCCCCACCAGAAATGGCCTCCAACAGCAGGTCTGCATGAGAGGAGCTGTCCACGGGGCAGGGGGTGCTGAAATCAAAATTGGGCCCAAGGCTTGGGAGGCCGCCACTTTCAAGTGCATCAAAGTGGGTTTCAGGGAAGCCACAGTTAAAGAGGCTGTGATAGGCAGGCTTCTCGAGAGGGGGGCTGTTATGACACATGGTGGCATGTGACAGTTTGTACACTCCATAGCCTTGTTGGAAGGAAAGGTTGAACTCCAGTTTTCTCTTCATCTCTGCGGGGAAAAACAATGATTATTTTCTTTTAACAATCTTGTACAAATAAGATAAATAGAACCAGTCAGTGGATCACACAGTGTTGTAGCTGTGACAATTTTTGACCACCATTATTTACCAGAGGGTTGTTGCTGCTTTGGATCTTGTTTGCAGTTGATAAAGCAGCCACACGGCATGTGGATCCATCGCTCAGATAGCACAAACAGTGGAGTGACGGCAGGGGCGAGCAGAGTGAGAAAGAAGCTGAGAGTCTCCAGGGACGAGCTGCGTGTATTCAGCGCATGGCGTACTAGAGCCAATGTCTGTGAATGAAGGCGAAGGGGAAATTAATTCACCCAGGAGTCACTGATTCAATATGCATGAGGGAGAGGGGGGGAGGAAGATGTGAGAATTACATAGACCGCTCAGCTGTACTTGTTTTTTTTTTTGCTCTACGTTTTCTTTTGTAGTATGAATCGAATGTTGATGTGGTTTGAGATGTAATTAAGCACAAGAGTAAAATTCATTATTCAGTGGTGGACTGAATCAAAAATCAATTAATTATTCCTTTTCTCATCTGTTTTACAAAAATGAAGGTGCGCCTTTATAGACTGCATTTATATGACCTGAATTAATGAAGGATTTCTATGAAATAGCACCAGCCAATATGGATAACAGATGAGATATGTCACAGAGAAGAAAGAAAAGAGAGAAAACGATGAGTTGAGATGCATTAATAACCAAGATTTTTACCAGTGCCTGAGCTCATTTTCATTGTAAGGCAGTATATCTCACATTGTTTGCAGGCTGCTCAACATTTACCACCACACTTTTTTAGTATGGATATAAACAAATGTAGCAACAACAACAACATGGGTCTGCAGTATTTGGAGATGGACCTGAAATACTGAATATCTTTCTAACATCCCTCTAAAAAGATTATTTTAAAAATAGTTTTTCTTTAGACTGTCAGTGATTGATGCAAATTTGCTTAAGATCCCACGATGCAACACCTTGATGATATAAAAACTTTAAAGGTGACAGAAAAAGTAAATGAAATTTTCTTTAATATTGAAGTTTTCCTCAAGGGTGCCTCAGGGGAAATCTTCAGATTTAATGAGTCTCCAACAAAAGAGGAGGATGGCTTAGCTTTATCAAAGAAGAGGATTTTAAAATACTAAGACAGTTTTAATGTGATTTCAGGACACATAGTCAGTTACTTTTCCAACTCAGACGATGTCAAATAGAAATGTGGGTTTAATTTTGAGACTTAAGGCAGTGTGCAGTCATGAGGGACATAAAAAACATTTGCTTTCTGGAGACATAAGACACTGCAACTTCCCAACGTGCGTAAAGGGTGGGTGGGGTGGGAATTTGAAGCCAACAAGTCGAAATGTTCGTGTCAATCATACATGAACATCTCTGAATCAAATCTACCACTTTAACCACATTACTTACCATGATTGGCATCCATAAGAAGACTCGGACCATCGCCAGGATCATGGAGAATCGCTTTTGCGCAAACACTACAGGTGTGTCCTCGATGGCTGCAGTCCTCTGCCCGTTCTGAGACACTGGGGACAGTCCAGTGTCCTCTTTGTCTCTCAGCTGAGTCCCGCATAAACTTGGGCTCAGCTCGTTGTACGCACCGAAACTTTTGTTCAGGCTGTCCCGGGAAAACGACTGGAAATCACAGAGGGGAGCGGAGCCACTCAGGCCCCTAGACATCTCCAGATAGCCCGGGTACAGTAGAGTCCTCTGGGGCTCTCTGGAGCAGAGCAGCTGGTAGGTGAGAGGGATGAAGAAAAAGAGCAAGCCGCAGAAACACAAGGAGTATAGAGAGAAGAGGAGCAGGACGTAGAAGCTGTCACTCTCTGGAAAACAGCCGAGAGAGGCCGGGGCGAAGCTGCCCCATCCGCACAGAGGTAACACACTGACGGTCAGGCTGATCGCCCACACTCCGCCGATGGCCCACATCACTCTCAAGGGTCGGCGCACAGACTGGAGCACTCCAAACCTCTTAGTGACATAAAAAGTGTAGGCTGCTATCAGACAAGCCTTCATATTGCTCGAAACCCCCTGAAACACGTAAAGAAGTCCCGCTAAAGTGCACAGGCTGCCCGACCCTCTATCACCTCCATCTGTCTCCCACTGGAAGAGCGTGAACAAGGAGAGTGGGACCACACTTAGGAGGTCGTCCACGGACATGGACGCCACTATGAGACACAGCGAGGTTTTTCTCCTCATCCGGAGAAGAGACAGCAGTGAATACACACCTCCCACAAAGGTAGCGGTGGCGATGGTTACGCACAAGCCGAAAAGAAGAAGGCGAATTTGCCTCTCCACCCCCGCCGGGTCTGTTCTCTCGTAGGTGGCCGTGGAAGGGTAGCTGTAGTTGAGCGCCGGAGAGCTGAGCTGCGTCGTGGACATTTTCAGTGAATGAATGAACTTTCTGATGGTCGAATATGACTCATTAGCTCGCAAAGTTTACAAGGCTACAGGAACGAGAGAAGACGTGCCAAATCTCCAAAAAATCCAGAGAGGAGAGATCACTGGAGAGACGGAGAGCAACATCCTTCTCGCGTCCACAGGAAAGCGCACGGCACCTTGGATGGGGAGTCTCCGAGTACCGTGCTGGTCCCCTGTTCAAACGGCGCAGCCTGTGCACCTCCTGCGTCCAGCTGCCGATTTACGCGCTTTCGTCATCCTCGTTTCTCCTCTCACGGTGTAATTTGGGGTTGGGCCAAACGCTGCCTACTACTACTACCACCACCACCACCCCCTCTACGTGCATGCACAACTGGTGGATCGCATGCATGAAGGCTGAGCTCTCATAAACGGCTCACCTCGACCCTCACCTTACCTCGGGTCAGGACGGATGTTAACAGCCCCACCCCCCCAATCTCTTTCCACGAAGAAGACACCTTTGACAGCAACTCGATACAAATGAGGATTTTTAAATGATTTTTCTTCTGCCAAGGCACTTTTGTTTGTGCTTTGAGGTCGATCACTTTGTGGTTAATTCCATTTGGAAGCCACATTTTAATAGGCGAGCTGTGTCTGTGGAAGAGTGGCTCTAATTGTTCCATTTTCAAAAGCTTAATGGAAGCAGGAAACCAAATGCCAGGGCTAAAACAAAAAGGGAAATGTAATTTAGACAAGATAGATAAGATATTAGATGTATTTCCAGCCTGAAAACGGTATGATTGTGGGTATGTGTCTGTTTATTTGTCTTTTGTAACAGTCTCATAAGGACACAGGAATCATAATCAAGAGAGTGATATTCTGGAATTACATGTAGGGGAGACAGGGGCTTGTTGTCACATGGGTAAGTTGACACATTGCAATTATTTTTGCCACCAGGGGGCGCAACTAGAAAGTGGAATACTAGTTTTCTTTCTTTACATCAGTGGTACCCAATCTTTTTTGTACTCAGGGACCAGTTTCATGCAGGAAACTTTTTCCAAGGACCAGGTAGGGGCATGGAGGTTCCAATAACAAAAACCTTAATCAGTACATAATATGTATACAGTATGTAATCTGGATACAACAATTCTATTTTATATCAGGCACTTTTCATTACACTTTAACACCAACTTACCATAATGCGGAATCAACCCTTTCCAGTGAACTCTGTTTCATTTCATTTTTGCAAGGGCTAGCTTGTGTTGTTGCAGGAAAATGATGTGCTGAAGAGTCAAGCGCGATAGTGGTGGTCTTTCAAAATAAGATTCTGACAGGACGGATGAAATGAAAAAAAAAAATTTAATCGTACCAGTCAGGAGCCCGGTGGTTAAGGACCTCTGCTTTACATGGTCAGGGGTCGTGTCCTGTCTGAGAAGAGAAGAGCACATTGTGAGCAGAGATGAGCGCCAATCAACCGTTTCACACAACTTAAAATAAAAAATAAAAAACTATATATTTTAAAATAAGCTTCTTCCAGATAAAAATCCTAGCAGTGATACATGTGGACTTGTTAGAGGAGAGATTAAGGCATCCTGTCGAACCTCAGTCATTGTTCTGTTTTAAGCTAACTTTAAGCTATAAGAGCTAGAATTAACAAACATGGTAGTTTGGAGCAACTTGTCTCAGTCATTTTGGGGTTAGTTGTCACATGTTTAAAAGGGATTAAAATTAACATAGAGAGTCTGCTTATCAGCAGTTGTCACAATGAAATTTGGACTTTATTTTTACAGAGAAAAGAGTGGTTTAAAGGGGAGGAGAAAGTGAGACGGCATGGTCAGGAATTCAGTGCAGTACCTGACGTGATGCTGAGGGCAGTCAGGCAGGTGACCCTAGCTAATAAATCAATCTGGAGGACAATAAAGACCTTAAATGTCAACTATCGTATCTTAGCTCAGCACTGCAAAACATTTGCCCCAGCCAAAATACAGAGTCAGACATCTCTCCAAACTCCAGAGTTGCATAATATTCTATGTTAACGTTTGTCTGATGGCTATGTTCAATGACTTTTTCTAGCTCACTGATAAACATTTTCTGTGTCTGACTTTGATGTTCACTTTCATGTAAAAAAGTGAGGACAACAATAATTTTGTCCTTCTTTTATTAGCTGCAAAATCCACTGTGACATCTTAGCCCGTATAGTGAGACAACATACCCGAGGGTGGGGCAACATGTCACATGTTCACACTCTCTATCTGATTGCTTATAACTCTGCACTGACACAAGATATGAACATGACATGAATACGAAATATATACCTGAGACTTTGGTCTTTCATCTGGTACACATTTTGTTTGTATATGATGTACTGATTCCAAGAAATAGAGTGTGAAAAGTGTAACAACAAGCCCCAGTCTCCCCTATTTCCACTAATAATGAAAAACTTTCTGTCAAAAAATTGCAGAATTAAAAACTCTCACTCCAAAATTTGTTCAAACACCTTTAGAGCTAAAGTGTGATCAAAACTGCAGCTTTCGCCATCATGTGCAGGAGTTGACATCCACACTCGCAATCCAGTTTTGTCCAACAATCTTGCAATGTCTTGGCAACCAGATGGAGTTGTGGGCGGGACATTAGGTGATACAGAGTGGTGGGTGAAAACAGACCCAGAGGGGGAGACACACTGACAGCAGAGCCAAAGTAGCCACTTTTTAAGATTAATTGGTAAATTTCACTTGGATCATACAGATAATTGACCAAATGCCACATATCGGCCCAGATAATGCAGGCTAAGGCTAATAATCTGTGAATCTCTTAAGAAAAATAATGTTATCCTTTCCTTGAGTCATCCAAATGGAGATTTTGGAAAGCATTAATCTTGTTGTCAACAGAGGCATCTGTTTTAAGAAGATAACATTTTGGTGATTAAGTTGTAATTGAAACAGTTTAACATTAGAGCAGGTTCCAGGGATAAGACTGATAGATGGAAACCCCAATTAAAGAGTATATGTGGCCCTGCGGCTGAAGGAGGCCTGATTACTTTGTTTGCAAATGTAGTCCTCCTCCTGTGTGTCCTATACACTGGCAGGGTACAATATAGCCTTGTGCTGTCCTCTCTGATTCAAGGATGGTTCAAGGATTTTCAAGCTGAAGGACTTCTGAGTTTGTTGATTTATCCTCACGGCGGTCCAGAGATAGAAATAATGCTCCATGTGTCGCCCCCTGTTTATCAGCAGTGATAGATTTTTGGACTCATGCCTTTTATGCAAATGGTAACATGGGTCTGCATGATGACAGACAATTTCAGCCTCCTAAATCATGCTCCCACTCACTGTATGATATCACATCACACAGTTTCTTTGTACGCACAGGTTCATCCGCCGTGTGCCGCATATGTAAACGTGACTCTTCGCGCATCTGACTCCAGGTTGTGTTATTAAATTAGCATTTGGGGCTAAATGACTTACAGCCAGGCTAATGAGTTGACTCTCTCCAGGGGCCGAGAGGATTCAGAGAACACGAGGGGACAAAACACAATCCACAAGGGTGCATAAACACAGACGTACAAACACACAACACACACAAATACAAATGTACCAGGCAGCTGAGCACAGCGCCACACATCAAGGTGACCTACTTTGTGTGAGTGTGGATGCGTGCTGCATGTGATAGTTTGTTCATGTGAAAAGGCACAAGGTGAGAGTGCAGCCCTGTTAAGGTCTTCACGTACAAGTGTATTTTCAAGGAGCACAGAAAGAGTCCAGGACCCAGAAGTGTTAAAGCTGCCATTTTTCTGACAAAATGCCCCATCATGTATTCATGGAGGAAAGTCTGGCAATAAATTTAAGATCAGTGTCCCTGAGGAAGAAGATCGAGAGGGAAGGAGAGACCAATGTCGCTTGATATTTATGAGATGATTAAAATTTAAGAGCGTTATTAAAATCCTCATGTAGGAGGATGGTGCCAGCCTATCGATGTGCACTGTCAAAACAAAAAAGAGTTAAGTATTCATCTATCATTAAGTGCAAACTGTAAAATAGAAAAGTGATACTTATCCAAAAAAAGGGGGCAAAAATATTATCAAAATATCAACTCTTTACTTTGTCACAGGGGCGGATCAAGGGATGGCCCTACTTGGAATGTGATAAACCACCTCAAAATCCTCAAGTATGATTGGTTATTTGCATTTTTTAAGTCCTGAAAATTTTAAACTGATTGGATTGAAATATTACCGCTGCATGCCTTCTTAACAAAGTGAAATATTAAATCTTGTAGTTACATTAAAGCTCCTGTAAGGAACTTTTGGTTTGTTTTGATTTTGGCGCCTCCCATGGACACTATTCATTGACACTGTCCTCTACATGTGTAAGTCCTTTTTTCTAACAAAAAAATGTAATTTGGTTTATTCAGACACTAAAATGCATCACTTATAGAAAATCTCTGACATAGAAAACACATTCACTGACACCTACCCCCCACCGCTAGTTTTAGACATTAAAAATAACCATATAGAATCAACCATTCTCATTGCTAATTTTCTCATTTGCTTTTGCAGGTCATAAAGAGGCACCGGTATTAACTACAGTTGGTTATTTGCTCAGAAAAAAAAAATATTCTCACTGGAGCTTTAAAGTTTGTTATTAAAGTAGACAAGATTAGTGTAGATAGAAAAGCTGAGTAAATTCTATACAGCTTGTGTGTGTGTGTATGTGCATTCACGCTTCATTTCACCTCTGCCACTGGTGAAACAAATATCGATAATATAGATTTGCTTTGGGTGGTCAAAACTGTGTCTTCCATGCATGATAGTTTGTAAACACTCTTTAATTCGCAGCTTCAATCAGATAAACTCTGAAAAGATGCTCTCGATCCCGATGTTTCGCAGCTGTAGGCTCGTCATGTTCACGTCAAATCAAAACAACACATCCCTCCATCTGTAGGCCGACACACATCCAGATGCTCCTGCCTGCTGCAGCAATAAACACAATCTATCCCATGCAAACCTGTTTTGGAAACACAAACAGAATTTCCCATTCATTTCACATTCTGCTTCTCTTTTTGCAGAGTTACGGTGCATTAAATCTGTGAAATGAGGCCTGTTATGATGACCGATATTGAACTCGTGTCAGCGCAGAAAAGGTGTTTACCAAAACCTGACATTTTCATTACTGTAACATTGCAGTGTCTACTTCGGTAAACATTCATTTGCACTCATATATTCCAACTTTATTGAATCCAAACTAATGAAGCCAGACTCTGATTTGAGAGCAACAACCATATTGCAACATCTAATGAATCATTCATCTGTGATATTGGCTTGGAAATGAAAACCTTGGGATTGCAGGAAAGTTCAGCCCCTCTGCTTGCATTCATTTGGACCATGAAACGGAAACAGCAAATCAATGACCCATGACTGTACCATGTTGTATAAATACCCCTCATGTGCATTAATAATGCACTGTGTCGCACATATGCTCATATGTCATTACTTTGGTGCTTGCTGGCCTCTGCTGGTGCATCAGAAACTCTGCACAGGTCAGTTTGTATATCTGCATAATCCTCCAACAAATCAACCCACACCTTCACTCACACACAGGCGCAGAGAGCATGTACACAAGGAGTCTAAATGCATCATTACCCTAAGTCACATTAAAGATTAATGAAGCAGCACTTGACAAAGAGACAGCGGGACAGAAACAGAATGGAAGATGATATTTGCATGAGAGAGGGAAGTCAAACTAAACAAAGACAGAGGGTGAATAGTTAGAGCTATGAATTCATAATGGCCCGAGCCCAGAATCTGTGCCGAGGTGGTTTTTGAAGTTCATGTTAAATAAATGTCACACACTTTCCTGGAGATCACAGCTGCAGAAACAATTTAACTCTGGATGGTTGAACCTCATCAAATACTGTAATGGATATACTCTGAGGGACGAGCAGAACAAAGCTGGAGAAGGGTGTGTTCCTGATGTGGTGGAGACTAAAACTGAGCTACAAGAGGACATTACTCTGATAATAATTAGTTAAACTTTGTGACATAAAGGGGAAATCTCTTATCTCCCTGAATAGTAAACACTATCTTATTATTTCCTGCCCCCTAGTGGCCAAATGTGAACTCATTCTGCCCGAGTCACTCTGGGACATCAACAGCACATTGTTTTGTATATCTGTTGAGTCGCTGTGAGAGTCTGCTAAGTACAGAAATAAAAGTCTACTGTTGAAAATAAGGACAGCATATTTTAATATTTCATTGGGGAAGTTTTCATGTTTAGAGCACTTTTTGTGTTTGTGACTGTCAGAACACAATCAAGATATTTTCTCTACAGCGTGAGAAAAAAAAAGAGATTTAGAGAGAAATGGAGGTTCAAGAGAAGAGCAGCTTGGTAATGAGAAAATGTGAATATAATGTCATGTTCTCATTATTCAGGTTTGCCCCACAAAATCAAAAACTAGATTTCATTATCCCGAGACTTAAATATTTCACATATGAACAAAATAACCCTGCAAGTATAAGTCTGTGTAAATTTGTTTGTCGTCAAATGTGCCAATGTGAGTGCTTAGACTCATGATTTATGTGTATATTAGAAGCTGTAATGCGTGGGTAAATCTAAAAAATGACTGAAGTGATGAAGCTTTTCTTTGTTTTTGTTTATGCGTGTGTCGTTCCAGGTCATGCAAAAGCTGAAATTTGCATCAGAGCACCTGTTTCCACAGAAACGCTGAAAGGATTTTAGACACATTCAGAAACGTTCTGCCCTCTACCATCTTTCAATCTAACATGTATGGATAAACATGCACAAAGGTTTGCTTCAAGTGTTTATTCTGTAAGTGAGAGTGTTAAAGAAGTGTGAAAAGGTGGTTCAGAGACGGTAAAACCCTGCTAAGCCAACCATACTCCATCCCTTTCAGTTTCAATATTTTCTGAGCTGAAATTAATGCTGAAATATCCAACTGCAACAGCACCTGCATGGGAGCGACCATTCACTGCCTTCCTGCCATGAATATTTAAATAACTTTATGCAAATTTAATAACACCGCAGTTAAAACAGGAGCTAAATGACTCCAACTTTTCAGTTTTTAAAAAAATTAAAGTTTAGTGCACCGTTAGCTGATCTACTTCGACAAAAGCTTTTGCAAGGAAGGAAAAAAAGTTGACATGTCACTTGGAAGCCGAGCATCCTCTTTATAAAGTAGTTGACGAAAAGTAAGAACAAAGGAGAGTTAGAACAAACAAACTGATGATGCAAGTGAAAATACAACAAATGCGGATGAAGAAGAAAAGGGAGGGAGGGCTGTTAAGTGTTATGAGTATGAAATTAAATAAAATGAGGACCCTGTGTAATCCTAGACCAACTTTGTAAAACTGAACAAGGGGAAATCTTCGACAAAGTGGATATTTTTACTCTTAAAACCCAAATTTAACATAAGGAACATTTGAAATTCAGTATGAAGTATTGCTTGTTTTTATTAAGTTCTGTGTATCTGTCTGGATTATCATGACTGTCTTGACCTTCAAAGTAGCCGACATGAAATCATGATAAGCACATTTAAAACAGAAGCAGACATTAAGATCATTAAAGTGCTTAAAACGAGCAGTTTTTCTGTCCTCTTCTTTGGGTCATTCATTAACAAGGTACATTTTCAGTGAAATATCAGAGTAAATGAGATACGGTGACACTGCAGTAGAGGTTGCACAAAATAACCATGCCAAATTAATTCAGCTGTGATTCAGTGTCCCTAACAAGACGGTATGATACTTAACTAAGGATGGCAAAATAATTAGAAATGACTTCTTCCCCTCTGAAACCAGTGGACCCAGTTTGAATGCGAGGCAATCAGGATAGTCGAGTAAATGAGTTAGAGATGAATATTTATTTTGCAGAGATGATGAGATATTGGATTTTTGTCAGTGTCCTTCTGGGAGCTTGAACTTTACAGAGAAATAAACTGATTGCAGGATGTCTTCACTGGAAAGGCAGCAGAATTGATCCCCCTATTGAGTCCAGACGCTGGTGGTAGAAATGATGACATTCTCCGAGGCTGATGAGAGGATGAAGCTGATCAAACTGCAAAGAATGGGGCAGTTATGGGGAGACAGATGACGCTGTTGTCTGAGTCTGATGAGAGGAGGAAGCCGAAAAGACTGGGCAGGATGGGGAAGAGGAAGGTTGCGCACTACAATAGCAGGAATGAACCGTGGAAAGAGAAAAAAGCAATATGATAGGCTCACAGTGAGGGCGTGTTGCGGTGCCATTGGATTGGTGAGATCAGGTGATGGGAGCAGCTGATAACCACAGGAGAAACGAGTGAGCATGTGTGGAGTAAAACATAATGACAACAATTCAGCAGATGGATATAGAGCTCCTGGGTAAAACTGTGATGGAGCCTCATTTCAACAGTTCATGATTATTCAGCTACCAGCTCAAAAGGTTTTTTTTTTGTATCCTAAGGCCAAAGTCCCAACTGGACCTTCACATTTGCAAGTTTAATTTAGGCAGTCATGAGGATTTAACAGGATATCCAATCAGAAAGAAGAAGTATTTCTGACTGCAACCATTAATTTATTTGACTGGATCTAACGCAGAAAACCCTCGATTCATGACAATAAAAAGATTTAGGTGTGATTGAAGGAGGTCAAAATTTAGGATTCACTTTAGACTTATGTTGGAGATACAAATTCTAGTTTCTTTAAAGCTGCAGTCTGGATTGAGCTCGACAAGCAGCACAGTCTAGAGTCAGACTGAGATTTGTTTTTCAATGGTTAAACTTAATGCAAAGAAAATGGCTGTGTC